GTATGTCTATGTCTATGTATGTCTATGTCTATGTATGTCTATGTCTATGTATGTCTATGTCTATGTATGTCTATGTCTATGTATGTCTATGTCTTATATTAATATAAACAAACCAAACAGCAGTGTGCAAAACACCTAGTAGGCACCGAGCGTATATTTCTGTATATGCGAGCTTGATAGCACGATATATAGACAGTCTATGTACATACGGAGTACATACATACATCCAATACATGCTTCGTAGTGTTACGTACATCCAATATATACTTCATAGTGTACGACCTCGTCTCGTCTCGTCCAATCTACCTAGTACCTAGTACCTAGTACCTGGGTAATAATAGTCAATTGTCAATATTAAATTGTCAAGTAGGAGTGAGAGCGAGAGCGAGACAAGCAGAATGCACAACCAAGGTCTAACATAGGCCGAAAGATCCAAGCCGGATTAGATAACTCAGATACCAGGCCAGAAATGCATAGTATGCCTGCCTACTCAGATTCATGTATGTTATTTCATTCATATCTGGACAAACACCAACTTTTCTCTCCTCCGTCAATCACTCATCGTATAGTCCCTCATCGTCGCCTTCCACATCATCCAAAAACCCGTCCCCATCCACTCGGTTATCGAGGGGACGAGACCTGTCTTTTGCTTTCCCTTTGCCCTTGTCTACTTTGGTACCATTGACCGCGCTGCCATTCAGATGGGTGGTGCTCACGCCATAGTCATCATCTGCGTCCGAAGAGGCCCCCGAATCAGGGTTACCTATCCGTGGAGCTTCAACTTGATTCTGTAGCCTTGCGGAATGAGCATTGGCGGCCGCGGCGGCGTTGCCGGTGTTGGGTAGCGCATATGCCTTGTGCTTACCCTGGCCCTGGCCTTTGTTCTGCAGCGAGGTATTCGAATGAGCCGGAGAATGTGAAAGCAGGTCAGACTGCGGGGATCGCAGTGGCGTGGACTGTCGATTCTGGTCCTCTCCTAAAGACGTCGGTGTAAATGTGGGCGGAACTCTCCGGAAAGGTAGTTTGGTCTCCTCAGCGTTCTTTGCCCCTATTCCTGCACCGGCACCGGCACCGTTCAGACCACCATCTTTGGAGGGAATGGTAATGTCCTGCTCCTCAAACATTCCGCGGATCCTTTCGAAATGCTCCAACTCCTTCTTACTAACGCTGCCGACCAACTCATTTTGTGCGGCAGTAAAGTCTTCCTCGTAGACCACAACTTGGACATCCTCCTCCGTGGCAAAGTGGTCGAAGAAATAGCCGGTACTGACCTCCTCACCGCGCGCCCTGCTGATTTGTCGGACTTTCTCGTCGACAGCCTGTGTCTTGCGGGTAATCGCCTTTAGCATAGCGTCGCTGCAAAGAGCGTACAAGTCCGCGCCGGTGTAGGTGAAAGGCAATCGGCTGGCAACTCGCTTCAGGTCGACGCCGGGGCCAAGCGTGAAGTTTCGGGTCAAGGCTGTCATAATCGTAACCTGTTGATCGTGGGTGTCCGCAACTCCAAGGTACAGCATTTTATCAAAACGACCGGGGCGTAGAAGGGCGGGATCGAGAAGATCTGGTCTATTTGTAGCGCCAATGACGAACACGCCCCCAGCATTTGACGTCGTTGTGCCATCTGAACTGTCGCTGCTCGTACCCCCGCTCGACATACCGTCCAGTTCTGCGAGAAGTTGAGATACAATCCGGTCCATGACACCTCCACTGTCACCTTGATTGCCTCGTTTCGGGGCCACCGAGTCTAACTCATCAAAGAAAACAACGCATGGGCGAGCGTCTCGAGCGCGTTGGAACACTCGGCGCACATTTGCCTCAGATTCACCGATATACATGTTGAGTAACTCGGGCCCTTTGACGCTGAAGAAATTGAGGCTGAATTCAGTCGCAATGGCCTTTGCAAGAAGGGTCTTCCCGGTCCCAGGCGGGCCGTAGAACAGGATACCAGAGCGTTTTCGAATGCCATTGGCAAAGAGTTCGGGATGTGTGAGGGGCAAGGAGATGGTTTCCATGATTGCATCTTTTTGGGACGACAAGCCACCCACATCTTGCCAAGTGACTGTAGGGATCTTCGGAGCACCGATCGCATCGGAAAAGGTGGTTCGAGCGGTAGATATGGCGCGACTGAAATCGCTGGAAAGGAGATGTGTGGCCGCTTGACCGCCAGACACGTAGATATCCGACAGATGACAAGATTGGGCCTCAGAAAGGGCCAGAAGACGTGCAGATCGCGCGAGTGAGGCACGGTTGACGACATCGAGCAAATCTCCAGCCACCAGGGCGGCAGTTTGAAGGGCCAAGGTTTTCAGATTGATACTTGTCGAAAGAGGCGTCGAGCCCCACGTACAAGCATTATGTAAGATGAGCTCACGGGCTGTTTCGTCCGGCGCCGTCACCTCGAACTCGTGAGAAAACAGGCTTCGAATACCTGCTGGGATGTCATCGATCTTGGTGGTCGTTGCGATCAGGACGCGAGACCACGAAATTATTTCCTGCAACACCGGCACCATCCTGTCCGCCGTCAAGGCATCAATGTGTTGGATGAGTAAGGCGGTTTGTTGGGCCCCCCCTGAAAGGGCACGCTCGGCCCGGGTCCGCAACAAAGCCTCGGTTTTCACATCGCCGCCGCCGGTTGTTGAAGCGTTTTCGGAAAGCAGGTCGTGGGCGGAAATTGGGAAGGTATGCACCCCAACGGCCGAGCAAGCGGAATTGGCGATGTAGGATTTTCCGATCTGTCGTTGGGTGGAATGTAGTAGTATCACGAGAGGCGGGAGGGCTAGATTGATGGCTCGGGTGCTGACTGAAGCTGATACCAGACCCGATAAACGCTTCTCCAGTGGCAACCTCTCCAGATGAGGTAGATCGGCCGCGGTAGCAAGGTGATCAATCTTGTGCACCTGCCGGTGGGAAACCTTGCTGATTCCAAACCAATATCTGCTCCAGATCTCGGTCAGATGCGACACAGAATGAATGCTGCTGCCACTCTGCGAGACTCTGGCTTGTGCCGTATCAAGAGTGACCACTCCCCCCCACGTGTTTTGGTCCGCTTCTCCTTCATTGCCTGAGGGTTCCACGTCAATTTGTTGCACCGAGAACCAAGCAATTGCGAATCGAGCAGAGCCTGACTTCTCAGGGACGTTGAGTGTGGTTATTGTCTCATCATCGCCAGGGGTGTCTTCTGATCCTGTCGACGAGGAAATGGCCTTTCCAAGTTCTCGGTCCACCGGTACAGCAATGAGGTCGCCCTTTTTGAGCGTGCGTTTTTTGTTTTCCAAATGATGCTTCAAGGATGAGAACAAGGTGGATTGGAGAACAGGATCGGTTGTTGTCGGGTCGGACAACTTCGAAAATATGACCTCCTTGGCCAAGGGAGGAGACTTGGAGGTGCTCGAGCGCGGCTTTGGGATGGACCTGATATCGTGGTGGCGTGGGATGGTTGGCAGCGCACCAACCTTGACATATTGAGCGTTTGACAAATTGGCAAGCAGTATTGGAGAGAGATAGATTGCGGGAGACAAAGGCATGAGCAGGTCTCTCTGTGAAAAGCTTGACCTTCTATCTCCGGTCTTGTCCACAGCGTAACGCGGTTGCTGATTTGATAGGCCCGACAGGCCAAAGACTCTCACAGTCCGCCAGTCAGATTCTTCTTCATCGGCAAAGCCGCCGAGGGCGCGGATGGCCGAGGCTGGAAGCCCTTGGGAGCTTACATTGCGGGCAACCTCGATTCGGACCCAGTCACCAGAGAAACATCCAATCTTCGCGAGGGTGCTGGTGTCAATGAACACAAAGGACTCTTCATCGTCCTCCAGGGTAGGTTTGGGGTGCATCAGCTCAATGGGGACCTTCCGAAGAAGAGCCTCGGTCTTGAAGACTTTGCCGAGTCGGGCGCCAGCTCGAGCTGTAGTTGATGTAAAACTTGAATAAAGGGAACCGGGAGTGTGCGTCCCCGTTGCCCTCTTTCCTCCAGGCCTTGGGGTTGCCGCCGTCATTGCCGAAAGTGTCCCCGCTTGCTGAGGTGGCAGACCGGGAGCACTCAGGGAGATCATATCATCCATTGAATCGGAATCGTCGTCGCTTTCCTCGTGCGCTGAACCGTCAGACTCGGTCTCTTCGTCGGACAGATCGTCTCCATCCGACCCTGTTTCCGTCTGTCTGTCTTCTGCCGCCGAAAAGAACTGGTCGTTCGAAGTGTCTTCGGCGGTATCCTCGAGTGACTCTTCAATTATGGGTTGCACGGGTGCTAGTCTCTTCAGGGCTTTCTCTTGAGACGATCCGGTCTGGATCAGAACAATTTTGGTCTTAGCGGACAATTGCCCTTGCGCGACAGGTTCGCATTCCACTATAATGGCGGGAGGAGGCCGGACGTGAGTGATGGGATGAGCAGGGAGCGGTAACGGAAAGACGTCCCCTGTATGGATGATGGGCAGGTGAGAAAGCGCCTCCCGCACGAGGGAAGTCATTCGAGAACTCTGAGCAGGCACATTTTGTATAACGCCGTTCGTCGCACCCGGCTTTTTGCCGCCCTTGGTGTTTCTCGCATATTGAAACCCACCGCCGAATTTGCTCTGGATATCATCAACCTTGTCAAGCAGTCCCTTCTCCACAGACACGTACACCGTTTCCAGAAGAAGGGGTTTCGTAGCGATTGCCAAAATTTCAATTGACTTTGGGACATGACCGGGATGGCGGTCTCGATCGAGTGCGGCATATGTCTTCAGAATCGATTGGCAGGCAGGAGAGCTGGGCGAAAGTTTGACCACATTGGATTCACCGGGAGCTTCAGTTGCAAGCTCCAGCTGGGGATCGCAAGGGCGGGCAGGTAGAATAGTCCACGTCGAGTCTTGGACGTCGGTGTGTAGGGGAGACCAGGGCGCCAAAGCCACCGAGGGCGTCGATGACAGGGAACTTGCATCTGCACTGCCGGTTAGGAGGGATGTTTCCAAAAACAGGGCAGTCTGGAGCCATACCATCCGTTTTGCATGCGAGTTTTGTCCAGAGACTCTCCGAGACCAATGCAGCATCGCCCTTTACAGTGTCGTCGAACACCAGTCGAGCGGACAATGGCCGCTGGAAGATCTCCCGCCGCCGACGCTTCTTCGGGTGCTCAAGCTCATGTCCAAAGCTGTCCATAACCGGTCAGTTGGCAGCAACAGGCATCAGCACGATCATCGAGCGAGAACGAGGGCAGTCAAGGTCGGAGTCGAGCAAAAGTACAAGACCTGCTGTCGGCGAGGAAGGGTGTCGACTGGACCGACCGCACCGACCGCAGGGCCTACAGTATCCGTAGAGGCGTTGGATTGTGTGGGACGTGATTCGGCTGCGCTCAGCTCTGCCGAGGCACATTGAGGCGACGTCTAGTTTTCGTCCTCCCCATTATTCCTTGGTACCGGTTCTACCATGGCCGACGACTCCAAGGTGGGAGGCAGAGGTTCCAGAGTGAGTGTCCAGAGGAGACATACTAAGTCCTCCGTGGTATCGCTGAGATCTACGTCGTGATTCATATCCAGGCATCTCGGCTCCCTTGGTGCTGGTTGCCTACTCGCAGCTTCCTCGGGTTTTGCGGAGGTGGCGTCCACACAGGACACAAAGGAGTCTCCTAAGCCCATCTCGTCAAGCTTACAGTACAGAGTACGGAGTACACTAGGAGGCCTTTGCCGTCCATTGGGGCTCCCCACGCTTGTCCTTTGGGGCACCAAGTACGGAGTATTCAGCGGAGAGTGCAGAAGGCCGGCGTGGTGCAACACTCTGACACACAACACACAACACACAAACACAAATCTAGATTGCTTGTAACAATGGCATTCGTCACAAACCAACAACTATCAAGTTTCAACGGCTGCCCAGATTGAAATTTTTACCAAAGATGGACTCTACCAGCTCTGCACTCCGCGTGGACAAGACCGACAACAGTGAATCTGACAATCCGTGGGTTTTTTCGTTGCAGCCTTGTAGCCAAATGCCCGTGCCTTCTGCAACAGTTTCGCGATTCAGCTTCAGCCCGTAGTCACGGCCAGGTTGCCATTGTCCGGTTGGTTCTGCGTTGATTGGCTGACAACCCTTGAGCATGGCAATGTGCGAGTCCCGTCGGTACCCTGTGGCGAGCACGACGCAGTCAAAACTTAGGATTTCCTGAGGCCTCTTCCGTGACGGGTCTGAGCTGAGCATCATCAGCCTCAGTTGGGTCTTCGCTTCGTCCTCTCCAACTCCGACGATCTTTCGTGCCGACAGAAGTCGATGTTGCCAGCGAACTGGGTCTGGCTCTTTGATCCCCTGAAGATATAGCTCGTCATATATCTTTTCGATGAGCTCCAGTCTGACAACACTGTAGTTGGTAGCCCTGTTTTTATTCAGGCTGTAGTTACGGACATCCATGGTTGCCTCGAAGAAGGTGTCAATCGCGTCAGGATTAAACACTTCGTTGACAAATGGAGAGTCGTCACTTGGTCGCAATGCAGTGTCCCGGAAGATCAGCCTTGTCGTGGCGTTGGGATACCGACTGTGAAGGTCATTGAAGACTTCGGCGCCGCTTTGACCAGATCCGACGACGGCGATGCTGTACGGCGTTGCCTTGTCCGGCAAGACTCGCTCGATCTTGGTAAGGTATTCCGACGAGTGCAAGGCTCTGTCACCGTAGCCTTTGAAGATGGCCGGAATGACCGGAGTGCCGCCAGCTGCGATGATGACGTTTCGAGTCAAGAAACTAGTCGTCTCCCCCGTGGCCAGGTTGCGCGAGACCACCTCGAAGCAGTCGTACTTTCGTCGCTGGCCACCCAGTTTGTGGGGACGTATGGACTCAACCTGCTGGCCATATTCCACCACGTTGTCAAAGTGACGGGCCGCCCACTGGAGATAATCGTCGAACTCCAGGCGGGAGGGCAAGAAGGTAGAAAGATTGGTAAACGAAACAAGACGATCGTGCTCTTTCAGATAGTTCAGAAAGGTGAAATAGCTGCGGGGATCTCGAAGGGTGGCCAGGTCTTTGATGAAGGATATTTGCATTTTGGCGCCGGGGAGCAGCATCCCCGAGTGCCATTTGAACGACCTTTGCTTCTCGAGAAAGCGGACTCTGGGGACGTTGGCCACCTGTCCGACCTCTGCCTGGGCCTGCTGCAGTGAGTCGCTGAGGGCGATGGCAACGGCGAGGGAGGCTGGTCCGAAGCCCACGCTCAGGAGGTCGTGGACTTCCTCCAGGGCGGGGGCATGCAACTTCGCTGGGGCGTGAAGCGGTCGAGAGGGGCCCCGGCCCTGGACGGGGCTCGAAGTCGCAGCACTGGGATTCATCGGGTCGTCTGCGTGCGCACCCTGTGAATCGCCCTGGGCGCGATATGTTGTCCGGAGCACCGCTGAGAAGATTCTCGGTCAAGGCACAAGGCACAAGGGACAAGGGACAAGTGACATACGGCAGACTTTAAAGGCGATTGATTAGATCGGTGAGCCATCGGCCAGGGCGTGACAGACGTGGCTGTCCATTGGGGGGCCATCAGAGCGGAAACGCCCGCCGAGCTTTATCCCCGTTCGAGGGGCCTCTAGCGGGCTGGACAGTGAACAGGACCACCGCTGGCAGCCTCGTTCATCCAACAACACCAGCTTTCTCGTCTCCAGAGAGGGTCTGTACAGTGCGAATGCCGAGCACAAACCAGCCGCTTGGGGGAAGACGGCGCAGCCATGCAATTCGAAAAACCGCAGGCTCCAATTTGAGGCAGCCGATGACGGAGAGCCAAGAGGCTGGTGGCCGGCCGATTATCTGATAATCTGATAATCGGCATCTGATTGTGCGTTTTATCTGATAATCGGAGATCACGCCACACTACGCCACGCCATCGCCCACTACTCGACAAGCCGTTTCCTCCCTCGTGGAGCCTCTGTACAGAAAGAAAGTCGTGGCAGGTGCCAGGCTTCAAACTTACGGAGTACTTGGCCCTCCTGCAGGTAAAAATTTTCTTCCTCGCCAGGGGTATCAACATCATTCACGGCTTTGATTCGCGTGGTGTCCATCCTCCCCATCAGAGTTTCAGCATGAAGAGTGGGGGACTTGGACCACGGGCGACGCGGTCGTGAGGAATCGGGTCACTCTGCTTGGGGTGGAAGAGGTCACCATACACCATCCTTAGTTCGGCTGTCGGTGCAAACACGATGCGGCAAACTATGACTAAATCCTCTTAATTGTCAGGAGAGACAACCAGCCAGCTGCTTCTGGCCGTCTCAGGACCGAGTTCTGGCAACGGACCTCCCACGTTCATTACAAACCGACTTGATACAAACAGCCGGCTCGAACAACTCATATCTATGACGTCGTTTTGTTTGCTGTTCGCTCCCATGCCACAAACTATCTTCCGGGGGTTTTTATTCGGAGTGTCAATTCTCGGCTCACTCGATTAATTCCTACCAGCTCGACTGACGTCTTGGATCTATCATTTCCGGGGCCAGACGATGGCGCCTTTGGCTGATAGCATTTACGGCGCACATGGACTCTCAATAGTCAACCAGAATCGGCGAACCTTACCTGGACCACGGCTCCTCCACGAATTGGTCGCGGCGCCAGCCAAGGATGGATTGATCCTTGATTTCTTGCTCTCGACTGGGGCGCGCGTGGAACTCTCCTATAGCCGTTTCCACTGCTTGACAGATGCACTTGCCAGAGATATCAGGGATCGGTTACCGAGCAAGCAGGCCGACAAGCATGTCATTCCAGTCGTCATACCACAATGCCCGGAGCTTTATATTGCCTGGGTGGCTGTATTAAAAGCCGGAGCAGCCTTTTGCCCGGTCAGCCACGATGTGCCCCCAGAAAGACTAAAATTTATTGCCAGAGATGTCGAGTCGTCTCTGGTGCTGACCACATCTAGCACAACTGGATTCGTCCGACAGGTACTCCCAGACCTCAGATGTATGTCTCTATCATTAGAAGGCCTCGATGACAGGGCAGCTTCTCTCGAAAAGGATGGCACGGCATCTCACTGTCTTCCCGATGTCCGTTCTAACGGACCGGCCTATGTGATGTACACCTCGGGCTCCACCGGCATGCCCAAAGGCGTTATGGTATCACATCTGTCGGTCACACAGTCACTACTTGCTCACGACGAACATATACCCCATTTTAAGCGATTTCTCCAGTTTGCCTCGCCTACATTTGATGTATCAATATTTGAAATCTTTTTCCCATTTTTTCGAGGTGTGACATTGGTTGGGTGTGATCGTGAGCGCATGCTTTCCAATCTTCCTGCTACAATTCGACTGCTTGATGCAGATGCTGCCGAACTCACCCCCACTGTGGCAGGGGCCTTGTTAAGGAGCAGAAAGGCAGCGCCGTGCCTGAAAGTGCTGTTAACAATTGGAGAAATGCTGACACCGCAAGTGGTCTCAGAATTTGGGGGAAGCGCGGATAGACCGAGCATGTTGTACGCAATGTATGGGCCCACGGAGGCCACAATTCACTGCACTCTGGCGTCCAGGCTGGCGTCCAATGCCTCGGTGCGCAGCATTGGGCGACCTCTGAAGACAGTGTCCGCATTTGTATTGAAGGAGTCGGATCAGCTCCAAATAGCACCCATTGGCGAGTCTGGTGAACTTGCTATTGCCGGTCAACTCGCCGATGGGTATCTGAACCGGCCCGATCAGAACAACCTGGCGTTTGTGCACCTACCTGGCTACGGGCCTATTTACCGGACCGGTGATCGGGCCATCTGCCGTCATGACGGCCAATTAGAAATTCTTGGACGCATGGCTTCTGGCCAGGTCAAACTCAGGGGCCAAAGAGTTGAGCTGGGAGAGATAGAAGAGGTTGCGTCGAAGACACCCGGGGTCCAGCTTGCCATCGCAAGCATCATCGACGACGTCTTAGTCCTATTCTGTTCTGCGAACCATAACATTCAAGCCACCGATGTTCTTACTACATGCAAGTCTTGGTTGCCGCCGTATATGCGTCCCGGCGAGATTGTCTTTCTTCCCGGGGGCGTTCCACGCCTACCTTCAGGGAAAGTCGATCGGAAGGCTCTTGAGCGTGACTTTCGGGCTTCTCACAGGTCAGTCCCTGACGATGACTTTGCGAACGACATGGAGCGCGATGTGGCCAGAGTTCTACAAGACGAAGTGGGCCGCACCGTCGACAGGTCAACGTCCCTCTGGGCTCTAGGATTGGACTCCCTTCGAGCTATCAAGGTTGCTTCGAAACTGGGGCAAAAATACACGCGGATAAATGCTGCAATGATCATAGATGCGGGGAATGTGGCGGAACTCTCAGGACTCATCGCAAAGTCCGTGTCTGTACAGAATTCGAGTGCAGCTGAATCGACGAGTGAAATGTCAGACGAATGGCTCGCAATTGAAGGATCTCTACGCCAACTGCCCGAGTTCGCGGGCCTCTCGCCAACGTGGGAAAATATCCTACCTTGCAGCAGCATTCAGATAGCGATGCTCGCGGAGAGTGCGAGAATTTCCTCTTTGAACTTCAACGACATCTGGCTTAAGCTGGCACCCGAGGTGAGTTTTGATGACTTTAGTCGAGCCTTTGGTATCCTAGCCGAACGAAACGACATTTTGCGATCAGGATTCATCACCACTGGGCACCCAGGCATGCCCTTCGCTCGCATTGTTTGGCCAAGGATACCTGCTGGTGACTTGAGTCTGCTCCGTCCGTTACAGTTCAAGGCGCCAGAGACTCAAGAAAACGGACCAGTCCTGATTCGACTACATCATGCCTTATACGACGGTTGGTCCTGGGATCTAGTTATGGACGATCTGAACACCATCTTGTCCGGAGGGGGCATCCCAGAGAGGACCCAGTTCTCCGAATACGGCTCATATGAGCGTTCGGTATTCCTGGCTGAAAGGGCCGATAACAGCGAGCACTGGCGTGACCAGTTTGAAGATTTCGTCCCTACGGATTTTCCAGCTTTGTGTTCAACTGAATCCCAATCCCCATTTAAGGACTCCTTTCTCATGCCGATGTCTATATCTTACCACCGGCTTTCCGAACTTGCAAAGATGATGCATTGTAGTCGGGAGACGATCTTTGAAGCGGCATGGTCACTCCTGTTATCATCCTACGTCGACAGCCTCGATGTTGCCTTTGGCGTTGTCTTCGCCGGACGTCACCTTCCTTTTCCCGGAATCGAATCAGTTATTGGACCATGTTTGTCTACTCTTCCCTTACGTGTAGACCTGAGTTCTTTGAGAACTGTGCGGGATCTTATCAGTTACGTACAAAGACAACGCACACGATGCTTGAAATACGGGAATATCACACTGCGAGATATCAATCATGCGGCAGGCATAGCAACGGGGAAAAGACTGTTCGATTCCTTGTGCGTCTGGCAGCAGAACACGGAGAGTCACGACCACAGCCGCTCCAAGGTGGTCACTACTAAAACTGATGATTCCTTGGATTATGCAATTATATTAGAATTCGAGCCTCACGATGGCAAGATCATTTTGAAACTCACGTTCGACACGAACCTCATACCTGACGCGCACGCAAGGCTTCTGGCTGCCCAGCTGGATACTATCTCAACGGAGATGCTGGAAAAGCTTGAGCTGAGTTTGCACTCCTTGCTAGAAAGCTCAAGCACTGAAATCCTCTCGGTCTCCAACCCTCGACCTGAAAAATTCAGTGAAGGATTCGGCCTTACAACGACAATTTCAGACCTGGCAAAGGTCCATCCAGAAAGAGTGGCAGTTGAGTTTGTTCATGCCTTTGATCCTGAGACAGGTCGGATCGAAAAGGAGATTTTATCATACGGTGACTTGTTTAAACAGGCTTCGACGGTAGCATCGGCGCTGCTCACCTCTTATGGAGTAGGAGCAGATTACATTGTGGCTTTCGTTGCGTCCAGATCAACTGAGCTCTATATTGGTATCCTTGGTGCCATCATGGCTGGCGCTGGATATCTATGCATTGATCCACGGACTCCTGTAGAAAGAGTTCGACACATCCTCGATGAGTCCGCTTGCTGTGTCATCTTGGCTGGGCAGGATGCGGATTTTGATATACAAGTGGGTGCCAAAGCCACCGTGTCTATCGCCGAGCTCCTGCAGCAACCTCCTGTCTCCGGCATCCAGAGCTCGCCTGACCTGAGAGGCGACCAACTGGCCTATGCTGTCTTCACATCTGGCAGCACGGGCGTCCCGAAGGGCGTGCTCATCAGTCGTAAGAACCTGCTCGCCAATATGGAGAGTTTGTCTCGGCTATACCCATACGTACCTGACAAGGACCGGCTATTGCAAGCATGCTCTCCAGCATTTGACGTTTCGGTCTTTGAGATCTTTTGGACGTGGCATATGGGAATGACCTTGTGCACCGCATCGAACGATGTTCTTTTCAAAGACATCGAGCGCATCATTCACGAGTTGGGTATCACACATCTCAGCATGACACCCTCTGTGGCGGCACTTGTCCATCCTGATCGTGTTCCGCATGTAAAAATGCTGGTCACTGCCGGGGAACCGATGAATTCGAGAGTTTTCGCGGATTGGGCAGACCGTGGTCTGTTCCAAGGGTACGGTCCAAGCGAGACCACCAACATATGCAATGTTCGGCCCAACGTCACGAGGCTGAATGCCTCCAACAACGTGGGTCCTGCACTCCCCAATACATCTATTTTCGTATGCAGGAGGCAAGAACCATTGTCCATGGATCAGACCGAAGCCCCTAGAGCTGCTACTTTTATCCCCGTTCCAAAAGGCGGAGTGGGTGAGGTCTGGATAGGCGGCGAGCAGGTCGGCCGCGGTTACATTGACCCAGCGCTCACTGAGAAGACGTTCCTCCACCATCCTAAGTATGGTCGTTTATATCGCTCTGGTGATATCGGAAGGCTTCTTGCCGACGACTCTCTGGCCATCTTGGGCAGAGAGGACGATCAGGTCAAGCTTAGAGGCCAGCGCATTGAGCTAGGTGAGATTAACTCTTCCCTAGTCAAGTGCGAGGAAGTAGAAGATGTGATATCCATGATCATCAATGACGGCCAGCATGCAAGGCTGGTCGCCTTCTGGACTCCACGGCAGTCTGAGGCTTCGTCTCTGTCGAAGGCTACCAGAGATTTGTTTCAAAATCTGGCAAGCGTACTTCCGAGCTACATGATACCCGATTCTCTGGTCCGCCTTGACCAGATTCCGCTGACCAGGCAAGGCAAGATCGATCGCAAGGCCCTGTCTGCCGCTTATCAGAGCCTGGGACCAGAACATCTCCAGGCATCGTCGAGGGACGATGGCTCGTCTGACGAAGCAAATGAACTGTCTCAACCCGAGAGGCTCATTGCTGATGCCATCTCACACGTACTTGGGGTGCGACCTGAGATCATCCGGCGCAATAGTTCTTTCTATGCTCTAGGCCTAGACTCAATCAACGCAATACGTGTGGCTCAGTCACTTAGAAAAGACTTTCCCTCTGTGGAAATCTCGACAGTGTTACGGCACTCGTCGATCGGCCAGCTTCGGGTCGCTCTGGAAGGCGGGAAAAAAGACCACTCCGACGTCCACATGGAAAAGAAATTGGATGACATCTTTGACGACGAGTGGAAGGCCACGGTAGTGGCTACATACTCCCGAGCAGGATTGCTTGTGGAGAGATTTCTGCCGTGTACGCCCTTGCAAGAAGCAATGGCCACCAGCTCCATGGCCTCCCTCTCTCGCGGGTACCAGAATATGCTGCGATTCGCTGTCCGTGGCGATGTGTTCAAACTACGAGAAGCGTGGCTTCGTGCAGTGTCTAGGCACCAGCTTCTTCGAACCGGCTTTGTCACAACTGAATCCGCTGAAACGCCACTCGTGCAGGTGGTTTTGAAGAATTTCCAACTTCCCTGGCTGAACGATACCGATACCGATCACAATGCCAGCACGCTCGACCTGCCGCTGTTGATGCTTCCTCCGTGGAAGTTGAGACTAAGCGCACGAGATGGCCACCGCCACGAACTAACCCTCGAAATTCACCACTGCCTGTATGATGCCGAAGCCATATCCGTTCTCTTGACCGAGATCCAATGCTCGTATCTTGGTTTGCCCCTGCCAGCGCCTGTGCCGTTCGAGCACTATCTGCATTTCATGCGGCTATCTCAGTCCCATGCCACCGACCAATTCTGGCGGGAAAAGATGGCAGGTGTCTCTCCCACCAGGTTAGCCGAGCTCATCCAACTTGAAGACCGGATTCCGACTGGCAACACGTCCAGGTCGGTCCGCAAGGCTGCCCTCAGTCTCTCGGAGTTGCAGAAATGCGCGCGACGAAGCTCTGTCACCGCTCTGGCTCTATTTCAAACTGCGTGGGGTCGTTTGCTCATTTCCCTGTTTGGAAGACAAGATATCTGCTTCGGAAACGTGTTGAGTGGACGGAATCTGCCTATCGAGGGTGTTGAACGGATCGTCGCTCCATGTTTCAACTCTATCCCGATGAGAGTAAACCTCCCAGCTGACCAGTTCAACCTTGATTTGAGTCACTATCTCCAGCAGACGAATGTGGAGCTGCTCCCGTTCCAAGCTAGCTCTCTTCGCCAGATCCAACGACAGAATAGCCCTGATGGCAAAGCCTTATTTGACACCTTGGTATTGTTGCAACAAGGGGAACTGCTGCTAGATCAGCAGGTCTGGACCCTTCTCGAAGAGTCCGGTGACATGTCCTTCCCCTTCATTCTAGAGATTTTCACACGCAAAGATTCTGACGCAATAACATTCCAACTACATTCACAGTCGGCGAACGAGGGCTTTTTGGCGCAACTCCTCGATAGCTTGGATGCCATTCTGATACATACAACGAGATTCCCGCAAGCCAGAGCCTCGGACTTTTCATATTTCGCTCATAAGTTGCCTGATGTGAGGCCAGCGACTGAAATCGCATCTCCAGCCGATTCCGCACTTGAAGCGCACATCAATGGGTTCGGAGATCCGAGCCACGAACTGTCTGGTATCGAAGGGATTGTTAGAGACGTGCTGATGCAACTTAAACCCGATCTTCCGGGCAATATCACCCAAAACACGAGTATCTTTCGTCTGGGATACGACAGTATTAGCGCTGTGCAAATCGCGGTGAGACTTCGAAGACGGGGATACAATATTTCAAGTGCAGACGTCTTAGAAGCTGTGAGTATCAAGGAGATTGCAGCAACATGCGACCGCAGTAGGGACTCTTCCCGAGCACCAGCACCGTTGGCGTTCGATCTCGAAGCCTTTGATCAAAAGCATCGGCCATCCATCTGCCTGAACAACAAGGTTGATGCCGAACGCGTGCAGGCCGTGCGGCCCTGTACTCCCACACAGTCAGGTATCCTCTCCCAATATATCCGCTCAGGCCGCCGTCTATACTTCAACCAGATGGTCTTCCAGCTAGCAGAAGACGTGAACCTGGAGAGGCTGAGGGAATCATGGGTAACTGCCCAGAGCGTCCATGAGATGCTACGGACGGGGTTTGTCGAGACTGATGATCCCCGATTTCCATTCGCGATGGTTACGTACCGCGCAAACGCAGCTCAGCTACCGTGGGTTGATCATACTACTGATGAAGATTACCCAGCCGACGACCTGGCCTCTACGGGAAGTCTCACCGAGCTACGTTGGCAGCTGCGCGTCTTCGAGCACGCTTCCCCTCTACCGGCGACACTAGAGCTATCGATGCTGCATGCTCTTTATGATGCAACATCTCTAGACATCATCTTGCGGGACGTGGCCTGCATATACCGAGGCCTGCAGCCTCCACGGGCAGTAGATCTCGCACCAGTCATCTCAAGCATCATCGCCTTAAGCAGCGAGGACGGGTCAAGAAACTTTTGGTCCGCCGTCTCCGATCTCGCTCCTACCCACTTTCCTGACATGAGGATCTACGCCAACAACGATGAGGGCTTCCGCGTAGCCTCCCACCGGTCGGAATTGTCTCGTGGAGTCGCTGAACAGGCATGCGCTGATGTCGGATCCAGTCTGCAAGCAGTGTGTGCGAGTGCATGGGCTCTCCTCCTCTCTACATATACTGCCCAGGATCATGTCACGTTCGGTATTGTCCTGTCTGGTCGAGATTTCGACCCAGAAGCCCACAACATGGCCGCCTTCCCTTGCATCAATACCGTCCCGTTTGCCATCAAAGTCTCTTCAGAGTTGCCTGACCTTCTCCGACGGGCCACGAGACGGTGTGCTGAGGTAATGAGACATCAGCACGCTCCGCTGAATTCCATCAAGCGCTGGGCAGGGATTGAAGACGAGCTATTCGACACCGTCCTCATTCTGCAGACGTACGACACTGCGCCGGGGTCGAGAAAGCCGTGGACGTGGGTCAATGATAATGCCACAGCAGAGTATGCCGTCTCCTTGGAAATCATTCCTGTTGAGAACTCGCTGAATTTCCAGCTCACGTTCCGGGACAATGTTGTCCCCGAAGAGCAAGCCACCCACATCCTCCGAGAATTCGAGGCGCTCTTCAAAAGCTTCCTGGGATATGCAGGCCACGATGCTGCATTGGGATCTATGAGGTCCGTCGTACCTGCCACGGACGAGCGTATCGCTACGGACGCGCGATATCTCCATGAACTGGTCGAAAGAACGGCGACACACCAGCCTCAAAGGGTGGCCCTAGAATTTGTCACAAGCCTAGATGGGCCCAGGCCAGCCGCACAGACTTGGACCTATTCCGTACTTGATGCGAACGGCAACCGGATTGCTCGTCTGCTTCAGAGCCGGGGCGCTGAGGTTGGAGGGCTGGTGGCTGTGTGTTTTGACAAGTGTGCCGAAGCCTCGTTCGCCATCTTGGGTGTCCTCAAGGCCGGATGTGGCTATGTTGCCATCGACCCTGGCGCCCCTAGAGCCAGGAGGGATTTCATTCTTCGTGATGCGAGCTGCAAAATCGTCCTGACGACCACTGACAAGAGGTCAGACTTCTCCTCAGACACTGTCTTGGTGCTCGCCATCGATGAGGAGCGGTGGCTGCAGCTCTCGGCCGACCCTCCTGAGCTTTCCAGACCGGTGGAAGTGAATGATACTTGCTACTGTCTCTACACCTCGGGCACGACCGGAACCCCCAAAGGTTGTTTGATCAGCCATGACAGTGCCGTTCAAGCAATGTTGTCGTTCCAACGGATCTTCCAGGGCCGGTGGTCTGAGACATCTCGGTGGCTGCAGTTCGCATCATTCCACTTCGATGTCAGTGTCTTGGAGCAATTTTGGAGCTGGAGCGTGGGCATCCGTGTCACATCTGCTCCTCGAGACCTTCTGTTCGAAGACCTTGCAGGTTTTATCCGCGCCCTAGAAATCACACACCTGGACCTGACTCCGAGTCTGGCAAGGCTCGTGGCCCCTGAGGATGTCCCCAGCTTGTGCCAAGGAGTCTTCATCGTCGGTGGCGAGCAGGTCAGGCAGGACATCCTGGAGACCTGGGGGGATACCCACTGCTTGTACAATTTCTATGGACCGAGTGAGGTCACCATTGGCTGCACCGTCCATCGGCAGGTGCCCAAGAACGCGAAACCAACCAATATTGGCCGGCAATGGGCCAATGTAGGCTCCTTCGTGTTGGAGCCTACCTCGCAGAGCCCAGTCCTGCGAGGAGCGGTGGGTGAGCTGTGCCTGTCGGGGCCCCTTGTGGGAAAGGGCTATCTCAACCGTCCTGAGCTCACGGCCGAGAAGTTCGTGACACTGACCGAGTACAAGACAAGGGTGTACCGGACAGGCGATCTTGTTCGATTATTGCACGACGATAGCTTCGAATTCCTGGGCCGAATCGATGACCAAGTCAAGTTACGTGGACAACGACTGGAGATCGGGGAAATTAATCACGTTGCACTGAGCGTTGCATCCAGCCTCAGAGATGTGGTCACGATGGTGATCAAGCATCCGACCCAGCAGAAGGACCAGCTTGTGACGTTCTTCTCCACCGAGCAAAGGAAAGCAAAGAAGGAGAGACCGTCGATTGTGTCCAGCCACAAGGCTCGAGAGCTTTCTGGGCAAATACAGCAGACGTGCGCGAACAGATTACCGGCGTACATGGTGCCCACCTACCTCGTAGGTGTTTCATCCATTCCGCTGTCGGTGAATAACAAAGTCGATCACAAAGCTCTGAAAGCACTTTTCGACAGTTATGCGCGAGAGTCTGGGCAGCTGGCCTCGGGGGAGAAGGCGCAAGAGAATGGGAATGCGGAAGTCCCGAGAGAAGTGAGAGAGGTGACAAAGCTGCTCGCCTCTTTCTTACAGATCTCTGCATCCTCTATCACGCCCGATTCAAGGCTCTTTGAGCTGGGGTTGGACTCAATCTCCGCCATTGGGCTATCCCGAGCATTCCAGACCCATGGCTTCAGCACGTCCGATGTGGCCACGATCCTCCGGCATCCTGTGGTCGGCGATCTGGCACGAGCCGTCAACCGACGAACCTCAAGTGATCATATCCAGCTGCTGGCCGCTGCTCGAGACCACATCAAATCGTTTGCCGCGGCTCATTCTCAAGCAATCATTCAAGCTCTGGATGTCGCCGAAAAGGACGTTGAGCACATAGCTCCATGCGCTGCATTACAAGAAGGGATGGTTTCGAAGGCCCTCCGAAGTGAGCCTGGCGACGCGGTTTATTTCTCACGCTTCCGATTCAAACTCAATCCGGGCCTCGACCTTGAACGATTCAGAGAAGCCTGGGAGTATACGCAGCGATCCGTTTCAACCCTAAGAACGTACTTTGTGCCTACGACGGATGGAGTCGCCCAGGTGGTCCTTCGGAAAGGTCCAAGCGGCGTACGCCGGTTGCCTCCTTCCCCGACTTGTTCCTCATTCAAAGAATGGGTTGAATCTGTCCGATCTCTGTCCAAAGCACTGCCTTGGAAGGTCGAGCTGCTCGAAGCGGGAGATGAAAGATGCATGGTTCTCGATATTTTCCATGGACTTTATGACGGAGCCAGCTTGCCACTGCTCCTTCATGTGGTTGCCAGACTGTATGAACATCCTCGGGAAGCCATCGGAGTCGGCATACAATTCTATGAGATCCTACCCTATGGACCCCTTCGCTTTGTTCCTGACGAGAAGCACTTCTGGTCGTCCAGGCTCGGCAGCTTGCAGCCTTTTCGACTGCCGTTGACTTGCCCCGACAGCCAAAGCGAAACGAAACATATCTACCTCAGCCGCAATATATCGCAAGCGAGACTACCAGCAGTGTGTAGACAGCTCAACGTGACTCCCTCGGCCTACTTCCAGGCCATCTTGCTATATGTGTTGCAAAAGATGTACAAGGCCAGCCCGGTGATTGGAGTGGTCGTATCAGGCCGCGCGCTGACCGAGGCGGACGCCGCCAATGTCATCGGTCCGATGTTCAACACTCTCCCCTTTGGCATCAATCATCTGAAAAAAGGCTCGACTGTGGCAGAGCTCATCCAGGCTTGCCACCAATTCAACGTGGATGCCGTTCCCTATCAGCACTCGCCCTTACGGAAAGTGGCTCAATATCTTGGACAAACCACCACTTTGGAGTGGTTCGATACCCTGTTCGTCTTTCAAAAGCCGCGGCCCGCTGCGGGACAAGATCGCCTGTGGCATGAAATTCCTTCCCAGAGCACTCCAGACTACCCGCTCAATGTGGAAGTGGAGCAGGAGAATGAGAATGGCACGTTCGCCGTCAGTCTGGTGGCCAAGTCTGCATATCTCAGTGAGGAAGTTGCTGGAGTGTTGCTCGATATGTACCTCGATACTGTACAAAACGTGGAAGAAATACAATCAGTGCTGCCCGAGGTATTCTGCCAGGCAGCACCGGGACTTGCGGCCAACAAGCGCCAGGAGCCTCTGGATGTCCATATTCGTTCAAGCGATCGAGATGCACTGGATGGAGACCAGGATGACACGCAATGGAGTGAAACAGAACGCTCCGTTCGAACTCAGGTCGCCGAGCTGGCTGCGGTAAGCGAAAAGAGCATCCGACTACATGGACCAACTCTGTTTGAACTGGGTCTTGACAGCATTGAAGCCATGAAACTTGCGGCCCGTCTCAAGAATGTCGGATTGAAAGTGCCCGTCAGTGCAATCATGAGATCTCCCACTGTGGCAGGCATTGCCAGGGAGGCCCGAAGCGCTGCGCAAGATCTCAACAAAGAAAGCCTCGACGACCAAACCACGATTTCCGTGTCTGGGACGCAAGCCACTTACAGGCAGATTCTGCAAAGCCAGGGGGTCGACCTTGACAGGGTGGAAGCAGTCTTACCTGTCACTCCGATGCAGGAGGGCTTGCTCCTTGAGTCCGAAAAGTACCTCAACATCTTGGTCTATCAGCTGAAACCCAAGATCGACGCCGGGCGGCTGACCGAGGCGTGGAAACACGTCTCTCGGGTAGAGCCCATTTTGAGGACTCGTTTTGCAGCCATTGAAGCCGTCGAGCTACACGCAGCTTTCGTCCAGTACGTCTCGACACGCGATGACTTGGTAGAGGTCGTCCATGGCCGGGCGTTGACAGAGCTTCTTCAGACCATGAAAGCAGATGCCGAGCAAAAGAGTCGAGTCTGTATCCTCACCGATCACGAAGGGAAGTCCTTCTTATTGCTTGCAATGCCACATGCACTATACGATGCGTGGTCGCTACAGTTGCTCCATGAGCAGGTTGCGAGACTGTACCACGGGTCTAATGGCGAGGACACGCACACATCTTCCACGCTGGTTCGGGTCGAGAGGCACCTGCAAGAGGTCGTCTCCCAAGCACAAAGCCGTGGGTCGGTGGAGTTTTGGCGCCGCCAATTGTCACATATCAAACCGAGCCTGTTAAGGGCCACTCTCTCGTACCAAGAGCAGTCCACACCAAGCCTCCTCCTCCACGCGCATTCTTCCAAGACCCGCCCAGTTGAAGCGTTGATGTTTTGCCAACGAGAAGGAGTGACGCTTCAATCCCTCGGACTTGCTTGCTGGAGCGCAATCCTCGCACACTACCTCCGCCAGACGGATGTTTGTTTTGGTCTCGTCCTCTCTGGTCGCACAACTGAAGGCTCAGATGGTCTTATTTTCCCGACCTTCAACACCGTAGTGTTCCGGCCCACGATCCGCGAACAGTCGACCAAGAGCGAGGTACTCAAGAACGTGCACGACGCGGCTGTTCGAGTGTCAGAATACCAGCAGTATCCACTGCGGGAGGCTCTTCGTGGCGCCAGAGACCAAGGAGCCGGTGCAGAGCTGTTCGACACTCTCTTCACCTTCCAGAAGTTGCCAGGCCCAGCGGAGGGCACAATGAGCCTCTCCGACGAGGTCGAACTCGGCGGCATCGAGGTACAGCCACCATATCCGGTCAACGTCGAATTGGAGTGTCAGAACCAAGCTCTGGTTTGGACCGTGGCTGTACAGGCAGGGGTTGCCGACAGGTCATTCGGAGAGGATTTGTTGCGGCAGCTTGAATCAGTCTTGTCCTCTTTCGTGGACACCCCCGAAGATCCCCTTTTGCAGATCGACGACAATGGTGTCTCGATCTGTGGCTTGCCTCGGATCCAAATGGCCGCCCAGAGCATTCTCACTGGGACGGATCATGACCAAGGCTCGGCGGCAAACGAGCTCGAGAGAGATGGTGCGCCTGAAGCTTGGGGCGCAGTTGAAATCACCATCAGAGATGTACTGGCCGACGTGTCGAGAACAGATAAAGATCAGATCAAGAAGTCCACCGGGTTTTTCCACCTTGGTCTGGACAGTGTAAGCGCAATCAAGGTCACCGGACTGCTGAAGAAGAAAGGTCTCAGACTTCCCGTCAGCGAGATCATCAAGGCGCAGACAATCGAGAAGATGGCCGCCGTGGTAGCGGCGCTGAAGAATAACAATAACAATGCAGGCCCAGGCGCTCCTATAACAACGAACCAGTCCCATGAGGCCAGATCTATGCACCGCGATGTTATCGACACAATCGCGATCCCCGAGCAGGACGTCGAAGACGTGATGCGCTGCACTGGCGGCCAGACATACATGCTCGACATGTGGTCTGCAAGCAAGGGTCATTTGTTCTATCCCACTTTCTGGTTGCAGGCGAAGGGTGCCACTGCCAGTACACTCCAGCAAGCGTTTGACAAGGCTGTGCAACAGATTCCCGTCTTCCGCACCACCTTTGTTAATCTCGAGAGCGACGCCGACGGCCATGCGGCCGCGTGGCAAGTGGTCTTGAAGAGCGAAGCTGCCCGCCACTACCCCTTGCCATGGTCAATGGAAGTCAGGAACCACGGAAACTGGTCGCTGCTCACTCTCCGGCTCCATCACGCCCTTTACGACGCAGTGAGCTTTCAACTGATTGTGTCTACCTTACAGAGGCTGTGCGAGGACGTCGGCTCTCAGATGCAGCTCAATACACGACTGCAGGATTTCATCTTGAGGACAGCCTCAAGGACAGAGGATGATGAGGACGAGGACGAGGCGAAACTATTTTGGACATCATTTCTGGATCCAGATCATCGCTCTTACACCACCATCGGAGCCGGGTCCTTTGAAAGCCCCCGGGTTGAGAGGTTCAACCCCAACGTCCTCCTAACAGCTCAAGTCTATTCAAAGCTCCGCGAGCACGGGATCAGCCTGCAAGCACTCTTCTTTGCCGCCTACGCTCGAGTCTACGCTGGTATGCAACCTTCTGTGGAGGTGGTGGAGGTGGAGGTGGATGTAGATGTAGATACGGGAACGAATTCACAAGCCCGTGCACAGCCGGACCACCCATTCAGCCATGTGGTCTTGGGCATCTACCTTGCCAACCGCTCGCTTGACATTGATGGGCTGACGGAATTGATTGCTCCCACTTTCAACGTTGTACCACTCAGGATCCAACTGGGCAACGAGACCATTATCGAGACCGCGCTGCAAGTCCAGCAAGATCTGGCCGATATCACCAAAGCCGAACACTGCGCGGTGGCTATGAGGGATGTCCACGCATGGACAGGAGTCAAGATTGACACTTTTGTGAATTTCCTATCGTTGCCGGACGACAGTGACGACGACAGTGACGACAGTGACGACGGTCACGACGATAGTCACGATGATAGTCACGACGACAGTGACGACCACTTGGTGGATCATGCTCACGATGACAGTCACGACCACTTCGTGGATGATGCTCAATCTGCCATCGCAACTGCTAGTGGTACTGAGACTCGACCAGTGTCAATCACACATGCAGACGTCGGCTCCCGTGACAAGAAGCAGCTGGAACAGCTTGCAGCGCCATCACCTTTCTTCACTGGTTCCCAGAAGCAAGCATATGCGTCCGAATGGTGTTTGGTAAGTTCTTTCCCCTTGAATATTCATTCTGCAGTGTGCAATGTGCAGTGTGCAGTGTGCAGTGTGCAGTGTGCAGTGTGCAATGTGCAGTGTGCAATGTGCAATGTACAACTTTCCCTTTCAACCACCATGAACCGTACATGCCCGCGTCCGTGCCCATGATGACAATGGTTGACTCTGACTTATGTCGTGACATATAGCCCGCAATCGACATCGAAGCCAAAGTCGCCGACGGCTATCTCGGCATTGGCGTCTTTGCTCCACAAGACATGCTGACTGCAGCTCAGGCGGACCGAATCGTGCATCAGATGAGAAGGTTGATGATGAGTATTTCTTAGATGTGGTCGTTGTGGTCAGGGGGGAACCCGTTTGCTTGAGGTTGGATTGGATTGGATTGGATTGGAGTGGATTGATTTAGGATTTGTCTTTTATCTCTTGAGGATGAGCACAGTAGAGTTTCTAATATCATGATTACTATACATACAGTGGTATACATAGTTTTGAGGTGAGCCTAAGCTAAAAGGGGCTTGTGCTCAGGGGCTTGACCGTAGCTCACAGCCTGACACGTGACCTCTCCGACAACCTCTATGACAACCATTATAAACGACTACCGTGACATTACTCGTCAGATACTCGTCAGAAACGAGTATTCAGAAACGAGTATTGCCAGATCCTTTTTGGCGCACCACTGTACCGGTAGCCCAGTGGTCACAGACAACCTCAATGGGGGGCTAGGGCTAGGTGGAGGTTTCTCAGAATGACTTGGCCAAGGGTCCCCAGGCTCATAAGAATCCCTTCGGCGCCCTCGCCTTCGATTTCGTGCGATGCTACCTTCCTGCTGCCGCGTCAGCAAGAGCAAGGGCCAATCTGACCGATCCCATCCCTCTCTCCATCCTCCTCGACCTGGTCTGGGTTTCTGGGGTGCGCCACATTATAATGTCTTCTACTTGTGCTTTTCATTCGTGCCTTTATTCTGTGCCTTCATTTTCAAGTTGTACCTGGTTGTTTTGTGTCTTTCCATTCGTGCCTTTCATTCTGTACCTTTCATTTTCGAGTTGTGCCTGGTTGAGTTGTGACTGGTTGAGTTGAGCCTAGTTGATTTGTGCCCGGTTGATTTGTGCCCGGTTGATTTGTCCCCGGTTGATTTGTGCCTGGTTGATTTATCCCTGGCTTTTAGGTGTTGGGTGTTAGTTGCCAAGTTACTCTTCGTTGCCCCCTCTCTGTAAAACTTACATATAGGCACTAACTTAGGCGCTCCCAGTCTTGTCCTTTAGCCAGAAGGCTAGTACAAGTATACTATATAGTCTGGGCTCCTCCCATACCCCTTTGATAGCGAACATGGAACATTTCAACCTTTGACAGGGTGATGGGGTTAAGGCCTCAGGCCCCTGCAAGTTTGACTAGTCCGGGGACCAAAGGCTTACAGTAGGCCTTACAGCCAAGAGCCAGCATGGAGGCGAGTCGGGACAGCACGCTCAATCAGCTCGTGAAAGCCACAGCCAATCGATGACAGGAGCTTGACAGGGTACCTGTACTGTACGGAGTACAACTCTAAGGCGGCGTCTGGCGTGGTCCTCGCAGCCTAACCGCCACGCCAGCCTGATTCTACTCTGCTTCGCTTTCTCTCCAGCCTGAGAACCTGATCAGACCGCCTCTTATCGAGATACAGATACATTCATATCCTGGATAGCTGGTCCCAACTTCAACTTCCACTTCGGCTTCAACTTCACGCCATTGATCTATCTCATCTAGTGTCTAGTATCTAGTATCTAGTATCGTGGATATGCACAGATACAGGCGTCAGGCCAAGTATGCGGCGTGGTATGATGACCGAGATGACAATGCTGCCTCACGCATCAAGAATCCATTTGCAAAATGGCAAGCCGCCGTCGCGAGTCCAATGCGGGACCTGGAATCGGGCGACGGCGACGTCGGGGAATTGAGACGTACTGCCACGGGCGACAGGCACGACTATGGCGATAGAGCGTTCATTCCGAATGTCTACTTTCAGCCTTCCCCACGCCCAATGGCCACGGCCTATGTGAGAGGCATTAATCATACTCAACCCGCTTCCGAGAGCCAGAGCCACACCATTTTTGTATCCGAGGTCCGCATGGATAGCGACCAAACTCAACCGGGAACTGAAAAGGGAAAGGAGAGAAATGACCTCCTCGCCGGCACTACTACTGTCGGTTCAGCTAGACAGGCCAGTCTCAAAGCAACACAAGCGACGTACGCGTCTTGTGGAGATATTCCACCTACATGGTCATCGCCATCGTCATCGTCATCTTCAGTGAGTCGAATCTCCCCAGTCGTGGCTTATGCACTGTAGCATATGATATGGTGTCTTGAAGATCACAGTCTCGTCTCGAATGAATTGCGTTCGCTCGCTCGCTAACTCTCGACAGGGAAATGATTGTTGCATCTTGCGCATAATGTAAAAGCTTGGCTCTGTTGAGGGTCAACCCCATCTTCTCTTCCTAGACGCACACATATCTTGGACATATCCTGATCCTGGTTCTGACTCTGATTCTTTCAGTTATGCAGTCAACGCCGGGGCTGTCTGACCTTCTTGAGCAGAGCTCCAGAGTCGTGCACACGCCCTTGCACACGAGTCCAGAGAAGGCCCGGTTTGAAGCTTGGGTGGAGAGGAAGCCGAACCATTGGGCATCGACCAGAAAGGCAGTCATCAGGGGCCCGGAACAGAGCGCAGACAAGTCGGGCATCAGTTTTGCTTTTGGATTCGAACGTTGCCAAAGCTCTCTGGCTGAGTCGGAGAATACCAGTGCCAGTGCCAGTGCCGCTCGAGATGGGTTAGATTCGTCCGAGTCGTTCCACGTAGACGCAGACACGGACACTAGGACCATCGACACCGACACCAGTGGAAAACCTGCGCGTTGCTCTGTCTATCTCCAACACAGACGAATCGCTCCCGGCCCAGACGACCAAGCTCCGAACACTGTCGGCGAGCATCGCACCCATAACTCGAAGATGGTCCTGGTCATTCGAGAAGACCATGGCGAATCCGACATCGGGGCGATTCGAGAAAAAGCTTCTCGGCGCCACCGAGACTGGCACGAGCGTATCATTCAATCCATGGGCATCGTCGGCGAGTCGGAGTCAGAATCCCGCCGGGATCTTGTCTGTTTCTTAGCCACCCGCGCCGTCATCTACTCCATGATCCATGAAGTCCTGGAGAGCTGGGAGGACGAAGCCACCAAGCTCGAGGAGGGGCTTGAAACGCTTCGGAGACGCGTCTACGCCAGCCCGGACGATGATGGGCCCTCGGGCGACCTGTGGAAGCTTTCCAAGCAGGCCGTCGAAATGGGCCAGTCGATTGAACAACAAGTCATCGCGATGGAAGGGGTGGAAAACTGTCTGGCCGCCTATGGCCGCTATGTCGATGTCGACAGGCTCCCGTCGCCCGAACTGGTGCCGTCTCTATCAGTACTAATCTCCGAGTTACGCAATCTACGGTCGGATCTTCAAAATGACTTGACCAAGCCGATTGAAAGCATGATCGATCTGGTAGGTGCTGAGTGAGAGCAATTTGGTGGTGGTGATGGTAGTGGTTTCCTCATCTTGCTTCTGGTCTTTCTGGTCTTTTTGTCCTCATCCTGACAATTCTCACAGATGTACAAATCAATCAGCATTCGCGATTCTCGGCTGTCGCTTGAGTTGAACGCGAGCCTCTGGCGACTCAGCTGGATCACATTCATCCTCCTGCCGCTCATCTTTCTGGCCGGCATCTTCGGCATGAATGTAGACTTGTTTCGGCACGATCCGGCTTCCAAGTGGTATTTCATCTCGGCTGCAGTGCTGGTAAGTTTTTTTCTTCCTTGTCCAACCTTTTGTGTATTTCTGTTCGTTCTATTCCAGCCCTGTGCGAGTGAGTGTGTGAGTGAGTGAGTGAGTGAGTGAGTGTGTGAGTGTGTGTGTGTGTGTGTGTGTGTGTGTGTGTGTGTGTGTGAGAAACACTCAAAAGAAACTAAGCAAGTAATGAATGCTCTTCTAGATGGTAGTAGTCCTCGTCAGCTGGTTTGCATTCCGCAAATTCCAGTCGCGAAACCTCCCCCGGACATTGAGATTGCAGACACCATCTCAACTGGGCCTCAGCAGCTCTCGCGGCATGCGACTGCCGCGACCAGGAAACCTGCTCAAGATCAAGAAATTCTTCCGCAACTTAAATTTGCTGCTTGTGCCAGCCAGGACTGTCCGTGTCGGTGTATACCGGCGGCGAGTGTGAGAGGTGAGGTGAGAGGGGGCAACGTGTCAAAGGTTGAAATGTTCCTCGTTGTTTATTAAAGGGGTATCGGGGGAGTCCAGACTATATAGGGATGCCTTACCAGCCTTCTGGTTAAAGCGCAAGGCTTAGGGGCTAGGGGGCTGGAATGCCTATAGTTAGTGCCTAAGTTTGACACTCCCATACCCTATCCCCTATCTCCCATCTGCAACAACCAACGACCAACGACCAACGACCAACGACCACATCGGCGACAGGCGATAGAAGGGATCCAGGATCCAATACATAGGTTCCTGAGGCTGCTTGTGATTGAGTCGAGAATGCAGTAGGAAGGAATGAAGTATTATCAACAACTTGACTTGTATTATATTTATACATACGTAACATGGGGCCCTTGCGTGAGAGGGATGATTGATACATACATAGATACTAGATACTAGATACTAGATACTAGAGGTAGTCATTTCACCTATATAAGACTAGATCGCGTCTAAATCCCGAGTCTGATACTGATATAGTTGAATGCTTCTCGGCTCACTGGCTGTCTTTTCACTCCCTTGGTACGGTACAGTACTTCACTCCCTTGATACAGTACAGTCCGTACCGACTAACCAGCTCAATCATATATACTGTGGTAGACTGGAATATACGAAGTTCTAGAATGTGAATGCTATTCAAGTAAAGATGGAGGATCTCTCTTGATAGAAGAATCCTCCTGAGCTGAACCCTAGTCTCTATAGTACCATAGTGTAGATTTCAACAGTAACGTGATCGAAAGAGTTCTACAACAAAAGTCACTCGATCTCTCATGTTCAAGTAGTAGAGTAGCATCTTTATTCAAGTAGTAGAGTAGGATCTTTATTCAAGGGGTAGGATTTAGATGATATATATTGATATATACGTGAATCTAATTCTGAGTCTGACAACGGCGAATCATCAGATCATCACGGCCGTCTCCTTTCCACTCTAACACATACAGGCACAACCGTCCCTCGGCCATCGATACTGTGCCACAGCATGAGACATGCTCTGAGTCCGATGCCTGCTTTAACTGAAATCCCTCCGAGTCTCACCCCACTGCTGGTGGATTGCGGATGGTGGATGGTCAATGGTGAATGGTGTGAGTATGATGGCTGGACATCAGGACCACTTAGAGAGAGTACGTGAACTCGGGGTTTTCTTGATCGGTAAGATCGAGCCACCTATGTATGGTTGAGACGAGGTTAGTTCTGGGGGTCGACCGGAAGGGAAGATCGACGGTCGGTCTTGACAGCAAGAAAAGTCTGGCTGGGCCGGAAGGGGTGGAACAGGAACAGAAACAGAGCAAAACAGGACAGAAATAGAAACAGGAACAGGAGGAAGAACAGGAACAGGAAAAGGCATAAGAGATAGAAGCAAACAGAAAAAGGTATAAGACACAAGCAAAACAGAACAAAAAGAGCTGGAGCTGGACACTTACTCCTGGTTTTCCAGCTTGACATAGCCCGGTTCAGCCTTGATTGCAACCTTGCGTTTGTTCATACGCTTGCACCACCACCAGATGAAAACCAGATCAATCAGACACGCGCCCCAACAGACAATGATGGTGATCTCGGCAGGGACGTATCTCGGAGCATCCTTGGGCCGAAACGTCTGGGGCCCGATGATATTTCCGACACAATAACCGACGAGGTAGAGGGCCGCCACGGTCGTTTTCTTGGTGTATCCCGCCACATTGGTGGCGACCAGACTCAACAGCGCGACAAACGGCGCCGGCGACGCTTGCGTGAGATAGTAACCCGCCAGACGGCCCGAGTTTTTGTCCAGCGGCAGCGCGACGATCAGGATCATGCCGAGCAATGCGACGATCAGGCCAGACATGGACACCAAGAGCCGTTGCCCGAGACGATCGCCCAGCCAGCCGCAGAACATGAGCGAGACCACTTCGACTGCACCGCCGGGCGTGCCGTACAACAGAGATTCTTCAGGAGTGTAGCCGAACGAGACGATCTGCCATGAGGTGAGCAAAATGTCGGTTTTGGTTTACTTAATCGGTTGCGAAATGAACACGCCTCAAACTTGGAGCGGAGTGTCGACATCGACAAACTTACCAGCTGCGAAAAAAAATTGGATATACCTCCATTGGGGATATCGCCCACCAAAGCATAAAAGACAAAAGCCCACGTCAGCGGGTCGAGTAGGGCCTCCTTCATCTGGTACCATTTGAAATGCTTGTTACCGATTCCTTGCTGATTGACCCGGACCCGCTCGACCGCCAGAACGCGATCACGCGGCGTCAACCACCGCGCGTTGAGCTGGTTGTCCGGCATGACGAAGAAGAAGACAACGCCCAGTGCGGCGGTGAGACAGCCGTTGACCAAGAAGACAATCTTCCATGGAGCAATGGCGGTGCCGTGCTTGCGGGCCCCGACTGCGATGCCGTACGAGACCAAGCCGCCAAAGATCTGCCCGAAGCCATTGAAGGAGAACCAGATCCCCGTGCGTGTGCCCTGTTCGCGTTTGGTGTACCATTGAGAGGTGAAGAGGGCGAAGCCCGGTGTGACGGCAGCTTCGAAGACACCCAGGAAGACTAAATAAATGGTGAAATGTCAGCCCAGCACCACTAGCTTTCATCCGGCGACATCTTTTTCCATTGGGTACAGTATGAGGAAGAAGAGAGAAGAGGGAAGAGAACAGACAAGAGAACAGGCAAGAGAACAGACAAGAGAACAGACAAGAGAACAGAGAAACAACCGCTCAAACTCACATCTGATAGCTACCGCCCCTCCGAAATTTGACACCGTCGCGAATAAAGCCAACACGGCTCCCCAGGCGACGACGCAAAAAGCCGAGTACTTCGCAAGAGGCAGCCTTTGGAGCAGTCGATTCGTCGGATACTCCCATGCGAGATAGCCAAAGTAGAACATACTCCCCAGCCACTGATAGTCGTCGCCTTTGAGGTCGATGTCCTTCTTGATGCCCATGATACTGGCATACGACAAGGTGGTCTTGTCCAGGTAGTTCAAGCCATAGATCACACACATGAGCGGCATGAGATGCCAGTCGATGATGCGGAGTAAACGCTTGCTGGTGGCCTCGTCGATTTCCACCACCTCGCCGCGGGCGAATGCTTTCATGGCCTCGTCGGCATCGTTGCTGTGCGCGAGGATCCTTTGCGCGGCCCGAGTAGATGACACCGAAGCGCGCTTTTCGTCCAGGTTGACGGGCGACACTGGCCGACCTCCTACAGTGCGGATGGGCACGGATTTCTCGTCAGCTTCCAGGTCCGCCATGGTCGAAGATGATCGGCGTGTCTCGGCGATCAATGGGTTTCGACACAGAGTACAAAAGAATGACAGAGGTCAGGTCTGGAGAGAAAGACTTCTGCAATTGGCTCCACCTTGTATTCAGGAAGTTACCTCTTCTTGACCGAAGTATTGTCTGTCGACAGGAGGCGGAGAGCCCAGAAAGAAGTGGCCCTTATAGAGACGCCGACAAAGGTGGGTTGGGTTATCTGGACCAGCAGCTTCAAGGCTTTGCCACCTGTCTTCAGATAGTGACATAGTGTATCATAGAATGGAACGGTGTTGAGCGATGCACGTTGCATCGAGCCACGCCGAAATAAGGATAGGATGAGCCGTCTGGGGGAGTGCTTGTGGCACGATTGGACAGGGTCGACAGATCCTTTAGCGAGGCAGTGGTATCTGGTGATAGCTGGAGGCATGGGCTCGTGCGATAGACGGGATAGAGGCGCGGAGAAGCTTCTGTGATCCTTGTAGCACTGATACCTTGTCGAGACGTCAATGGTACTGGAGGATCCGAGAGAGAGCCGTTTGCTTCACATCCAAACTGCTTGGGGAAGGTGTATGTCAACTCCCCCAATGCCAGCCCAATGATTGTCCCACAAGGCCCGCTCGACTGTCGATCGTTGCTCAGATAACGAACCGACCATGCTTCGGACAAGGACGGCAACATGGGTGCGGAGTATGTGGAGGACTCCGTACCTAACACTGTACTCGTACCCTGTACCCTGTACTGTGCCTGGCAAGTCACTCCTACTCGGTATATCGATCACCAGGCCCTCTGGACAGGCGACAGGTCAGTTGATGTAGCTGTCCTAAGAGCTTTCCCCACGGAAATCAATACAAAGTACTCCGTACAAGGGCGGTGCATCTGAGATATATCTGAAGACGACCACCAGTCTGTGGCTCTGTGGCGCCGACTTCACCCTGTCCACCGTAGATGCTAACCATATCACCCAGTCTTCCGCAAAAGAAGCATTCATCGACCATTTTATATCAACATCATATTGCAGCGGTCTAGAACATTCGGGTATCTCAACACACGAGGTCTAACTCCCAGGCATCTCTGAATTGGTTGCGTGGACCTTCAATCACCATAAACACATTCGCTAATCTTGCCGTCACATAATCGCAGTCCTCGCACTCCTCGCAATACGGCCTGGCTGACTGACTGTGAGGGCTTACCAGACCCAAAATCTGAGGAGCTGTCGCTCGCCACAGCTCAGATTTCGTAGTAATAGTCTTCATCCAAGCCATCTCGGCTTGGAATCTGAGGCCCATCCATCCCATCAAGGCCCTCCACGATACCCTCATCATCGTTGAATCGCACATTGAGCAAGCGGACCTTGAGTCCATAATCACTGATCAAGTTTATTAGCTTGTTGGTCTCCGTCGTAATGGGCTGTTGGTCCAACAGCATCAAAAGCCCATCGAGCCATTCCGACGCCGCACTGTGGCTTTGGGGTTGGAAGGTCAGTAATACGGACTCTTTCGATCCACTTCGTGCAGACGACGTTTTCGACGACGTCCGGGAATGTCCGTCGCGTCCGCCACGTGATTTGGGCAGATAGCCGTGGATGGTGATCTTGGTCGTGGTGAACTTGTCATGCGGCAGCTCCTTCAGGGTCGAATCTGATTTGATCGATGACCGGTCGTTGGCCGTCACGTTTGAAGCCACAGACGAGACGATGGACAAGTCAATCTTGCCCGGCAAGCTCGCCGTAGACGGTGTCTGCTCTTCCTTCTCGTCAAAGTCGCCCCAGTGGAGGTGTTTTCGGCTATCTGAAAGCCTGATGTAACGGTAGCTTTCTGGCCCGCTCCGGAGAAGAGAGCTTTCCGTGACCGGGCCGCCCGTCTCTTGGTCCGAATATGTGGCGCCGTTGGGGAACCAGGCTCCCGCCAGCAGACATCGGATTCTCTGCTCCTTGACAAACTGCAAGCCTTCGCCTCGCAACTCATCTTTCGCCCCTCGTAGATGCGGACCCCAGACATCCTCGTAAGTCAACTCCAACAGCTCCATCTGGAGTTCACGAAGCTTGCTGTATTCGAACGAAGCCATTTCTTTCTCAATTTCTTCGATGCCTGTGGTACGGTCTGCGCCACCCACGACACTCTCTACCAATATCCGTACCAGCTCCACGATCTTGGGGAAGTCATCCGTCTCGGCACCGGTTGCCTTCCATAGCCTGAGAAACGCGTGTAGTCCTGCAACATGAAGTCGGCCCCAGTGCAATAAGAGCGGCTTGAACACTTTGTCGAAGTTGGTCCTACTTTCGAGGGCCAAGTAGCTCTTAGAGTCCTCCAGATCCATTCTGTCTACCTCGAAATGCTCAAAAAGAATTGCCGTTATCGTCAGACTTGCTCGAGCCAACGGGCAGCGCGTTTGCTCGAGGGAAACGGATTGTTCCAGCAGAATCCTTTGAAATTCGTCTTGATGCTTGCGGACATAATCCGAAAGATCCATCATTCCTAAGAAACCCATATCCGCGAAATCGGGTTCTGGATTCTCTGCCGTGAAACCGAGTCGTCTCCATTTGTACGGATTGTGCTTGGGTTTCGAAGCACCGTTTCGGTCTTCTTGCTGGGGCGGCTTTTCCGGATTGCTCGAGAGGTGGACTGCTTTGATCGTCCGCCTATGCTCGGGCTTCAACAAGTCGACCGGAACATCTCTCCACCGTCGGAGCAGGATTTTGGTCAAGGCTTGAAATTCCAGCAAGGGATGCGCCAAGTCTTGAAGGGCCGAGCTCTGCATGAGCACATACACCGCCTTGATTACCCCAAGGTCTTGGATCCGTTTGATAAATTTGGGCCATTCTGTTTCGTTGTCATTTGTGATGGCGTCACGCATGAGAGAGTTGATCAGTTGCAAGGCGTTTGCACACAGAGCATGATCGGCAGATGACAACCTCGTCACAAGCATCTCCAGGAACTGTGGGTAGATTGCAATTGCGGGTTTGAGGGCCTGGAAGCCGCCAGCATTGTCGGGCGTAATCACCTGCGATGACCGATCGGCGTGAAATGGTCGCGAGACAATGGACACCAATATAGCCATGGCGCCTCGCAGAATGTTAACCAGCGGTTGACAAACGACCAGTTCCACTACCTACATGCAACACATCCTGTCAGCATATCTACTTCTCCAAGTGATAGTGTGCGCAGCTCTTGCCTTTTCAACCACACGATCATCCACAGCTTCCCACCCTTGATCCACCTCTAATAACCTTGCAAAGCTCGCTAAACTGTAGGCAAGCGTATTGCCGGTACTCTCGAGGATGAGGGAGCGTAGTAGCGGGAGGCCACCGGCGAGGACAAAGTGCTCGGCAAATGAAGGATCATTGATGAGCGATTGCAGCTTGAAAGCTGCCATCTTGCGACCTGCATCTTCGTGGCTGGACAGACTGGAGAGGAGGTCGGCCAGATTGGGACTTTGCATTGGATTGTTGGGATCCATGCTGGTGAGGTCGAACCAGACTTGGGCGTGAGGAAGCAGAGGTGTACGGGTCAGCGGTGGAGAAGGCAGGAGACAGACTCGCGATATAGCCTCTGTGCCGCCATGCTGAACAACAGTTGTTCTGTTTAGCAGTGATGGTTCGCTGGTGTCAGAGTCAGTACCGCTAAATTGGTCGCACTGGATTAGACCCTCGCAATTTCGAGACTCCTCCGACAGTGATTTTTGCAGCGCTGGTACGGATACTAATAATGATGCGGTCGCAGGCTCTGGCACAAGCGCAGGCGCGACCTTAGCAGCCCCGATAGTGGTAGCACCAGCATGGGCATCATTATTGGCGCTCGCGCAGGCAATGGTAGTGGCGCAGGCAGTGGCAAGAGCAGCCGGACCAGGCTGGTAATCAATCGCCTTAGGCTTCAACTTCCGGCTATTGTTACCTCTCAGGGCAGCGAGAAGCGTCCTTGGGCGGAAGCGTGAGTATGACGTCAGCCACGAATTCCCCTTCGACGTCGACCTGGTGTCGACGATGGTGTTGATACCGTCACCGTCACTGACGCTACGGGAAGAATCGCTGCTGTATGAGACCCAGTCAGACGAGTCATCTGAGGAATATCGCGCTTGATAAGACATGGAGGTCTTCGAAGAACACCGCTCTAGTCAAAGCCGATGGAGAATCGAAGTGGAAGAAGTCGCACCAACACCAAGAGCCTTGAGAGCCTGGTGAATCACGAGTCAGGTCAAAGGAATGGTAAAGAGTTTTGGGATGGAAGGGTTGTTCAACACAGTGCCGCAGAATATTCACTTGCTCGCCCGTGTGCTCTAGAAAGCTGTCAATCAGCTAGCTTCCACCTTTCTTCTTTCCTTCGTCCTTCATGTCCAGGTTGTCCTCTGGAATCTCGGGATATTTCTCCAACAGCCAGTCATACAAATCATCGCTCACGTCTCCCTGCACCGTGATCTCTTCCCCTCCCGCGGCGGTCTTTGTAACACTACTACCTGTCGCAAACTTCTTGCCTAGCTCTTTGGCCACTTTCTTCAGCTCCAGCCCATGCTCCTCGAGTCCCGAAACAACCGTAACGTATTTTCGCTTATTGCGTTCCACTCTCTTGATGAGGACAACGGCCTCAGCCTTCCTCTCAGCCTCACGTTGTTCCGCTGCCGCAGCTTTGGCGGTCTTCTTGGCTGCATCCTTCTCTGCTCGTTTCTGAGCATCCACCGAAAGTGCAGACAAATTGGCGCTCAACACTTCTGTTTCGAGATATGGATTAGATTTAAGGGACGTATTCCCGAAGTTGATCACGTACCAGCCGAGTATAGCCTCTGATGCATTTCAGGGTGATATTTGTGAAGCCATTCCTCGCATTTCTTCGCAGTTCCTCCAAACTCACAATACTATTGTCCAAGGGTCAGTGTCCGGGGCGAACAGGGCCGTATATCTGGGGGAAGGACGTGTACCTCTGGTGGAAGGCTGCAGACTGCAAGTACTCATGATTAGCGTTCAATTCCTGGCTCTGCATAGCAAGGATCACTCACCTCCGCAGTAGACTACTTCTCTGGCTGCAGGCAAAGCCAGTTCTGGCGCGGTGTCTGCCATTGACTTGGCCTGCTATCCCACGCAATGTGTCAAGTCACGCCGGTGGAATGCGAAAAAGGCCTTACACAGCAGTGTTGCATGTGGCTGTTTCCCTCCTCGCTGTTGCCGCCACGAAACCGTCGAAACATTTGGCTGGTTGGTGGACACGCCGAAGGATTTGCCAAGGGACGCGAAGACCGGCAAAACCTCGGCGGCAGATTTCCGAGTACCGTGTGCTTCATCCAAGTTCGCGAGCTGACTTCAACATCGGATACATGTTTGCACTTGGGAGTCACTGCAGGCCTAGGCGATCCGTCAAAGTCTTGCGAGTGTCTTGGACTTAATGTCATTGTTGATGATCTGTCGAGACCTAAAAGACCATCTAACTACTCCGATAATGCCGCTTTCTGTGATGACCATGGCGAACTACGAATATCGCTCTTCCCATCATGCCTATCGGAGAATCACGGGGGCAACAGAGGCCTAGGCGAACACTGCAGAAGAAGATGTTGTCTCAGTGTCAGAGCATGTGAAACTTCCCGACACAGGATTCGCCTCACGCTTCTAAATGATCGTCTCTGTCAACAACCCCGGAAAGCCGATCGAATATGCAAAAGTCCAGGGCATACAGCCACGTTAGCTGGCTGGCTGAAGAGAGCGGGGGATGACAGGGGAATCAGGCGAAGTATGCCTTGCTTGGTCGCCTCTCGCATATTGGTCCTCGATAGCCTTGTCCGAACCGTTACCTGGAACGTCTATGCATCGTTTGGAGGTCATTCTCGTGGGTCTTCCCTATGCTATTGGTACCTGCTACTGACGACCAACATGCCCTGTGGTACAAAATGGATGATCAAGTGCAAGACCCCTCACTTTCGGTATCAACTTGACTAGCCAGTATAGATAACAGGACTATCATTCTGCCTGTGTCGAAATCCAGGTATTGACCAGTGTCTGTCCAAGTCCCCCGTTTGAAGTAACGACTTCCGGACACTCGTCCAAGCGACGATGCGGATGGAGGGACGGGGTCTAAGCGGTGACTGACGGAAAAGGTCGATACCATGTTTGGACTCGCGCCAGTACCGCGGGCCGCCGGGAATTGACGGCTTTCGATTGCGCTGTATTGTCTCGACCGGTTATTCTGTGGGTGGTGACATGCCATAGCCATGGGGCAGTCGTTTGGAGATCACACGGAATCCTGTACAAGAGTACAGTAGCTGCATATCGAATAAGCCTGCGGAGACCGTTATCTGTCTGTGTGACTTTCGCGGGAATAGGTAATTATAGTGTACCTCTGTAGTGCCGAAATGTTGGATAGGTGCCAGCATCTGGTCCCTGCCCTCAGGAAGACCCATTCAGCCATGTTCGACCATAACAATAGTGCTAAACAGATGCTGAAAGAAGGAGATGGGCATTCATATCTGCCTCACTTGACTTAGATTTTACACAGCAACTAACCGAGAAAACGGTTATCATGAGGGACGATTGCAACCTCTGAGTCACCTGGAGTGACAACAAATTGGGTACAATCCTGTTAAAGGGGCCACTTTGGATCTGCAAGTGGTCTCGATCCTGGTCTATGAAGCTGGGAGTGCGGCACCTTATCAAGAGGATTGGTCCTGGACAGGGCTAGAGCAGTATTTGTGGAATGCTTACCAGGGTCAACGCCAGGTTTTCATTGTTCGTTGGCGTGAGGACGATAACTGCGCCACGGCTTACCTCAGTATATACAGCACCGTGGCTTGGGATTGCTGATTATTGCTTATGATTTGAAGCTCGATGGATAGTCGAAAGATGCGGCTATCAACAGCAGCCTCTAGGAGGAAGGTTTCTACCCTGGCTACTGACTTGAGGTGGGTGCAACATTGGAGCAGACTTCAAAAGAAAGGACATCAACAGTCTATGTTGATAATGGAAGGGGTCCGGTTTTCCGTGCAGCCATGAGGTAGTCGATGTTGATTGATTGAGTACGAAGGAATCACCGTAGAGGTGCCGTTGGACATGTGGACTGGGCCCCAGACCATGCATACAACACATTAGGGTAAAAGCATTCGCCCGGAGAGATGAATGTGCTTGGTTAGCTGTAGCAGGATCCTCTAGAAGTCAACATTCAACCAGAGTGGATGTTGGATGGCGACAACTGTGACAGTCGATGAGACCAAGAACCGAGCACGTTGCTGGAAAGTGAGCCTTCCAAGGTTCTCGCTTAGGATAGAATGGTGTATGAAGGAACGTCCTGCTGCCGACCAGGGGGTCCTGCAGTTCTTTCACGAGCCGCCACGCACATTGCAGCCAACGCGCCATGCGGCGTAGAGAGCCGTTGTCCACAACGTGCAATAAAGAAGAGCATGTTTGAAGACTATGCGCCAAAGATGCAGTATCCCTGCAAGCAGTAGTTGCAGAGGACGACATCGAAGGCGCCAAACGGTATCGGAGGTCAAGGGGCCAATCGCTTCAGCATGGCGGTGTGATGTCGGTTGCCACGTACAAGCCCACCTCAACCTAAAGGCGAAAGTGTTTCGCCGAGCATTTCAGTACCTAGTATTAGGTAGAGAGAGGAGTGAGGACGCAACCCTGCAAACCAGCAAGGAAATTTTAGCTCTCTCTCTAGGCTCGGACCCGAGCACCTCGCGAAGCAAGATTGGAAAGGGTGTGTTTCTGTCGTAATGAGGTTTGTTATCTGTCTAGAAATCAAATGTTGGCCGTCCATGAGCTTATCGTGTCCATCATTCGCCTGTGGAAGTTTGGAGGGTTCGGAGAGTTCACCAAAGCCGTTCCCGCCAGCTTGTAGGATATCCCAATGGGAGATGTTGCTGGAAGCCTACAGCAAAGGTTAAAGCTCGTATCAAGGTGACCAGGCCACCCGATAGGTAGGTGGTGAGCATCAAAAGCCCGTGGCCACACGTGGGATAGTCGATAGGGATACGATAAAGAGGGGCTCAGCCCAGTTCTGATAGCAATGTGTTATTGCATCATGGTTCGCAGGAAGATGTATGTAATTGTACAGTGTTGTCGTGTAGCAGAGTATCTTTCCCGTCTTCGTCTTCCCACGGGGCCTTGATCTCAGCTTGGATTCGAGGTGACTCCCCTGGATGAACCAGTGCAGGAGATGCTAGGTATCCGCACCATCATCGGTGCGTAGCAAAGAACAAAGAGCGTGCCCGACGTAAGCAGAGGTGATGGGATAAAGTTGAGTGGATAGGCAGCAGTCTAATTTATATGGCAGGCAGGACGCGTGAGACAGACAAAAGTTAATACTGTAGCAGGGGCCTCCTAAGCCTAATAATAATTATCTACCTTCGGGGACGACGGCTAACTGGCCGTTGTGTAGTACTAGACGCCTAACACCTACGGCACTTTCGGTGACCTTTAGGTAGGAGACAGTCACCTAACAGTGACCTGGTTGGTTGTAAGTTACAGTAAAGCACCTTCCCCGCAATCTTTCGTGCGCCCATCAGAGAGGCATTATTGCCTATCGAAGATGTCTAATCATCGAAAATGCCTATCGAAGATGCCTATCGAACGCCTGTCGAAGACGCCATCCATCGGGGGAAATTCTCTTAGCTGCAACGTGCCACACTGCACACCATACCTAGGCGCCCCAGGCCTAAGCCGTTGAATAAGTAATGTAATAGGCGGCGCCGCTCTGCCACACCGGCGCATGTTTCACAGCTTCTGCAAAAGGTGACCAAAGAAGCGCAAACCCTGGTCTTGACAGTGGACTCTGCACAACCTTGCTTGAACCGGCCACATTGAGTGGGAGAAATGCTTTGTTGCCTCGGGCAGAAATGCTCGCTGATACTAATTACCTGCAGTGGTAGATATGGTCTTCCAATCTTGTATCAAGTCGACTGTCGCCTTGATCCTGTCTTCTGCAACCGGGCCTCGCCTCGCCTAGCCCGGCCAGTAGTTCCAGAGCACTGCAGTGCGGGTGATTTGCCTCCTGCAGCATTCCAGGGTATTTTTTTTTCTCCCTCCCTCCCACAGGCTTAGAGGCCCTTAGGCTCCTCCCCACGCCCGCCAAGCCAGATTGCTGCCGCCCACTGCACTGCACGATACCCTGATACCCTGGCACACCGTGGCTGTCCCGCCTCTGAGCTGTTCGCTGCGTGCCAGCAATGCAGCTAACAAACCCACTAAATCCAGGTTTGCCTTCAAGTTTGCAGCTGCCAGAAGCCTCCGAAGCCTCCTAAGCCTCCCGCGGGCAATCAAAAGGCAAGGAAAGGCAAGGAAAGGCAAGATCGGCGGCAGGCCACTTGTTTTAGGTGTGTTTTTAGTCGGTGCTTCTGGATCTCCCCTGGCCTTGCGCCGCAGCCCGCCATTGGTAAAGGTGGGCGTGGCAGTCTTTTCCTTCCACTCGCCCCAGATGTCAACTATCGACTTCCTGTTACGTAGTGGGCAGCTAGCTAGAAGGCTGTCTTTGCGCTTGTCTAGGGCATCAGCCAGGCTTTGTCCTGTTCTCTCCCCACGGCTTGCCTCTTTCACTTTTCGCGTCACGGTCGTCCTCCTTGCCTCGTCTCTCTCTGGGCGCCTCCACCTCGTGCCCCCGGCTCCTGCTCCTGCTCTTGCTCCTCCTCCAAATCCAAGACTCCACCTCGGTCGCAGCACTGCGGTTCGCCCACCACCGCCAACTGCCACTAGCATTGCAGAGTACAGACTCCAGAGTACATACTACTGGAGCCTCGACCACACCGCAACACACTGCGATTCAGCGGCCGGCACTCCACTCCTCCCACGAATCCTTGCACCACCTCTCTGCACACCCGCCTCTTCCACCCTACTACCCACTCCCTGCGACCCATGGTTCTCGGCTTCGATCCTTTCTCTTCCTTTTATGCTATTCTATATCGCGGATCTCTACGAGCCCTTGGATCTTCGAACCTCGCCGCTTACACTTAGGACTTAGCACACAGTCACGCTCCGAGCCCCGAGTCCGCCTACATCTACAGTGTATATCGACCTGCCTAACCGAACACTCCCTCGACGCCTCTGGACTCGAGAGAGACACACCACTCTGGCCGGCCAAGGCACTTCGGTGAAAAACACCCGGACGCTATATCTCTATGCTTGTTGACGGCAAAGCCTTCTACGAACACACCCTTACCTGTCACCTCCACCTCACGCTGGCCGAACCCGTCCGATAAAAGCAGGAAGCAATATAGCTCATGAGGTCGTCCTCATGACGACCGTTCTCCAGGCTCCTCTCCCCGGAGCCTCTCACTTCTCCTCAAGCCCCATAGATTCATCCTCATACCCTGGCCTATCTTCTCTAGACGACTCATTGCCCTTTGGCCAACCTCACGATCGAAACCCTTCCTACACCTCCCAGGACTATGCCGGGTCATTTCCAAATTCCTCGCCCTCGACCGCGCCCTCTTCTCCCCGGTTGACGCATTCGAACTCTTCCAGGAGGGACTCTTACGCTTCAACACCGGCTAGTAGCCTGTCCCTTGATCACCGAGACATCATTGACGAGGATGACGACATGGCGTTTCCTGCCTTCGAGAGCTCGGGACTCTCGAGCAAATCAGGCCAGACAGCACACGGGCCCGTCGTACATGAAGAAGATACGGTCACCTCAATGCTCAGTTCTGCCGTCGAGGACACATCCCTCACGAGGAAGACAACCCAAGACGATCAATCCATTGAGCTAGAACCGACCAGACATGTAGACTATCTGTCTCATGAATGGAAGGAGGAAGATATCTGGCTATCGTGGAGCTACGTTGCCCACAGACGGGGTGGTCTCACCAACGGCACGCGGCTCGAGAATGCCTCATGGAGGTCATGGACCAAGACCAAAAACCGCCTCAAGACGGTGTCACCCGAAACGCTCAACTGGCTGAAAGACTGTGATGTGACTTGGCTGTATGGACCACTACAGACCAACAGAAGTACGAACCAGTTGGTAGGAAGCACATCCCCGTTACCGAGTCGGCTATCCCAGTCATCTTCATTCATCTCGAAGAAGCCGATACTCAAAAAGAAGTCGGCCTCGGCCGTCATTCTGGAGAGATCAAGGTCACAACACTCCCTTCTACAAAGGGCCGGTGATATTATACGGGTACAGCAATCCAGCCCTGCCATCCTGGGTCGGCCCATCCTCAGACGAGGAAATTCCGAATTTGCCTTGCCCAGGTACAGCACGTCCTCAGTGCTCAACACTCCGACTGAGCATGACATGCCTGGGTTTATGGGTCCACGCGCCTCGTTTACATTTGGCGACCTGGCGACCCCTTCAGAGTGCAAACATGTTCTCTTTGACGAAGAGGTGCGACAAGTCCAGGCCATTGATTCGGAAGACGACGATAAGCCCGATGATGAAGACGATTCTAGTTTTGAAGACGATGAAGACGATGATTGTGGACTCATGATGGCTTCATCCCACCGATCCGGAACTGGCAGTGCCCGAACTACTCCTCGGGGTAGTTTTAGCAACGAATCGAAAACGATTGTGCCATTACCATCGACTACGCTAAAGTACAGGACTGACACTCCTGAACCTCCAGACCAACCCAACTGCGCGAGTGGATTTTGGCCAACTTCACGAAAACTCTCCCCTTCACCGTCTCAAGAGACACTGCGGCCTTCACGGCCGCATCAGAATTTCCTAATTGACGACGATCCCGAGTTGGTGGACGAGCCATGGCAACCGCAGTCGAGATTGGATGGAGGACGCTCTCCTTACGACGATGACGACGACGACGACGACGAAGACACTGACTCACATCCACACCTGAGAAGAACGGCATCTGGTATGTTTATGCCTTACGATGATCACGAAGAAGAAATCGCCATGAACAATACACTGGTGGGACAGGCCTTCTATGCCGTCAACACTTTTAAGGATATAGCCCACGTGATATGGAATGTGGGTTGGAACCGGAGTTGACGGTAATGGTCGGCTGGATGGAAAGTCGGGGGTTTCTTTATGTGTTTTCAGAGCGGCATAGCGGGTGTTTTGGGATATGCCCCGTCGCGACGGTTGGAAACACTCTACATTGGCAAGATGGAAATGTCCATTGGCTACGAGATCCGAGGACATGAATGTCGACGGGGAGAGGGCATCAGAGACGAATATTGACGGCAATCTTGTGCAATGAAAGACGAACTATGGACTTGGGAGACAGACAAGCTGTATATATGACCGGGCATACGCGAGGGTTGAATTGGTTGGAACGAGGGGGATAGGTTCTCTGGTGCACATATAGACCATGGTATAGGTTGCGGCATAGACGAGATTGATCTCTCAGGGATCCAAGGGTCAAGGGGTTCGAACTTCACACTGGCGCATTTCTTGGACAAGGCGAGCAAAGGTCTTTTCGGAATGGAGACGCAGGAGAGCTGAATCCAGGCGCCCGGGGAATTATCGTGAGCCGGAAAGGTGCCAAGGCACAAATGGACAGTGCCTCCGATATGAACCGTGCGTTGCTCACGTGCCATGGAAAACTGTCCCTAGTGGGGGTCTTCTGCCAGCCGATCGGATACCTACATTCCAGTGCTTGAACAGTGACCTCATGATTCAACGGTCCCGCGTGCCCGCAAACACAAACACCAACAACATCAACACTCGGAACGACAGTGCTCGTACGGAGTAATGATAATGTAATGGAGACATTGCGCCGAGAAGATGAATACCTAGTAGGTCTTGATGATCAGTGATGTGAGCGATTCTTTGCGGTCTTTCCAAGTTTCTGATCGTCGTCGTCGATGCCGATGATCTAACGGGGGACTCTGTATCCGTACTTCGGCCGCGAGAGAAGCCGTGGTGTGAGTTGAGTTATTCAGGGGCGTAGGGGCTAAGGCCCAGGGGCGTAGCGGCCTCCTTAGCCTGAAGGTCACCCCCTGGGCCCTGGGCCCTGGGCAGTGGCGAAAGTGCCCAGAAAGAAAGATCCCCAGGGGTCCCAATTTTCCCGACCTGGAATCTGCGGGGGGGAAAGATGCGTGTCTCCTATAGGCGGCAGCGGTGTCTGGGTGCAGTGCAGGTCCACACCTGTCAAACACCGTCGGCGTTCCTTGACGCGGGGGAGGAGTCGAGGGGCTTAGGCCTGGCGAATAAGCAAAGAGGTTGGCTCGGGTGGTTTGGCTGTGCTTTTTACTCAATACTCGTACTAGGTACCTTTCATACCTGAGGCATCTGTGAGGTAAGGTAACGAACGAACTCGATCCATCAAGCTGTCAAACAAAGATGGATCCTGTTTCTGTAGGTTAGGAACCTATAAGTTAGGTAATGGTAATGATAATGTATCACCAGTATGATGTGTGATGTGGTGTTGACTTAGGGACTAGGGGTCTGTACAAACCTTAGCTTCACATCAGCTTGGAAGCAGTCTTTGTCTCCAAAGCTTGCCTTTGCAGCCCAGGAGGACTCGGAAAGTTACGGTCACGATTAAGGTACGGGGGTCTTCGGGGACAAAGGTTCTGAGCTGCCGTTCCGTACAAATTAGGCACCTATTAGTACTTACATACCTGTAGGTGGGTAGGTTACCTGACTTACGGGGTACTCTTTACCGTCCACTACATCCATATCCATACTCAGTACCGTCTACTACACATCTATATCCATATCCATACTCAAGGTACTTGGGTCTACGGAGAGTATTATATCCATACTCAAGGTACTTAGGTCTACGGAGAGTACTCGTAAGCTCTCAGGTGATTGATTAATTGATAGCTCGTCAAGATGACAAGACAGGATCGAGGAAGTTGTCTCAGACGTCTGCAGCGATGTTGATGTTGGGTGACCAAGTCAAGTTGTGTGATAACGGGTTCCCCGTTCTTTTTCCTTTCCGACTTTGACGCAGAAGCGAGATGGACAGCAACAGCAACACCAGCAGCGACAATTGTCAGGTCGGGTCCGGGTTCGGAAGGGTTTGTTTGCTCTTTTTGATCATGGTCCCCGTCGTTTCGCTTCGTTTCTCGCGCTTTACTACGGAGTATGTACCTTACCCAGTACTCGTAGTACACCTAGCACTACAGCTATAGTAGTGTGGGCCAATACACATGCATTGTCTTTCTATCTTTATCCTGCCTAGGCTTGCCACAGAGTACGGATACGGATACAGAGCACCTACTTGTATCCGTTGTTTGTGTTTGCGGACACGCAGGACCGTTGCGTAGTGCTGTCGGGATTCGCCTCCTGTTGCTGGTTGTTGATTGTTGGCTGTTGGCTGGGCTTATTCTGTCCTCTCTCCTCTGTCCTCTCTCCTCTGTCCTCTCTCCTCTGTCCTCTGTCCTCTGTCCTCTGTACTATAGGTACCCATGCAGATAATAATGAGGTGCTGCTTGCTGTATCTTACGTCGGCCTAAGATGCCCATGCCCATGGCCTCAACTGAGAACTGAGACGAGGACAAGTGAGCAAAATGCCAACCATTGCATCAAATCAATCTGGTCAACGAGATACGTCAATGAACATGGAAGACAAACTCCGTAGCATACCTATACCTACTATGTCGGGGCCCACGAGTCCATGGAATACACCTTTAATGGCAGAGGAACGATGGCATCTAACTATCCGTACTGTGATTGTACACCTAGGCAGCTCCTTCAACCTTAGATGGTAGGTACGGCATTTGGGTAAGGCAGTTTAGTAGTTATATGGTCCTGCTACAGCAGTGGAAATGAGAACTCGGTATCTGTCCTCGCTGCTGCAAACCAACCGACCTACCTATATGCAAGGAGTAAACAAACAGTCGATGGGAGAGCACTGGTCCGACATACTAGGTATTTCTCCAGGTGGAATTTGCTCAAGAGGCGATACGGAAGGCAAAAAAACAACAGGAATCACTAGGTCTCCCCTGTTGTGTCCTAGGTAGGTCATGGTCGTCCTTCGGCAGTCTGTCACAGGTGTACTCCGTATATGTTTATGGAGTACGGATATGTGCACGTACTAGATGCCAGACCAGGTAGGTATAGGTAAGGTAAAGACTGGGTAGACAGATACTGGTAGGTAGATATTCGGGTAGTAGATATTCGGGTAGCATAAGTATCATAACACTGGTATTGGCCAACACCTGATCACCTATATGGTATTGAGGGAGCGCTGAGACATTTCTGTGGTATCAACGATCATCGCAGCCGTCGTCGTCATCAGCTGTGGGACGGGAATAAGGTGGATTGTGATAGCAAGGGTCGACTGCTAAATCCATCTACTCCATACTCCAAAATCTGTTGGGATCGCAAAAGCGAACATTGGACAAATCAGCAGCAGCACCAGGGGCCTGTCGTTTGCCGCTGTGATGTGCTGTGTTGTGTTGTGCTGGACTGGTCGTGGTGGCAAGTCGCCTTGTCCTATACCACTGTCATGATGTGTTACGAATTCCTTTGCATGCAGGATGCAGCTGCACGGCGTACAGTAGCAGGTGCTGCAACTCCTGTGCGACATGTCACATCTGCATCCTGCATCCTGCATCCTGCATCCTGCAAGCTGCAAGCTGCGCTGCAACCCGCTGCCCTGCATATCGCATGCTCTGTGTTTGTGTGGCGTGCTGTGCTGTTTTGCATGTGCACAAATTACATATTTCTCTGATTGCGCAATACTCGCTCCATAACCTTCATTCAAGTCGACACACTGCATAGGAGTGAATGCGAACGAGGACAGACACAACGACAACGACAACGACAACGTCAACTTTAACATCCACCATTCCTTGTCCACGTATACCTCGCTCGAAGTCTGTACTCCGTACACACCTGGGCAAGTACGTATACATTAGCCTGCGGGGCCCGACCTGAGACCAAACCTTGAAGTGGATGGGGGTGATAGACAGCGATTGAGTTTGGCATGTGAAAATGCATGCCAGTGCCTCCATGGGAGATGTACCAAGTACGGAGTACGCTGTGCTTGGTATTCCCTATTACTGCCAGTGGTACATATACCGAGAACCATGGTACCCCGAACTCAGGTGCCAGACACCTACCATACAGAGTACAGATATTGGGTGTACTGTACCTAAGGTACCTAACCTGTGCTCTGTCTGTACAGTATCTGCCAGTACCTACGCATACTACAGGCAGAGGTTGCAGTCAATTATGACAATGCTGTTTCAATCAATACTTCATTGATCCACCACTGGCACAACACCGCAGACAACTTCAGGCTCGGAAATAGTGAGGCCCTGATCAGATCCAATATGATCAAACTGCTTAGTTGACTACGGCTGCGGTTGCGATGGTCGGGCTCTGGCAACGGCAGTGGCAGTGGCACTTGCGGAAGGTGCGAACCTGACTTTCGACCTGCCTGTCGTCCTGGCTACCTACACATTCCACAATTGCAATTGGCTTTTGGCCTTTGTCTCAGACAGACCACTACCTCCTGGCCCATGGCATGGTATTGTACTGCTGGCCCATGTTCCTGTTCTACCTCAGTCGGTCTCGATCGCTGGCCCCTTGACGGACAACTTCCATCCTGGCCGTCGCTTCAAGTCACCTGGACTTTGATCCTAGAGGGTGTGGATTGTCGAACAACAATTCGGGTGATACGTGCTATTTCAACCTAGGTGCATTCTTTTACAAAAGATGTCAGATTCAAAAGCCGGACAAAACCTGGACCATACTATGCGTCTGTCTGTTGCTGATGATGAAGCTAGCATTAACATTTGTCTTAGGTCGATGTCTCAGTCCATTGCACAGCGCCACGCTCCTGAAATCGCATGCCGAACACTATGCCAATTGCCCATCCAGTCCTCCCAACCCTAGCCAAGTCTCCCATATGTTCGGATCCAAGGGTGTACAAGGAGAAGAAGACGGAAGAATGACAAATATCCTATATATATGAGTTGTAGGGGGGATGAACATGGCCCTGGAGCCGGGGAAGTGGATATATATTTACAAAGAATCGACACATCGAGGCCAGACCCAACTGCACAACGCTCATCTTTTCAACATGAATGTTCTCTCTGACAGTTGTGGTACTCGATCGGCACGGGATGGCCGCCATAATGTGTTCTTGCTGGATTTTTACAGGGCCACGACTAAGCCAACGGCCATTGCAAGGACACCTCCCTGGATCTTCAACCCGCTGCCTGCATTGGTGTTACTGCTTGGAACAGAGGTGGTCTCGGTCGGGGCAGCAGATGAGGTGGAAGATGATTCGGCCTGGGAGGATGTTGCGCTAGTGGAAGCAGATTCACTGCTGCTAGCACTGTCGCTGGTGGCGGCTGCAGAAGATGATGCAGCTGCGGCGGATGATGTGGCTGCGGCAGATGATGCTGCGCTCGAATCCGTGGCTGTCGAATTCGTGCTAGTCTTCGACGCTGTACTTGCGGTACCGGTGGAGGACGCGGTCGAAACGCTTCCCGTCCCTGTTCCCGTGGCGCCTTGAATTCCAAAGTTCGGCGAGAAGTTGGTGTTACTGGAGTCGGTATCGTCGATGATCTCGATTGTGTACAGGTGGGAGTTGACGTCGTCGGCAGCAGGGATTTGCAGGGTGGCCGTCTTGTCAGAGGCAGGGACGCCGGCTGCGCAGAGGATAGTCAGTGATACTGTGTTGGTGTTTGTTGAAGGGCGCAGGCAAGATACTCACAGGCTAGGACGACACCCGAGTCAGGGGTAATTGGATCCTGCGCCAGCTTGATGGTGACGGTGCCGCTTGAAGGGTTGGTCCAGTCGATCGTCAAAGGCTTCCCGGCAGTGACATCCAATGTGGATTGTCCTTCGGGGATGCTGATGGCATTGTTTTTCTGGGCAGCCACCACTGCTACGCAAAGAGCGGCGACCACAGTGGCAAGAAAGCGCATGTTGGAGGTTGTGATAGGGGGCACGACGAGAGGAAGTGCTGCGACAACAAGATAATGGTGTTACAGATTATGTGACAACAGGGAGGATATGCAGACAGGGTTCGTGGTGAGAGAGAATGGTGATGGAAGTGAAGGTGAATGAAAATAGACCAAGAGTCTGACTCGAAGATGGCAACAGGAAGCCTATTAGGTGCTCTACGGCGCCTAAGCCTCTACGGATACCTAGTTTTTTTCGGCCGACGGAGGAGGCGGTTGTTTGCAACACAAAACGCCTCGAGAGTCGCGTTGGCGGTTGTCACGTTGTCACGTTGGCTGAAGATAGTTTCTCCGGGTTGTGCGCGACAACCAAAAGCTTACCGTCTTTAGGGTGCCTGGATCGTGTTTAGAGGCCACGTTAGACCCAATCAATGCCGGAGTTTGAGCCCCTAAGCCACCACCGCCACCAGACTACACAGAATACGGCCAAGTACCTCCAAGTGTGCTCCTTGATTGGCAAATCAGTCTCGCGCCGCCCTTCCACTCGCCCCGGGATCCGAGACCTTGTTCCAGGCACCGCGTCGTGATTGGTCTTTCTGCTGCGCCTCGCCTCGCATCGATGGCACCCATCAGCTCTCATGTGGCCCTTTGGGAGGTAAGAAGTACGGATATTCGATATTCTGCACAGAATCAAGAAGAAATCAGCTGATGCACCACATGGCACACCCCTCGTGTCAAACAAACTCCAGCTACTGCGTACAATGTACATATCCAAATGTGTGAGGCCAGTGGCGGATTCTTCCGGAACGGTGGCATCATCATTGGATTCGCTTATGTCGGCACCCCGGTTAAAATGAGCGAATGCTGAATTTGGTCGTTGCCCTGTTCGAAACGGAGGTGCTCGGATCTCCGATGCCTCTCCGCGTATGGGTACGGAGTAGGGGTGCTAAGGACCTTTAAGTATGCACTCATGTTCGCCTCTGAACACCTTGCGGGTAGAGGTTTGCGGGCTTCAGCCCGTACCCAACGCAGCTAGGCTGATACGATCTCGCCCGACATTTTGTCCTCGAATGACAGCGCGGCTGAAGCACAACAAGAGTAGAGTCATTGGCAAATCACACATTACTACGGGAGCAATGGTGGCAGTGTTCGGCTAAGCCTGGTCAGCAACCCATGGCCCAAGATGCGACGAATGCCTACATAACATGTAGTTTATTTCCTTTCTTGTCCCTTTATCCCGCTCCGGTGAGTTCAAAGGCCTGGTTACACTGAAAGATCTCCACTTCAAGTGGCTTGCCTGTACCTGTCTCAACGAGTTGGTTCAGCAATCTCACATCCGGTGCTATTGGGAGGCTGTACGACCACTGCACGGAGTCAAGAGGTGGCCACCGTCGGATCAGTCGTGTAGGGAGGTTCAAGCTGGCCTTGGAGGCGGAGAGTGGTTGTGGTTGATTTGTTCTGGCATGGACGGAGACCGTAGTAGATAGTAGATGGAGCAAGGGATTTCCATATCACAGCTTTGGGCAGAGGCATCAGACAAGATTGTTCGCACCATCACTCTCTGCGTATGCATCACAAACCAGGGGTTGACATGACTCGGACCAGTCTGAGAGCGAACTTCTTGGGGTTCTGTAATCGGAACGCGGACGACGATCCCATCCGGCCTTCCCTTCCAGACGGTGACACGACCGTTGGATACTCAAATGCGGGATTTTCCCTTGAATAAAAAGCCACCAACATACTCGTACATCCCGGAGTCAAGGTCAAGGCATTGGCTTTAGTGCAACAACAACAACTAGCTCACTCAGGCCACCAGTACCCTCCCCATGTTGATTTTCCGCCCAGATCTGGTTCAGGGCTTCCATTTGGCTTCTTCCCCTTTTCTGTGAAACCTTAGGCAAGCCACAAGTCGTATCTCGTTATCGCGGATTCGAAACACACGATTTTCAGGTGTCTGACAGCCGTAATTTTGGGACTGACTCGGTCTCCGACCTAGAAGATGCAGAACTTGGGTGTTTGTATCTCATTTCAAATAAGCCCGTCATATGTGGCATATATCTCAACCTCCAAGACCGAATTGCACGGCCGGTATAGAGCCCATCAGGCTCAGGTTGAAGACAGCCCACGGACTTCGTGTCTGTCCGAGAGTGAAGGTCAGGAAACTTCTCTTCAATATTTCCTCATACGGAGCGGGGAGAGTAAACCTGACGACCATCCTTGTGTCCTGCGGCGGTCCTTTTGCAAAGACGCACAGGAGGTCAGGGTTCATTGCGGAATGAAATTGGTGGGACAAGGATTTTAGCGAAGACCATGATTCCAGACCTAACGCCGTTCTTTTCCTGATAGCGATGCAATGGGAGCCCCCCTGCCCGTTCGGCGGCTGCTCACAGTCCGGTTCTCGCACTTCGCGTGGCGGCATGAACCTCTGGCAAGGGCCTTTTCGAGTTCGACGGGCAGAGAACCGACAGATCAGTGAAATTCTGCATGTGCGTGTTTTAAGATGGCCCGGGGGGCTTCGTAGAAATGCAGGTATGTACTCCGTAGGTAGGCATGTAACTCCGTAGGCATGTCGTAAAAGGGCCGGGGTTTAATGAGGGCGCTGTCCTTGCGAATTCAACCGAGAATGGCAGACTACTGTATGCAGGGTTTGGAGACTTGGGGCGCATGCCACGCTGCCAGAAGACGTAGGCAGACGTAGGCTCAATCTCAAGTGCAAGCCGCAAGGGGGTGGGAATTTGCTGTCAATTCCTTGTCTCCTCGCATGACAGGCTTCAAAACCGACAAACTACATAAATGGTGGACTGGACATTTAATTGACAGCGCAGGGCCTCATTCCGTCATTCCTGTCAAAAGTTCCTGTGGTTCATCCCTCCTACTCTTCTTATGTTTGTAGTTATTATGTTGTTGTTTAAAACCCCTGTCTCTCTCTTGTCTGTCTTGACGTCCTCTTTTCCCCAGATCTTCTCTTCAGCCCCATGGCAAGCCTGTCGATCGTCAACTCTGAGTAATTCCTAGGGCTGTACTCCGTACAGAGTACACTGGGTTTAAGTACGAGTACAGAGAAAAGTCTGATTCATTTAGACTCCGGGGCGGCCAACCTGTCGAATTTCACCTGGGGCCACCAGTCTACCTCGTACGCAGGCTCCTCACCGCAAAGACAAAGCCCAAACCTACTCGGCAGGTTTGACCACGAGACAGACGGCGAACCAAACTCTGCTTGCCAACGACCCTTCAATCCAGAGCAAGACTCAATTGAGTTCATTGCCCAAGATGCGAAATTCCCATCGGCGTTCTCTCACCAACGAGGTGGCCTTCGAGGCTCTTCCCCCGGCACTTAGACGCAAAGTGAGTCCAATTTGTCACGTTGTCTTACTTTCGCTTGTCATGGGTACACGTCCCCCAGGAAAAAGGAATGCAAAATGGTCGGAGCACTGTCACACTGTTAGGTGATGGGCAAGCCACGATCTCTGAAACGAAGACAGAAAGGAGGGAGAGACAGCAGATCACATCTTCGAGCAGCCCATCCACACCCCCAACAACTGCCCGTCAACGGTCAACGGGCTAAGGAGGCTGCCACGTCACTCCAAGGTACCACTATAGCCCAATGATTGCAGGCACCCGTCAACGTCCATGACCACGCCGCCTGTCTCTCTTGGGATCCATGGGGTTTAGGCTGGCCGCTCGCTGCCTAAATGGGGAACCCGGGCCCTTCTTAGCAGCCAGTCCATCCCCTGGCGGCGGCACGGTCCTCCCAAGCCCAGGGGCGCCACTTCAACGGACCAACCCCATCCAATGTCTTATCTGACCATTCCACTCTGTGCAGTATGCACACGCCAACTTTGTTTCGCGTGATGGTTGACACCGACACCTCGTCGATCGCTTATTCTGCAGGTCTCCAGGCTAACAGAAGTGTTGCACCAGTATTTTAGCAGCTTAGAACGCCTCAGATTAGCACAAGATGGGAGCAACCTCCCCCATCCTCGTCGTCCCCGTCCCCGTCCATCAGTCCTTCAGCCGAGCGACACCTGGACTGCGGCAGATACCTCGGACAAACCATCCCTTCTGCCATCCGGCGTCCTACAGCCCGGGCAGCTGCTCAACAGGAACAGACTCCGCAGGAGACGGGCCTCGACGACAAACAATCAGGCGACCCCCTCAACGGTTGCGTGGTTCGGCTCTCTGCCCCCTGCGGTTCAGAAAAGGCTGTTCTCTAAAGAGGAGTGCTCATTTTATACCCTGGCGAAAAACACCATCATCCTAGACGCCGCAGACGAAATCCTGCGACGCCGCAGTTCTCGTACAAATCAGTTGGCTGCAGTCGAGCCACGCTTCTCTGAAGCCCTTACTGCTGTGGAGTTGGACAACCTCAAAGACGAAGCCCGCGTGGATTCTGCCATCGACATGAATGACTATTCCGCCGAAGGGTTTCGATGGCTGGAGGACGAGGGGGACTTAGATCTCGAGTTGGACGACTACCACGAAGCTATCGCAGAAACAGCTCGGAAGACCGCATCCATATCAGAACCCGTCAAGCGGCCTTTCAGGAGGAATACATCAATCTCGAGCATTTCTATCCGACGCGGCCGGAATTCAACGTCGTCCTCACGCGGCCAGGGCGAAATCCCGAGTGTCCCACCGTTACCGTTGAAATCCAACGACCCATCCTCGCCCACCTCACTTAAACACTTCCGCTCGCAAGCATCCTTATCCTCCATCGACCCCCGTGCTACTCACTACCAAGATCCTGCCGCTCGACTGAAGCTGAGGCTCTATCTGGCATCTCCACAAAAGTTCGACGAGGCAATCGAGTTTGGTTTCCCCTCCGTCGGGCAGAAGACAAAACAATGGGATCATACACGACCGATGACTAGCCCTCAGCCAAGACCCGATGTGAACCGGACATTCTTCCACGAGGATACGCCGTCGTTGTCGGGTGACGACGGGGACGATGTAGACGAGCCCGATACTCTCTATGACCCTAGAACTCCTGATGACGCTGTCTTTCATATGCACCGACAGTCTAAGAAAACGAGCGTTGACGGCAGCACGGGATCAAGGCTCTTCTCCACGAGGAGGCATCCCGAGACATATACCCGGGGCGTCACCGCAGATCGGGAGATGACACTTCATATGACATTGACCCGTCCAGACCTACGTTCACCCGAGGAAATACAGCTAGTCAACCAGAAGAGTATCAATGATCTGCCTTTAGAACGACCGGAATTGGCGTCTGATGGCCATGGTATATCAATCTGGGACACACTGCCTCCTGAAGAATCGAGGGTGAAAAGATTCTTACGGAAATTGAGGCTGAAATGAATCAGGGCGTGGTTGACTGTTGGATTGGGTTGTATTTTGCATATGCAGGAGCAGGCATTATCATGTATTACCATGTCATTCAGCGATGGAGTTCAGGGTCGATTGCTGCAAGGTCGATTGCTGCAAGGTCGATTGCTGCAGCCTGTTTGGGCCGCTGGTAAAAGGGGGTAACATTATGCCGGTTGGGGTTGGGCGCGAACACATCATAGCAACTGGTGGGAGGGTATCTCTAGAACACAACGTGTCCTCACTCGTATACCTGCACTCGGCGGATTGAAGATGAGGCAGTAGATGAAGGTGCCAGTGACAGCGTCAAACGACGACCAACCCACCTGCATCTTGTCAAGCATAACGCGTCAGCCTCCAGGAGCCTCGAGTGCCGCTGATACACGCTAAGTTAAGGACCATTGCCGCATCGGAAGTCTGTGCCCCCCGATTTACTACGAGTACCGGATGCTGAGACTCCAGAATTAATTGCTGGCCGCAGGCAATCCTCTAGGTGCTACAAACCATCAATCTGTCCGTTCCATCTTGCCCATCACTCTTTTAGTCTCAACACTGCTTACTGCGGACTCCCTCTCCCAGTCCAATGCGGTAATCAAAAGATGATAATCCGGCCTTTCTGTTGTCGCGCGGTCGCCTCGTCCTTTACCCTCCTCCTCCTGTTGCTGGCCTTTTCGCCCCAGCCCACGCAAGCAAAGAAAGATGGGCCGACCATCATCTCCACGAAATTCGAGAATGTCCTCGAGAATGTCTTCTACTTCGATGACTCGCATGTCATCATTGGTCAAGATAGGGAGCTGAACAAGGTGTGGCGCAGCGCAGACGCCGGGGAGACGTGGCAGGAGATTGATGATGAGGGACAATCGGGAAATGCCTGGGAGCTGTACCCTCATCCCTGGGACAATCAGCGCGCATACATCCTCGGACTTGCGTTTGATCATTGGATCACTACGGACAGAGGCGAGACATGGAGGAAATTCAGTAGTGCTGGTTCCGGTCTTGCCTTGTTCCGCAGCAGCCCTTTGAGCTTCCACGGACGAGATCCCAAACGCGTCATCTGGAATGGTGAGCAATGCACTGGCCTGTCGTGTACCGAGGTCGCCATGTACACGGACGATGATTTCAAGACTGTCACCAAGATAGGCAGCCAAACAAGAGGTTGTCAATGGGCTGTTGGCACCCCAGACTTTGCCCTGGATATCGCGGCCGAAGTTGACACTCGAGTGTTCTGCATTGTGGAGGGTCTGTATTCTCCTTGGCCCAAGGACAACCGGTTGGTCGTCTCCGACAGCTATTTTGAAGAGGACGAGCTGGAGCCCGCCCTGGACGAAGGTCGAGCGGTAACTGGGATCATTAGCATGGCTTCCGTGAAGGGATTTTTGGTTGCAGCGGCAAAGTCGGAGGGTACGGATGAGCTGGCCCTGTATGTGACAAAAGATGCATCACAATGGCACAGAGCCGAATTCGGACAACATCGCATCAATGAAGATGCCTACACCATCCTCGAAAGCACCAACTACAGCATGCAAGTCGATGTACTGGGATCCCGGCCTTCCAACCCGATGGGCTACCTGTTTACATCAAATTCCAACGGAACATACTTCACCCGCAACATCGACCACACCAACCGAAACCTCTACGGTCGAGTCGATTTTGAGAAGGTTCAGAGCATCCAAGGGATTGTTCTGGTGAACACCGTGGACAACTGGAAAGAGGTCGAGGCTTCCACCCTTGCCGACAAACAGATCAAGTCGCAAATCAGTTTCGACGACGGCCGAACATTCCAAGATCTTATGGCGGGCGACAAGAAGCTACACCTCCACTCGGTGACAGATGCCAAGCAGGCCGGCAGGATCTTCTCTAGTCCAGCCCCCGGCATCGTTATGGGCGTTGGCAACACTGGAAAGTATCTCAAAGATTACAACGAGGGTGACCTTTTCGTCTCAGATGATGCCGGCGTCACATGGTACAAGGGCCTCGATGGAGCTCATCTTTACGAGTTCGGCAACCAAGGGGCTGTCATTGTAGCCATTGACGACGAAGATGCAACTTCTTATATCAGGTATTCTATTGATCATGGCAAGACCTGGACGAAGGCAGACCTTTCCCAGAAAATCCGTGCTAAGGTTCTGACGACGGTCCCTGATTCTACTACCCTCAGTTTCCTCCTAATGGGTGCCCATGGGTCGGGCTCCAAGACGGAATGGGTCATGTTCAAGATTGACTTCGAAGGCCTTCATGAACGCGCGTGCAAGAAGGACGATTTCGAGCGATGGCCTGCCCGCGTCGACGCGGATGGTAAGCCCAGCTGTCTCATGGGGCACAAGCAATTCTTCCGCCGACGCAAGGCTGACGCCGAATGCTTCATTGATGACGAATTCAAGGACCCAGTTCCGGAGTTTGAGCCTTGCGTCTGCACAATAGCAGATTTCGAATGCGATTACAACTTTGTCAGGGATCCCGACGATCGAACCAAATGTGTCCCGGCTGCACCTCTCTCTATCCCAGAAGGGGAGTGCAAGGACATTGAGGACACGTTCAGAGGGCCTTCTGGGTGGCGATTGATTCCCGGAGACGAGTGCAATCGCAAAGGCGGAGAAGAACTTGACAAGGAAATCGAAAGGCCTTGCTCAGACTCGGCGAAACGGCCGGCGTCAGGTGAAATCGTTGTCGAGAAAACTAACTTCGATGCCGACCGATTTTCTGAATGGTACTATCTGGAAAGAGGGGACACTTCGATGGGAAATGACGAATCAATCGTCATGCGGACAAGTGAACAGGACATCTTCCTCACTCGTGACCATGGCAAGACATGGGAGCCCATCCTCACGGGAGAACCCATCACTGCCATTGCCCCCAATCCTCACCATCATGACGTGGTATTTTTCCTTACAGGCTCCAAGACCGTACACTACACCATCGACCGAGGTGATCGGTTTGACCAGTTCGTTGCACCAGAACGGCCCAGCAATCTGAGACTGCCAACCTTGAGATTCCATCCAGACTACAAGGACTGGTTGCTCTGGTCTGGCGCAGTTGGAAAGGATGATCATACCAACATCTTTTACTCGAAAGATCGGGGCGACAATTGGCAGACTCTTGTTCGATACGCAAGGAAGTGCGAATTCATCACCCGAGAGGGACGGGCTGATTCTGACGAACTCATCTACTGTGAACAATATCAAGATGAAAATCCGGACAAGAACCTCATGCTCTTGTCCAGTGATAACTTCTTCAGCGACTCGACAGTCCATTTCCCGGACATTTTGGACTTTGCAACCATGTCGGAATTCATCATCGTGGCGGCGAAGACAGAAGATAGACAGAGTTTGAAAGTGGATGCAAGTATTGATGGCCGGACTTTTGCCCCAGCGGAGTTTCCCAAGAACTTCCAGGTTGCTCACCAACAGGCCTACACTGTTCTGGACAGTTCTACCCATGCCGTCTTTCTGCACGTTACTGTCAACGCGGCCCCAGACCGTGAATACGGAGCCATAATCAAATCCAACAGTAACGGCACATCGTACGTGTTCACCTTGGACGCTGTCAACCGGGACCAGGAAGGATACGTCGACTTTGAGAAAATGCAAGGCCTTGAAGGCGTCGCTACTGTCAATGTTGTCGCCAACATTGACGAGACTAATGACGGCGAGAAGAAGAAACTCAAGTCCATGATCACACACAATGATGGCGCAGAATGGGCTCTGCTGCCACCGCCCAAGAAAGACGCCCTTGGGCATGATTATAAGTGTGTTTCAGAGGCCAACAAGGCAACTCAGAAATGCTCTCTGCATATCCACAGCTACACCGAGCGAGCCGACAAGTCAGCCACATTCTCCAGCCCTAGTGCAGTTGGCCTTATGATGGCGGTCGGTAATGTCGGGGAATTTCTCGCTCGAAAAGATGATGAAAGCACTGACACATTCATCACACGTGACGCTGGCATTACATGGTCATCGGTGAAGAAGGGCAGCTACATGTGGGAATATGGCGATCAAGGCAGTATCATTGTCATTGTCAAGGAATCGCAACCTACGAAGAGCCTGTTTTACACGCTCGACGAGGGTCAAACATGGAAAGAGTATGAATTCTCTCCCGAAGTTGAAATGCAGATCGATGCAATCACCACGGTTCCTTCGGACAATTCACGGAATTTCTTGCTTTGGGGCCGCGAACTAGGAGCTGGAGCCAAACGTGGCATCTTTACTGTTCACCTTGATTTCAGTGGGCTCAAGGAACGACAGCGGAAATGTGACTTGGACGAGGCAAACCCGATCAACGATGACTACTCGCTATGGGAGCCGAAACATCCTATGCAAGACTCCAACTGCCTTTTCGGTCATGTGTCACAATACCACCGCAAGCGAATCGATGCTCAATGTTACAACGGAAAGAAAATCAACCATCTCCACAACCTTGCACGCAACTGTAGCTGCACTCGGCAAGACTTTGAGTGCGACTACAATTACCAGCCACAGGCTGACGGCACATGCCAACTGGTGCCCGGTCTGCAACCCCAAGACCACGAACAAAATTGTCTCGACAATCCTAAGCAGGTCGAATTCTGGTATCCGACAGGGTACAGGCGTATTCCGCTCACGACATGTATAGGGGGTGTGGAACTGGACAAATTGGAGAGCCGCCCGTGTCCTGGCCACGAGAAAGAATACCACAAGAAGCATGGCATCAGCGGGGCGGGATTGTTCTTTGCGATTTTCATCCCCATCGCTGTAGCTGTGGGGATTGGGTACTGGGTCTACACGCAATGGCGGGCCGGATTCGGCGGGTTCGGACAGATCAGGTTGGGTGAGAGTAGAGCAAGTGGCGCCGAGTCTGGGGATTCTCCGTGGATCACAGTGCCCGTTGCGATTGTCAGCGGAGTGGTCGCTGTTGCAAAGGCCACTCCTTTGCTTGTCATGTCTCTATGGCGGAGTGCCAAGGGATACATGCCATTGCGTTCCGGCGGTGGTGGAGGAGGCAGGTTTGGACTTGGAAGAGGATCGGCTGCCGGTGGATATGGTGCGCCGTATCGGTCGAGAGACGCTTTTGCAAGACGCGGTCAGGATTATTCCGAGGTGGTCGAGGATGATGAGTTGCTTGGAGACGGGCTGGATGATGAAGAAGAGGTTTGAGGGGCAGTTTAGAAGGTCAATTGCTGCAGCTGCAGCAGCAGCAGCAGGACAGGACGGCGACGCCCAGTGTGCCAAAAATAAACGAAGGAACAGGACGAGACAAGATCGAGGTCCTTGTGTAAGTATTGAACAGGTTTCATAAAGTACGCCCTGATAACGTGGAGGTCATGGCTCATGGCGAGTTAATTGCTCTCATCTGTCCTCTCTTCACCCTTGGTGCTGGATAGGGTAGCAGGTGGGTTACTGCTAGACTATCATGACCATGGCCATTCGGCAAGGCTGGGCTGGGCTGAGCTGGCTGAACTGTCTGAACTGTCTGAACTGTCTAGCTGAGGTGGTAGATACCTAGCTAGAAGCTAGTACTGCCACAGAAGGAAGAGGGAAGAGGGAAGAGGGATTCCTGATCCTGATAGAGTGTGATTAGGTATGTAGTATGTTATTATTAGTACGTATCTTATTCTTATTGTGAAAGTATGTGTATATTATTAGTACTTCATCTTATTCTTATTGTGAAAGTACATATGTGTCCCGTGATGAATCAAGACATCATACTAATTTCTCAGTCTACCAGGGACTGGTTCGGCTTTGCCTGTGCGTCTTCACGGTCTCAAGCCAGACTAGATCAGATCAGATCAGATCAGACGAGACCAGACTATAGCTAGGTATTTAATAATGACAAGAGAAAAACGGAAAACTTGGGGACCTGCTTCATGTAGATTGAAGCCTGAAGCAAAGCATGAAGCATAGAAGAAACATGAAGCATGAAGTATGAAGCATAGCAAGGAGCAACAATCACACCGACAACACTATAGTACGGACTAGGGTTAGGGCGCTGTAGAAACAGGAAGTTGAAACTGGAAGCACAAGCACGCACGCACGCACACTAAGCACAATAAGAAGCACACAGGGAACCGAAGCGAAGGGAACATAAGGGAAGGGCTTTCAACACTAGAGGTAATTGTCAACTTGAACTTGCATGTCATTCATTCCCGCTTCGCTGCATCTGCATTGGATCTGCTCTGCTCTGCTTCGACACGGATACAGAGGCAGATGTACATGTAGATGTAGGTGTGGATGTGTAGCCACAGACTCCCTCGCTATGAAATTGAAATGAATGGGAATGGTCCATCGCCCGACTTCATGGTGTACTGCCAGTGATGCGACCTAATCTCTCGTCTCGTCGACTGTCTTGTCTGTTTGGTCTGTATGTCTTGCATTCTTTCTTCCCTCAATCAACTTGAACCTCTTTCTTCTTTCCCTCAATCAACTCGAACCACCGGGTGGGATTGTCATTGTTGTGGTATGGTTGTGGTTGTGTTGGGTTGGGCTGGTTGGAGATTTATTTGGCGAACGCAGCGTCGACCTGCTTGACAGCCTCTTCCTTGGAGATGCCGTAGGCGGCGGCGACCTTGTCGGCCAGCCCGTCCTTGTTTCCGGCAACCGAGGCAAAGTCCTCGGGAGTGAGCTTGTCGAAGGTGGCTCGGATCTTGGCCTTGGTAGCTTCGTCCGCCATTGTGATGGTGATGAGTGGTTTGGTTGGTTGGGTGGTGGTGGTGGTAGGACAGGTGGATGAGGAGTGGAACAACAGTTGACCTGATGTTGTAGAGAGACTTGGACTTGGGGTTGGGTAGTGGGACAAGAGAAGGGAAGGAAAGGAAAGCAGAGTGTCCCGCTGTGAATCGTGTTGTTTATATAGCTGTTTGTACTCTGTATAACTGAACCGCAACTGCGCGAACCTTGAGAACCATCCTGCCCCTCTCACCCCTCCACCCCTCCATCAACCCCCCCTGGCGCCGACCCTTGTCCAATTGATGGTTCGTATGGTGCAATGCAATGTCTTGAAGCCTTGGGCGAGCCCCACGTCTCCGTGAACCGCCATGCCAAAGCACCGAAAAGGCCACGTCGGACAAACAAGACCCAATCAAGATGTGACATCTCACCGACCTTCTCCTTGACTCTGTATGAACCAAATTAACAATGCGTGACGGAGAGTGACAGCCGCCTAGATACAGCAAGGCGTCGGGGGTCGGTTGTTTTAGTTTCGAACGATGGATGCGAGGCACAGGCTCGGCATCGCGTGAACTGTTGAACTCGACCCACGCTCGTGGTCGGACATCTGGCGGTGAGCGGTGAGCGAGGCGGAGAGACAGAACGGGTGCCACATACGGAGTACTACATACCACATACCACACGACTGTGTGTGGCGGTCTTGGTCTTCTACTCAGTGAGCACGAGGACGAGGAAACTCGAGCAGGTGGTCAAAGACCGTGAATTCCTTGGGGATTCAAGTTGTTTTACTTTACATTCTATCCCTTAATATTGTTTCTGGTGTGCGAACCCTTCGATCGCTGCCCGGCCAAAGTTGGGGCCGATGCTGGTTCACAAAGGGTGTGATCAGTCTCCTTCGGTGAACGCCACAAGGTGCCTAGAGAACCCATTCCATTATAGTACCCATCCGTGGCTGAGTTGTGGATCTTTGACCTCGCTGGATCAAGGGTGACTCGCCCCAAGTTCGATGCAGGTTCGAGGACGGTGTGCACTGTAGGCCCTGAGGAGGATGTAGGACGGAGGACTACTAGTAGTAAGGCCGCTGATTCAAGCATGTGTCGGTTCGAATACTGATACTACCGTTTACTCTGTACTCTGTAGATGATCGGTCTGGAACAGGGGCCGCGTAATCGAGGAGCAAGACTGCTTATCAGCCGAATGGAGAGGTTTGGTAGCTTGTTGGTGACCGGTTGTAGACTGGCCCGATGCATTCTGTTCTTCTGCAGACAGTAGCATCCGTACTGTCATGTAGGTGCTAGAGAATAACATAATCAGAAATGGGTGAAATCGAAAGATAGGCGCAGGTGGGGTGACAGGCAGCTACCTACAGTGTGACTGCGACTGCGGCTGCGACCGACTGCGAAGTATCAAGTGCAAGCCCAAGGCCTGATGATGCTACTGCTGTCTGTTCAACCCATGCACTCGCTTCTGCCCTTCTGCCCTTCTGCCCTTGCTGGCAAGGAACTTGAATGCTCTTGTATTTACGGAGTAGTCTCTGTACCTCGTAGTCTGAGCGCACCCCAAAGGACTTGCCAGGCAGTCCGGGGAAAAGTAATCCCGGTCCGACAAACCTACACACCTCGATGTCTCAAGACAAGCTCTTTCCTCTTCGTGACTATGACGATGACAATCACATCAACAACGCTGTGATTACTGTTGTTGTTGTCGGCATGTTGCTGGGGCAGAGAGAAGGTTTGTTCACATTATTCAAAGCTATACTGCAGACCGGCAATACAAACAGGTCGGCTGCTGGTTGCTGGTTGCAGACTCCAGGTAATATACACGTATCAAATGTTACTACTACAACTGGCAGTACATGTTCAGCCTCGTGCCAGCGCCAAGGTTACACGGCAGATGCAGTGCAAGGATAAAGCTGCCTCACTTTACCTTCACTACCATGTCTATGTTTTCCATCTCCAGTCGTCTTCTTGTGCTGTACTACTGACTCAATCTTTTCTTATCCTTTTGACAATAGGATATCTCATCTACCTTCCCGTCTGTGCCGTCTCCTGCTGTCTTCCTGGCGTTTCTGCCCGCATAAGGCTGAGAACTTGACGTCGCTTCGACCGTACGGCCGAGCACGAAGATCTCACTACTCGTGGAGAGAGGATTGATCCAGCCGATCTAGGAAGCTGGGGGCCTTGGATACACCCTATCAACCCCCTACATTACTGCTTACATCGCTTCTGCTCTCGTCATTTTCCAACATGTCGGAACCCCCCTATCTCGCACAACAAGTCGGACGAGAAGCTGCGGGGAGAATGGACGGAGATGTCGGCAATTTCCAACGAACACATCGTGAACCTGCTGGCACACCCGCACGTATGGCCTCCCCGTCTCCCCAAATTGACCCGTCCGCTGCACTGCTCAGAACAGCACCGGTTCGTCATTTATACCAATTCGAAGATGGGAGGCTCCTCAACTTGGACGGCTTCTGGGCGGGTCAACCACTGGATTCAATCATCCTGCCCGGAGGAGAGGACGTCTCAGCGACAAATGCTGGGTCTATTAGGGCACCTATCGGCACTACGCTCCAGCAACACCAAAACAGTACACTGGGTGAGGAGCCGGTAGACTCTGAGATCGACAATAGCGGACGCACTGCAACACCGGCGCACACCACTCCTGCGCTCCCTCCCCAGTCTCGAGAGACTGAGGTTCCTGGACAGATGGCCGGCTTTTGGCTCAATGTGGGGAGACGGATCCACAGCCGTCTAGAATTGTCTGAAGATGATCAGGACGCCATGGCAGATCTTCTCCGGGATTCTCCTCCCCAGTGGCTATCGCAACTTGGAACAAGGTCTGGTGTTCGGGTGGAAGCCCGCGAAGCATCTGGTCCGGGAGTTTGTAGAGCGTGTCTAGAATCCGAGCACAGTCGCATTCATCTCACTTGTGGTCATGATTATTGCCGAGCTTGCCTCAACCAGCTAGTCAGAACAGGCCTCACGAACAAAATGTCTTTTCCACCAAGATGCTGCAATGGTTTTCGAGGCCTAGACATGAATTCTGTCGAAGAATATTTGGACGAGGACGTTGTCATGCGTTACTTCAGTGTCGTCGAAGAATATTCTTCACGCAATCCCACCTATTGCGCGAATCCAGTCTGCAGCCGATACATGGAAGAGAGCCATATTGGAAACAATCAAGGCCAATTCGTCCAGTGCGGAGAGTGCCAGACTCAAACCTGTACTGAATGTAAGCAAGGACTTGACCAGCATACTGGCGAAGACAGAACAACCTGCAAGAAAGTGGAAGAGCTGATGAACGATGGTGATCGCCAACTTGCCCAGGAAAAGCGGTGGAGGCATTGTCCGGGGTGCAAGAATCTGGTTGAGAAGGCTGGCGGATGCAACCACATGGCTTGCGAATGCGGCGCCAACTTTTGCTACGAGTGTGGTGCGAAGCCACACGGTTACACACCATGCAACGGACTATTCTCTCAGCTACGTAACCTAGATCCTCCAGCCCAGCCTGGGGCTTTCGGACCAGCCGGTACCGGTGAAGACCATCATGCTGATGGTGGCTTGGTCTCACACCAAGAAGCAACCGCAGCAGACATTGCAGAAATTAACGCAGCATCTGAACGAGACGCCACACAACGAGCACGAATAGTACGATCACTACAAGCACGACGAGCACGAATAGCACAACGGGCACGACAAACACAAGCAACACAGGACGCACGAGTGGCAGAACAAGGACAGGAGACGATCGGTCAGCCTGGGCTTATTCCTCCTATCTATGATCACCCCATATATCTCACGGGCACATTAGACAGTCTTGCACGCCAGAATGGATTTCAAGTTATTCAACCAACTCTGGTGACTACCAGCTCCAGAGCCGCATCAATCTTGGGCTCGACCAACGCTTCTGCATGGGCGCCTGCCCCGGAGGCGACAAATCTGGAGCCCTCGCCTGCACAAGGAGCAGGAACAGGAGCAGGAACAGGAGCAGGAACAGGAACAGGACCAGGACCAGGAATCCGCCGCCCGAAGCGTCGAATAAGCATGACCGATGCCGCACTCAATCATGAGTCTTTCCAGCCACCACTTAGGCTCCGAGTTGCACCTGAACAAAGACGACAGCAACCTCCACCCCCGCCTCCACCTCCACCTTCAACTCCAGCCTCAATCGCGAGCCCAAGCCTGACCCAGAGTCCTGTCCGTGCAGCAGAAAGCCCTCGTAGAGCGCCACTCAAACGCGGGAGAAGGTGGTGATCTCATTACCAGCGGCGACGGCATTGTTGTGATATGTGCTCCTCGTGTAAGTGCGAATCCTACTGTCAACCAAACCAGACAACCAAACTGACACGTCCAGCCGGAGGAGGGCTTTGTCCTTTGTCCCGTCAGTCAACCATACGAAACCATTATGATGAAACGTCTAGGGGGACTTTATCCTGTCACGTTCTTTCTTGTTGAGAGTTGAAATCAAAAAATCCAAATCCTTGCTTGCTAGCTTGCTGCGTACAGGCAGCATTCTACTGAGGGCATTGCCCTGACAGTGACAGTTCCAGACAGACATGGACGCACACAACAGCTACTGGCATTGGCTTACCATCCTGGGCCTAGGAAACGAAACGAAATGAAATACTGGGCCCTGCCTGGGCCCTGAGCTAGAGGTACTAAATAGTCCGGAACCGAGAATGAAACTCTGCCCAAATTAATGACAGAGTGCCCGGCTACTACGTATACTAGGATGGCTCTGTTCGCTTTTCTCTCTCTCTCTCTCCTCGTACTTGCTGTATTTTTTCCCTCGTAGTACTTGCTGTATTGTCTTTCTTTCGGTATGCATCATGTGATCAATCTACGGCATATCGCCCCTCGGGTGCTGTTCTGTTGTAGAGCTGGACCGTAGTTCACCGGAAAGAGAGGTCAAAAGGCCTCCAAGGGACACGACATCATAGTGTATTTTATCGAATGCCAAGAGCAAAGACTTGGAAGCCAACACGGCTGATCAGGAGCAGGGGAGTTGCAGGATCTGCACAAGAAAGAAATCCTTCTGATGGATGGGATGGGATGGGGTTCAAGTTCGTAGACCTCGTCAAGAGGAGATATTATCGTTATTGCCCCTGGGGAATCAATTGATAGACAACAAGACAACAAGACGACAATTCTTCGATGAAAGCACCATCACCATCACCATGGCCGTCACCGTAACCGTCGACATCAAAGTCAAACACTCATCCGCAAAACTCTCATCTCGCCGCAGGGTCATCAAGCATACCCTTCTCACCAAGGATAATGATGGCTTCCAGCAGCCTTTTTCTCTCCTCTTCTTGTTGCGACTCGACCAGGACCTGCCAGAGACTTTTCCTCCTGCCGCTACCTGCCGACAAGTCATTCTTCTTGGTGCCCTTGGTTTCTGCCCTGCCGCTCCTGGGGGTCTTTTCAGTGTCGACGCTACCCTTGGTCTTTTCGTGTGAGAAGCGACAGTTCGAGCCGTATTTGCACCGGCCAAACTTGATCAGGTTTTTGCAGGGGCGCAATGGAGGCGCGGGTCTCTTGGAAGCCGGAAGAGCAGCCTGGTCAGCCGCCAGAGCTGCTTTCTTGGTGCTTACAACTTCTGGAGCGGAGCTGGGGTCGGAGTCGGAGGCTTCTTCGGAGATAGACCCGTCTTCTGAATCGGAGTCTGTGCCTGACGAGCCGGAGGACGATGTGAAGTCAGATTCGATCATATCGGAGCCTGAGAGGGTGTCCAGAGCCTCAGTTTCCGTGCCCAAAAGTTTTCCCACGTCTGCAGAAGACTGTGCAGACGAAGAACTCGCCTTTGCCTCGGCCAACCGCAATGCTTCCTCTGCTTTGGCTAACTGGCGCTCCGCTCTGAGAGCTTTCTTTCGCAGCTTCTCGGCTTGCAACTTGGCCAAAGCAGTCGGATCTAGAGCCTTTTCTTTCTGCTTTGTTTGACCCTCCTTCTCTAGCTGCTCGGCCTGTCTCTGTTGTGCTCTTGCCCTCTCTTGCTCTTTGCGCTCTTGCTCCCTTCGTGTCCAAGCCTCCTTTTTCGCATCCAGTCTAGCCTGCTTTTCCTCTTCCCATTTTCGCCTCTTCTCCGCGGCCTCTTTCTTTGCTGCCTCCGCCTTGGCTTGCGTAGGAAAGCGTTTCTTTCTCTCCGCAATCCAAGCCGCAATTTCCTCCGGAGTGCGGAGGGTAGCAGTATGTCCCTTGTATTCGAACTGTAGGGCTTGTCCGTCAGATTTTATCTGGGCAGCAAGACGCTCTTCCTCGCCCTCGTCATCTTCCGAGTCAGAGGTTTGATCCTGGGATGACGGGGTCAGACCGAGTAGGTTTTGTTTCCTAGGTTTAGAGATACTTTGACTTTTTGGCTCGGAGGGCTCTTTACGCGGTAGAAGGTGTTGTATTGAGGCATTGAAACTCGGAACGGCAGGAGGAGCCACCGGCCGAGGTCGAGGCTGGTTCGCCGAGGGAAAGGCAGTGGTATGGTTCCTTTTTTGCGGAGCGTTTGTGAAGGAGCCCCGGCGTGGCCCATTTTCGAATGGTCTGGGTTGAGGTCGCTGATAGTTACCGGAGGGAGCAAAGGATGCATGCTGTCCTCCCCCGTAGCCTCCGCGTCCGCCTCGGGTATTCGCTCTGGAAGAATGGCCACCTCTGAATGAGCCTCTGTTATTGTGAGGCCCGCTGTTCTGTTGAAAGGCACCTTGTGTGCTTCGCTTGGGAGGCGGCGGCGGAGGTGGAGGGAAGGAGAACGGCTGGTTCGACATGCTGGTGGGCGGATTGGAGTCCGTGTCTCATCGCTGCTCAACAAGCAGATGTCACGACCCTACCTTGTCTCCGCAAACAACCTCGGTGTCATCGCTGGCGCTCTGCAGGCGTTCTATACAGAACAATCGAAAAGATGCGTTGCCCTCTAAATTTTTGGATTGTAGACGACGTCAGGGCCGAACTTTAGGCGTTGGCGCCAGTGGCCCCCCGCTAAGTGCTCCTTAGGCTTAGGCCCTGAGGCTTCTAAGGCCCCTAAGCCCTTAGGCGCACTTTAAGTTACCAGATGGGGCGTGCATCGGGCTCTTAACTTCTTACGGTGTCGAGGCTGCGCCGCTTAACCACACCCAAATCTTCATTCTAACCGTAGATTTCTATTTCGCATCTTTTAATTGTGTCGCGAGTATCTACCTATAGGTATCTTTCTACGGAGACAATACTGCCTTCCCATGTGCTTTGCATAAGGCATAGTATCATGCAGATATCATTGGGGTCAACATCGGACTCTAAAACGCCGCGGCTCATTGGGTGACAATATGTTCATACTCGTACGCCTTTCCGTCCTCCAGCCTGATATGTTACTGACAGTGTAGACCACTTTTGAGGATCTGGTCCAAATTCCACCGTATGGATTCTTGAACAACGAGATAACTCGACAAGATCTGGAGGATAGGATCAATGAAAAATACTCAAACAAGGTGCACCTCACCCTCAGCCAGGAGCCGCCCTTCCCTCTAACACGCGCCATAGATTGTGCAAAAAGTCGGACTTTGTATTTGCATGTACGATCTTCTGAAGGCTTCTGATGGCTTGATCGGAAATGGAACAGGCAATGTCAACGTCAATGGTATGAAGGTGCCATCGTGCAATGCTTATGTATACTTACGCACCCAGTTCGGTTTCGCATGATGGTTTTCCGACCCTTCAAGGGCGAGATTATTACTGGCACCGTCCAGAAATGTACACCGGCGGGTATACATAGTGAGTGAGACTGCCCTTTCCATGGCATCAATCTAACACCATGCGGTTACGATGCGGTTCTTTGAAGACATCTTTGTGCCCCGGACCATGCTTTTTGAGGGCTGCATATTGTGAGTACAGTATACGAGGTCTCGGCCAGAGCTCATACTGACATGTCAATAGCGACGAGGGCGAGCAAACATGGGTTTGGAAAACGGACGAATCCGAACTCTGGTTTGATCAAGGTACCGTTGTCAATATGCGTGTCGAGGCAGAAAAATGGCACGATCAAGCACCGAAAGGGCCGAGCGCGAATGGAGAGGCCGACAAACAGACGGAGCGCCAAGTTCCCTATGCGGTTGAGGTATGCAGTGGATGTTGAATTTGGCCAAGGGACATTCTAACCTTTGACAGGCTTCGATGGCCGAGGCCGGACTCGGAGGAGTAGAATGGTGGTGAGATTGGCTTTGAGGACGAGGACGAAGCCAGACACCACCCAAGACTTTAATCGCCAGCTCTCCTCTTACTCGCCCAACTGGTCTCTCCAGCGACGTCCACGGCTGCAGCACCATACGGACACGGCTAGATCCAAGGTCTCTACTTTCTGCAACTCGATGTTCTGAGGTGTTCTTCTCCTGCCGCTGACCACTCGGAAGAAGACGGCCACGCTGAGCTGCATCAACAGACATGTATCTTAAGGGTGGTGGAAGAGGAAAAACAGGGGGCACAGCAGGATGGGGATACGGAGGCCGGGGGGATCCCGAAGCATTTCGATTGTCGAAGCACAAGCCCACAATGCGTGTGTGTTCTCATGCTCGGGTTCGCGTTCAGGGTTTGTCATCAGAGGCCAGAAAATAGAAAATACCACCCGCAGCAAACTGCGCCCTTTGAAGCCTGGTCAGAAGTTGTGACAGTATCACACAAAGAGATAGAGAGAGTGTGTGGTGAGACTCTTTGTAACTAATTGACGGAATTTGCAATCAATGTGGCGGCATCTCATCTTGCACGGGCGCAGGCTGGTGTACGGATACGGAGTACGGAGTATCCTATGTGCTATTTCAATCTCAAGCACGTCATCCTCGCCGCCTCGTTTGTTGATTAATTTTGCTACGCTTATACCATCAAGACGCAAGGTTCCATGAGCAGGGGATCCTCTTACCTCATCATGTATCGTTCGACAAAATATTAATCAAGTCGTTCCATATTAAGTGCGCCCTGTCTTCTCTGACACCTTTCCCATCACCTCAGGAGTTGCTCCCTCTCTGCCAAACCCAAGTCCTGTGCATACTCGGCCTCACGTTTCGAGACGCAGACATAGTGCCCAACATGACCGTCCCAAGCCCTCATTCACCTCGCCCTCTACGTCCGAACGAACGTATCTTGACCAATGAAGATGGTGGTATCACCACGCCTGCGCGTGCACCTTCACCCGTCCACGAGTTCGGCACGCTCGCCGTTCACGCAGGATCCCCTCATGATCCCACCACGGGCGCAGTCATCGAACCTCTCTCTCTATCCACTACATTTGCGCAGACTGCTGTCGGCAAGCCGATCGGACTGTACGAGTACAGCCGCAGTGCCAACCCTAACCGGGACAACTTTGAAGATGCAGTCGCTGCCCTCGAACACGCCAGATACGCGCTGGCATTTGCTTCCGGCTCAGCGACAACTGCGACCATCCTCCAGTCCTTGGCGGCTGGCTCCCATGTCATTTCGGTATCGGATGTCTATGGTGGAACTCATCGATACTTCACAAAAGTGGCCCTCGCGCACGGAGTCGAGGTGACCTTCTCCCCCTCGATAGAGTTAGACGTGGAGGAGTTGATTCGCGAGCAAACGAAACTCATCTGGATCGAGAGCCCTTCGAACCCTACCCTGAGCTTGGTCGACATTAGAAATGTGGCTACAGTTGCCCACCGGCATGGCATTTTGGTCGTGGTTGACAATACGTTTCTCTCGCCGTATGTGCAGAATCCTTTGGACCACGGCGCCGATATTGTGGTGCACTCCGTGACAAAGTATATCAATGGACACTCGGATGTGGTGATGGGGGTTGCGGCATTCAATTCGGACGAGCTCAAGGAACGGTTGACATTCCTCCAAAATGCCATCGGAGCTGTTCCCTCTCCGTTTGACTGCTGGCTCGCCCACCGCGGTCTGAAAACATTACATCTTCGGGCTCGTGAAGCAAGCAAGAACGCCCTGGCTGTAGCCAAGGCCCTCGAAGCATCCCCCAATGTTATCGCAGTCAACTACCCAGGTCTCGACTCCCACAAGCAGAGAGCCATCGCAATTAAACAGCACCGAGACGGGCTCGGTGGTGGGATGCTCAGTTTCAGGCTCAAGGGCGGGCATGCCGCTGCAGAGCGATTTTGCCAACAGACAAGAATCTTCACCCTTGCTGAAAGTCTTGGTGGCGTCGAAAGTCTCTGTGAGGTCCCCAGCGCCATGACCCACGCAGGCATTCCCAAGGAGCAGCGTGAAGCTATTGGCGTCTACGATGATCTCGTCAGGTTGAGTTGTGGCGTCGAGGATGCCGACGACCTGAGAAAAGACGTTCTGCAGGCTCTGGAGAAGGCCGTTGTTGGACCAAAGATCTCCAATGGCGTGAATGGCGTGAATGGCGTTGATGGCCCATTGCCGAGGAGATGAAGGGCGCGCAGCATGCACGAAATATCAAGAAGACACATGCAATGCCAAATCTGGCCGGGAACTAATTCCTGGGCTGGTGCGCGATTGCTCTTACTTTGAACGACATGTTCTAATAGACTGCAGTGCAAGGCGTGGGCAGGTATGATGCTCGACCAAACCCACCACTGGACGTGGCGCGAAGCCTCACGAGCACCTCGTTGGAAGATCAATCCAGTTGACGCCGATGAAGATATAGTCGGCTACGCCATTGTCTACGTAATCTTGAAGCTACCAACGCCGGAGCAAGTCGCGAGACAACGACTGATTGCTGGTGACCCGCAAAGGATACACAACACAGCCTTCACCAGCAGTCGATACAGCTCCAGCCCAGCTTGCGGGATCGAGATACACTCCATTCCGCTCACGTCTACCACGCTCATCTCGGCCGCTTCTCTGCGACTCTTTGGTCTCCTGAGGACAGACCGCTAATTGAGCGCAGCGCAGGACAGTGCGAGGAGGCCGAATAGAAGTGTATCTCTAGCCGGCTATCCTCCCGCCTAGAACGCTGATGTGGACTGCACTTTACTACTCCTGCGGATGGCTTTGGCTTTTGGGGGTAATGTACGGAGTACTGCATTCTTGATCACTGTACGGATACGAGTAATTAGAAGGGAAACGAAAATCCTCACCTCATAGAAGGACAATAGAGAGACCGTCCTGGCCCAATGCCACTTTATGTTTATGGAATAATAGTGTTCGCAATGATCTTGGATGTTCCATTCCATACCTAGTACGTGCCTCGATTACTGTAAAGACATGATTTCACAGTCAGACGGACGGACAAACGGGGTAATGTATCGTGGACGCTCTTGAGGCATACAGTAAGTAGATGGTAATGGTATGTGAGATACTATATCTGGATACCTGTTAGGTGCCTGTCAATCCCGACGTTGCTATCACGCACCCGCCCGGCCTCAGTCATGCCACATGCCTGAACCGCAGCAGCCTACAGGCCATGTTACAGGTCATCCAACATCTTCAGTCGCGGATCTTCCTGATCTCTGTCCCTGTCCGTGCTCCCGGGAATGGAAAAGGGGAGGGATCCGATCCTTGTCGTTATCTCGTGGTTCTTTGACTCTTTGGGTGTGCGTCTGATATTCAGGCGATCGTCGGCCTCAGTGCCTCCGTCAACAGGCTGGGTCGGCAGGGTCGGGAACATGACCTTGCGCCGGCGGTTCTTTTCGGCTATATCGAGCAAGAGGCGTCTGACATCCTCGGGCACTTTGGCTCCAGGCGTGCCTTCTCGGCCTTGCAGCAACAACCGCTCATTGTAGCCCGCTATGGAGCCCTCGCTGCCACCGAGGCGTAGGGACTGGTTCCAGCTGCCCTCATTGTGCGCGACCAGGCCAGCCTTGACCGGGTCCCCATGGAACCACCACTCCTTGGCCAGAAAGACGAGAATCACAAGGACAAAGACGGCAATGGACGTCCACCAGACGGCGCCAAACACGTGGCCCCAGACCTTCTTGACTTGGTCCTCGCGCCTTTCCCAATTTTGCACAATGAGTCGGGCGTTCTCAAGTCGAATACTGAGGTCTTCCGCCTTTGTGCTGGCCCTTTTCCCGCGCTCAGCGAGGGCTTGCACCTTGCCGTCTCGGGCTTCGAATCCGCTCTTGAATGCCTCGACCCTCTTCCGCGTATCCGCGTCGAGCCTGCGCGTCTCTTTGTCGAAATTCGTAATCAACTGCTCGCTCTGCCTGCTCAGTGATTGGAAGCTTGTGATAATGGCCACCACGTTGCCCGCCGTCTCTAGCAGATTGTAGTACCCATAGTCCAGCCGTCGGGTGATCTCGACGCCTTTGGCCGTGATGCTTGCAACGCGTGCGCGGATTTCTTCCTCCGCCGCGGCAATCTCGGCATCCCGCTTTATGAGGTCCTCCTTCTTCACATGTACGCGCCGGGCAATCCGTGCCTCATCGCCACGCTCGAGCTCGATCTCGAACGAGGTCTTGGGCCGTGGAGGTGGTCGGTTAGGATCAGATACTGCCCGGAGCTGGGGATCGTAGCGTCCGCCTTCGTTGTAGTCGCTGCTGGTGGTTCCGGAAGGGCCAAAGGCGTGTTGTTGTGCTGGCCGGGAGGGAATGGGGGCCTGCATACGCTTCTCTCGCTCCGCATTCAAGCCGGCGACCAGATGTGGAAGATTGGACATGGCTTCTTTCGACTGCTGGCGCCGTGATGTCGTGGGCCGTGGTTGTGCATCGCTCTGGGTTGGGCGATGGCGCTTGTGTAATGCCGCGTCATTGTGATTGTGTAACACCGACGGAGAGTGGGAATGGGAATGGGAATGGGAGTATTGGTGCTGTCGGTGTGACGAGCCGGGCATGTGAATGCGTGGCAGTATCTCTGTTGTCTTCTCGAGAACACTCGCCGCGGGGAGCGTGATGGCGTTCCGTGGCTTCGGGTCTGCCGGTGAGAGATATGATTGCGAGCGGACATGGCTTGGTCGGTTGGATGGCAGGCTGGGTCCTGCAGTCTGAGGTTCGGTGGGTGAGCTTTCAGGACGAGCTGGGCCAGTGGAGGACCGTGAGCGGTAAACTGTTGGTCGTGGTTGTGCATCCATGACAGGATTAGGGAAACGCAGGAGGACATGCGTCCGGGAGGATGAGCATTGGCGCGGGGATATGGCAATCGCACTTAGATGATAGGGACGATAGAGTAGAGCATGCTGATTCCCCGATTGACTGAGACAGCATTCAAGTCGGCCTATGTGTCAACGTAGTATGGATATAAAGGACGGAATACAGAGATGTGACGATTCATCAGCCTCGTGATCCGGCTACGTAGTGGTGTCACGTGGTCGAGCCTTGTGCATGCAAGGCTGAGCTTGCGTGGAATTACATTGATATATGGCTCCCTATCCCTGACCAACCAACGCGTTTCACATCACAGGCAAACAACAGTAGGTTGTTGTAGAGCATAGCACCTGGCAGATTCTACTTCTCGATGGGTAAGATGGAATTCAATTCGTATGATTCGCTGTCTGCATTGGGTGTCATGGTGTCATGTTCAGTCATCCGCTTCAACCTGAACCTACAACAGCCTGTCTCCGGTGAGTCTTCTGAACATGAATCGGACCCAACCAAAGGCTCCCGTCTTCCGTTCAATGACACAAGAAGCACTCCTCGGAGCGGTATCCATCAGTTCAAAGTAAACTCGCACAAAATTGCTTGCCTCATTTGTATCAATCTCTGGCTCATACTACGCTCAGTACTCGGCGCCATCGTCATCTTCGACCTCCACGCTGTCGCTGGCGACTTCCTCATAGTCCTTCTCCAGAGCAGCCAGATCCTCTCTGGCTTCGGAGAACTCGCCTTCCTCCATACCCTCACCAACATACCAATGAACGAATGCACGCTTAGAGTACATGAGATCAAACTTGTGATCAAGTCGGCTCCAAGCTTCGGCAATGGCGGTGGTGTTGGAGAGCATGCTGACTGAGCGGTCAACTTTTGCCAATTCTCCTCCGGGAACAGGCATAGCTAAGATGAAGGTTAGCGGAGCGATCAGCGAACAAGCCACCCGAAGCGACTTACGTGGTTGGTAGTTGATTCCGACTTTGAACCCAGTGGGACACCAGTCAACTAAGTGGAAGCTGGATTTGGCCTTGAGCGAAGCAATAGCAGCATTTGTGTCGCGAGGAACAACATCACCACGGTAGAGAAGTGCAACAGCCATGTATTTGCCATTACGTGGGTCACAGACCACCATCTGGTTTTGAGGCTCGAAGCACTGTAAAGTGAGGTCTTGAACTTTGAAGCTCTCATGGGAGGAGCGCTTCGTCGAAATAACTGGGGCGTAGCTGATCAATGGATAATGGATGCGAGGATACGGGACCAAGTTGGTTTGGAATTCGTTCAAGTCGACATTCAAGGCCCCATCAAAGCGCAAGGACGATGTGACCGAGGACACAACTTGAGCGATAAGGCGATTCAAGTGCTCGTAGTCTGGTCGAGGGATGTCCAAGTTGCGGCGGCAGATGTCATAGACAGCTTCATTGTCCACCAGGAATGTGCAGTCAGCATGCTCGATGGTGCTGTGCGTAGAGAGGACCGCATTGTAGGGTTCAACCACAGACGATGAGACTTGAGGGGCCGGGTACACGGCAAATTCCAACTTGGACTTCTTGCCGTAATCGACTGAAAGTCGCTCGAGGAGGAGGGCGCCAAAGCCAGATCCTGTACCACCCCCGAATGAGTGGAAGATCAAGAAACCTTGCAAGGACGAACAGTTGTCTGTTGGCCAAGTCAGTCAATGCTCCCAGTTTCTCCACACAAGTATAAACCCATACCTGCGACACGGCGGATCTTGTCCAGCACGTCGTCAACCAGCTCTTTGCCAACCGTGTAATGACCTCGAGCATAATTGTTTGCTGCATCTTCTTTGCCACTGATCAAGAGTTCCGGATGGAAGAGTTGTCGGTATTTGCCAGTTCGGATTTCGTCGATAGGGGACGGGTCCAGGTCCACGAAGATGGAACGAGGGACGTGTTTGTTGCCACTCGTCTCGGTAAAGAAGGTCTCGAAGGATCCAGGGTCACCGACATTGGCATCAGGGTCAGGACGGCCATCAGCCTTCAGACCATGCTCGAGAAGATACCTGGGGAGGCGATTAGCAATCGAGATGGGAAATAGCGGTGGGCGCGTCGACGACGTACAATTCCCAGGCAGCATTGCCCAGCTGGGTGCCAGCCTGCCCGATGTGCAGGTGGCAGACCTATAGTCAGGGTTAGCAAGCCGTCAATGATACTGGCGAAAATGGACACAGAAGCCGTGTGATGTGGCAGCGTTCTGTAGGGTGATTTGTTGACACGGTCAGGAGGGGCAGGACACGAAAACCAAACACTTACTTCCCCGCGCATTTTGGAGCGATTCTGCGGATTCAAAGAATTGACGGTATGCCTTTCGGTTCAGGATACGCTAGGCAGAGAGGTGTTGAAGCCAGCAAGGACTATTGATGTGGAGGATGCGGACGTGCCAGGAGATTTGGAAGTTGAATCTGCGCAAGACAGAGACCTAGCACTACAGTACTAACTAGTAGGTAGCAGTAGTTGTGCGCGGAGGTTGTTATGGTTGGCGTGCTGCGATTGGCGCGAGGCCGAGTGCAGCCAAAACACACGCCAAGCCTGCGCTCTCAGGGGTCACACGGGCTCTGAGTCTGGCACTGTACGGATACTCCGTATGGTGCAGGGTGGTGACTGCGATCCAACCCTAATACTCAACTACCACCTGTTAAGGTTCTACCTGTACCTGCATCTTGCCCTCTCTCACCAATACTCTTCGTGCATTGTTGCGGCTCAACATTATTTGTGGCCTTGATGTGTCCTCCCAAGACCTATCTCCGATTTCTGGTGATCTACGTTTGTTTACGTCGCTGGTCCTGGCTAGATGCTAGGTAGATGCCCGGCATTCTGCTCATATATTTCGAGGAGATCTGCAGGTATTACCAGGTCGACAGGCGATATCACAATGAAACAAGGCTTGTTAAACTCCGGTGGTGCTGATGATCGGCCCGATTGGCATAGCGGCGGACGCCACAGACGGATAGGACATAATAGTCGACAGCCGGGCAGTTTCAGCGAACTCTAGGTATACTACCAAAGGGGTAATTTAAAGGAAATAGGCTCTTTCCTATATTGCTTTCACGTGCTATTCGTAGATAGAAGAAGAACGAGCTGACGCCTCGGTAGGTATGTTGTATTCAATCAAGATGCAGTACCTACCTACAGGTAGTGAGCAACCCTAGTAAACGCGGTCTCCTAACGGCGGTTTAGACGCGTCAATCCACAAAAGAGCGGCTGGGACAGACTACCCATCAATCAATAAATAAATCAACAAATGCGTCTCGAAACCGGCTTAATGTAATATGTACACTGCTCACTTCTCCTCCAACGTCTGTTTGATCCGGCCTTTCGATCCTTGATGTATTGCCAGTAGCGTAGCTACGAATCCCTCAAATTCAGCATCCTTGGTTTAAGGAACAACCTCGGGCTTCTGGGGCAGAAATGAAGTAGAGTGCTCGAGGGGCCCGACATCCTTGTTGATAGTTCTCGAGATTTCGGACGACAAGGTATCGCTTCTAAGTCCTTCCACGAGCCATGAATGACGAAGTAGCTGTGCCGTGGAAATACGTTGACGTGGATTCGTTTGCAACATGCTGCGTAGAAATGCGGCAAATGGTTGGATATCTTGTTCTCCGAAGGTTGAAGGCAGCTGTTGCTCCAGGTAGTCTAAAAAGACTCCACAATCCCGACCATCATTGCCGATTCTGTCGTTGATGAGAGACTTATGTTCCTCGTTAACGTCCTCTATAGTAACGCCAAAGGTGTTTAATGTAAAGAGTGACTCATTTGTAGCAAACTCGAAGATCTCCATATGGTTAGGTGGCTCAGATATAACAAAAGAGCAATGGAGACTCACCAAGCATCCCAGGCACCAGATATCGATGCTCGCATCCCAGTTCTCTCTGCGAATCAATTCGGGAGCACGAAATGCCCTCGGGGTTATTGGCTGCTCGCGAACTCGAACACCTTGCAATGTAGCTGTTTCAATGTTTAGTTACGACAAACTTCAATACCAGGGTTCAAGATAGACTTCCCTCCACCAAGATCACCGATTTTGACAACAAGAGAAGAAATCTCCTCCTTATCCAAGGCTCCACGAAATCTCTGCGAAGGTAGCAAGTACTTTGGAGCAGATTCGTCAACCGCTATTCCCTCAAGCCACTTTACAGGACAAAATTCTGGCTGTTGGAGCTGGATATCAAGGTCGGACGAGGCGGCCAAAGAGAACAAAATATTTGCTAGTTGCAGGTCTGAGAAGAGTTAGAGGGCTAGCCCATGCCTGGAAGGGGCAGGAAGGATAGATTCCAAGCTTACCACAGTGAATGACGTTGGACTCGTGGAGAAAATCCAAACCAAGAATTATCTCTGCAGATAGATTCTTTATATAGGCTGCATCGCGTGGTTGGCCCCGGACAGTCATTTCCCTACCGTCAGACAACATAACTGGGAGCACGAGGCAGAGATGTGTGCCGTTAGGGCCATTGTGTTGAAAATAGTCGAGTAGCTCCATGACATATTTTCTCCCAGGGTGTAAAAGTGATGAACTGGACAAATGCTGGAGAACTTCAAGTTTCTTGTTCATCTTTGACTGGTTCACTTTGACAATTTTCAGTGCGACATGTCGCTGAGAACTACTCCCATTAACTTAGCCATGAGATTTTTGAGGAAAGGTCTGAAGATGATTGTACCTCTGGTCAAGAGCTAGCCACACAGTGGAATATTGACCGTAGGATAATTTTCCGACGATTGTGTACCTATAATTGAATATGTCGTTGAGGTGTACCGGATGATAACCACCGGGTCGATATTCTTCAACAGACTCAACATCGTCATAAATCCTCTCAAGCGACGCTCCATCTCGGTACTATAGCATGCACATGGTGAGTAGAAAAGATAAGAATTGTACGAGATTTGGGGGATGAAGGACTTTTGAATTCCATGCCGGAAACTTCGTCAAGACTCAACATCTCTACCACAAGAAATGATTTGCACCGGCGTTGAACAGATGGCTGCATTGGGACAATTGGGAGAGCGGCCTCCGTAGGGCCCTAAGGCCCTGAGGCCTCTAGCGGGGGGAGCATACAGGTATTCCGCCTAGAGGAGAAGCGCTTGCATCTGAAAACCATGTCGAGACATAGCGATACTATTGCGAGTAGAGAGCATGCCAGGCATCCATACGTAGTCCGTACTCCGTACTCCGTACGCATGGATGAAACGAGGCTTGTCAAACTTTGGTGGTGCTGATGATCTGGCACAACGGCGGACGCCACAGATAAGACATGACAGCCAACAGCCGGGAAGCTTCAGCGAACTCTCGGTACACCAATTTAACGGAAATGGGCTCTGTCCTATGTGCTTTCACGTGCTATTCCCAGACTGAAGAGACAGCGAGCTGACGCTTTGGTAGGCTTGTTGCATTCGATTAAGATGCAGTAGCTATAGGTTGGCATTATTATAACCGAAGTCATGTTGCATGGGCCCCTGGGGTGATTGATATCAGAAGAGAAAAACAGTGCTTCAGAGGCAACGGCGATGTCGCATCCCTGCATATGGTCTGCACAAATTGAGCTTGAATAATTACATATCTTCGGCATCCTCACTGTTCCCAGGCAATTACATACACCTCTTGAGGGAAGAACTGGTCGATCGGTGACGATAGAAGTGAACAGCGTCCCACATGGGCTCGATCAGATGGAGCACATTCTCTGACTTGCTACGCCGTACTGTAGGGAGTATGGAGTACGTACCTAAGTCGACGTCGGCGTGAAGGTTGTTTTGAAACAAGGGCGGGCAAATTGTGATGTAGCCAGAGGAAAAGGGGACCCAGGTGCCCAGGTGCCAGGTGGGTTGTGGCGCCGGAAGGGGGGACCTAGAGGCTTAGGGGCTTAGGAGGCTTAGGCCAGCCCAGCCTCAGAAGCCCGAACTGTTGGGCCACGTCGGCGATTGGGGTCTTCCTAGCCCCCAGTGGCTGTCATTATTGGCGCATTTAGAGCCTAAGACCCCCGTTCTTACACGGTGCTTGCGAGGCGATTAGGCTTGGGCCTCTGGCTGCCTCCCCCTAGGTGCCCCCCACCTCTAGTTGACCCGATGGATCTCAACCCAACGGGCAGGCAAACCAGCATGTCCCTATCATCTGTCAGAACTTCCCTGCAATCGTCATACTGTGGCACTAGTACCAAGACGTCGGCGCGAATCATCTCCCCAAGACGCGCCCCAATGCGTGTGGAGGAGGAATAAAGGGACCAGCGAAACTTCCACATGTAAGCGGCTCCAGATTCAACTTCAGTGTCCGAGTTGCTGATCGCATCTTCTCCTCCAGCTCAGTCGACCATCCTCACCTTCTTTTATGCCGTCGTCCATCCATCTTTTCTCTTTTACTAAACTCATCTCTGGCGGCTCGACCTGCTGCAATAAAACCATCCTCTCTTTTACAGCGAATCCTCTGCTTCCCCGGCGACGGCGACGACGACGGCGACAGCTGGCATCCTTCGACGCATTTTCCCGGACCACCACCGCACTTCTAGAGCCACTGGCTGGCGTTAAGAGGGACGATACTTCATACAACGAGAGGGATCGCTGCAGGATAACCGTTCCCCTTCTCATACCCTCCTTTCTGGACCACACCAACAATGACCACCCCGGTTCAAGAACTCCCTCGGTTAGAGTTCGAACCTCCATCTCACCGATCCTCCGACGACGATGACAGTACTGCTGTGGGTCAGGATAGACAAGACGGGTCCGTGGACAGCAGGCTACTCCGCGAACGCCTGATAGTAGAAACAACTCGGGACCCGAATACTCGCTATGATGACCCAAGACCGTCCCCTTCTCAAACCCGAGAGGAGGCCCACCGTCTAGATGATGAAATCACGCTGCAGAGGGCCGAACGGCTCACCTCCATGGAATCTCAACAATCAGAAGGAGGTCGAAACTCTACAAACCTGCATCGATCAAGGTCCAGAGCTCCAGAACCCCTCGATGAGTTTGATACCGCAACCAACCCCATACATGAACGCACAGCCATCTACAAGCCGCCGGAGAATCCTAGCACGAAGGTCGCCAAGTTCTTCAAATATATCCACCAGTCGAGCTTCGTGATCCGTTATTTCACCTACATCGTGCCGGTCACGCTGCTGCTGTTGATCCCAGTGTTGATAGGAGCCCTTCTCCCTGTTGCAAAGCATGCGAGTGTTGGAGGGGTAAAGCTTCTTTGGTTTGGCGTCTGGCTCGAAATCATCTGGCTGACCTTGTGGGCTGGTCGGATTGCTGCTAGACTTATACCTTATCCTCTCGGCCTCGTTGCTAGTTTGTTCACCAACAATGCCAAAAAATGGCGAGACTTGGGCAAAGCGCTGGAAATCCCGGCCACGATTTTCTTCTGGTGGCTTGGTATCGAGATATCGTTCTTGCCAACAATGACGAACCACCATGTGAATGGGCGCAAGCACACACAGCATTGGGAAACTGTTCTCAACAAGATCATTGTCTCCGTCTTTGTGGGTGCTACTCTGAACTTCATCGAGAAAATCATCATCCAGCTCATCGCCATATCGTTCCACTTGCGCACTTATGCCGACCGTATCGAAATCAACAAGTTCCAGATCGGCAGTCTCACCAAATTGTACATGTTCTCCAAAACCAAGATCGCCATGGAAGATGCCGAATTTGAGGAGAAACCATCAGGGACTGCGTCAGGTGCTCGCACACCCGCCAAATATGCTGCTCAAGCTCAACATGTCATCAACAAAGCCTTTGCAAAAGTGGGTGACGTAGCCGGAACAGTTGCAGGCGATTTCACTGGCAAGAGTATTGCCAAAAGTGGTCATCCATCACAGGTTGTGTTAACTCTACTGAATACCACAAATGGCTCTCAAGTACTGGCTCGACGTCTGTACCGGACATTCGTCCGCGAAGGCTGTGAGACGACCTCATCAGAGGATCTGAAGGCGGCGTTCGATAACGAAGACGAGGCTGATGCAGCTTTCAGCATGTTTGACAAGGACATGAATGGCGATATCTCCATGGAAGAGCTTGAGGCTGTCTGTGTGGAAATTGGCCGAGAACGGAAATCTATCACTGCATCCCTGAAAGATTTGGATTCAGTGGTCAGCAAACTGGATGATATTTTGTTCATCGTCGTCGCTGTTATCACTATTCTCGTCCTCATCTCCCTCATCTCCACTTCGGCCGCCGGCGTACTCACCTCTGCTGGCTCGGCTGTCCTGGCCCTGTCATGGCTGTTTTCTGCAACTGCACAGGAGTTCCTTCAATCATGCATCTTCGTCTTTGTCAAACACCCTTTTGATGTCGGCGATCGAGTCAGTATCTACGGCAATACCGGCTCTACACTAAAAGGGGACGACTATTTCGTGAAGGAGATCTCCCTCCTTTACACAGAGTTCAAGAAGATGGAGGGACACATTGTGCAGGCACCAAACTCCTACCTCAACACTCTCTTCATCCTCAATATGAGGCGTTCTGGCGGTCTTGCTGAAGCGGTGCCAATCGTGATCAGATTCGGCACAACTCTTGAACAAATTGAAGGCTTGCGGAACGCTCTCCTCGATTTTGTCAGATCCGAGAAACGCGAGTACCAGGGTAACATCTTGACCGAACTGCGCGAGGTTTGCGAAGCATACTCTCTGACATTGAACATCGTGTTCTTCTACAAGTCAAACTGGCAAAACGAACTGCTGCGTCTGCAGCGAAGAAACAAATTCATCTGCGCCCTCATGGTGGCAATGCAAGAACTTGGCATCGAGGGACCGCGGCGGAATCAAGCTGGTTGGAGACCAGAGGTGCCATACTACATGCAATTGCCTCCTGGTGCTCCACCTCTTGCCCAATTTGGTGATGTAACTGGCCCAGATGGCGGTCAACCAGGCGATGCAGTCCACCAGATGCCTACCAGCGCACCTCCCTTGAGTCACCCCTCAATTCTGCGACGTCGACCTAGCACCGGTCAGCTTGGTCGTCATCGCGGCGAGTCTTTGTCCGCTATGGCCAAACGTGTCGATTTCTCTCTGGGAATGAAGGATGTTAGCTCAGGAGAGCAATTATCTGACGTGTATGAGGACCGAAGGCGTCCAGAATTCGACGAAATCATCCGAGAATCCAACAGAGTGGAGGACGAACGGCGGGGCTCGGAATCCCGAGATCGCGATGGTGCTGCCAGGTCTACTTCGCGAGATCAACCCTCGCATGGGATGAGTGGAATCTTGAGGAGGTCAACCACACAAAGCATTGGTGGAAGCCGGCGCACTTCTTCTTCTGTTGCGCCTCACAGAGCTTCGATCAGCAGTCAAGAGACTCACCGGAATCGGTTCCTACAGCGGTATAATCGCACTGGACGAAGCATCGACCTCCCCCGCGACTCTCTCGCCGAGGAGGGCAATGCTCCCCCACTTTCACCCATCGACGCGAGATCCGGCAATGTTAGTTCTCAAGCCATCCGCCAGGATTCCACGGCCTCTGGTCCACCTGAACCGTTCCCTGCCATGGCTGCAGGATTCAGTCACACGGAGGACTTTGAATTGCGCAGGACTGGCTAGGATAGGGCCAGCAAGAACAATTGTCTGCCCTCAGGTGCAGGCCTTTCTCTACAGTGAGACACTTCTAATTTCTAGAATCAAAGTTCCAGCAAGACGAAATAGCGAACTGTGATATTTGTACAGTCTTTGCTCGATTGCAAAGGTATGACCATAGAAGATAGAACTTATGACGGCGTGTTATTCAGCGTACACAATAGATGTCTCCAACCACGGGATTTTGTGGTTTATGTACATACTCTGTACTCCGTACTCCTGCTTCTGATCGACGCTATGCTCCATCCGGATGCTGGGGCCAGCAAAAGTCATCGACTGCCCAGAGCTCCATGCGCTCTTTTCAAGTTCTCACTTGTCGTAAGCAGCATTGTATCGCTACCTAACTAGGAATACCGGGCCAGAGTGCCGATGGTTGTTCATCAGGATTCCGAGGTGCGATGGTGTTGGCCACCGCGGCTTTTTGAGACGGCCCCAATGCGACAGACATCGTGTCATTTGCGGTGATCCGCCACCATTCTCGCCTGAAGACCTTGCTCTTGCTGAAAAACGACATGCAGCTATGCAACGTGGCGGAGATCTCAGCATTTCAACCCTCTTCAGGATCAGCTGCAGCTCTGTAGAATACTGCATACTCGGTTGTCGTGGCTTTCTTCATGGCCGTACAGCTTCGGAAATTTAGTATGTCATCCCAGGTCACTTGTTTGATTGTCAACATATCCCATCCTCCTTAGTCCAGATCTCTCAGATCTCTCCGCGGTGATTTGCAGACGAGCCAGCTTGGGAAGGGTTCGTACCTCTCCCTAGGCGAGGGGTCCTAAAGCGAAAGCATCATCAGCCGATACTGCCGGCACCCGCGAAAAGTGATCAGTGGGCATATAGTGGTCTGTTCAACATGGAGAGAACGTCTATGCAATGGTCATGGTTTCGGAGCAGAGGCAAGAAATTGATGCTGCCATGGTAGGACGACGACCAGTCTGCACGGGAGTTAGCAGATGAGAATTGATGGGACATTCTTCCAGGGCGTAGGCCTTTTAGGGGTCAATGTCATAGGAGTGCCACTCTGAGGGTTCTGTCGTGCTCTGGAAGTGCTGTCTTGCTCCGGGAGGTCAATGGCCGCCAACATCGACGTCGTAGCTCTCAAAGCTGTTGTGAGGCTAGCTCACTCAGTCTCACAACAATGACGAGAGTGAACCGTGTGTGGCGATGGACCGACAGTGTATACAGACACGGTCTGAGAGCAGCACAGTGAGTGATGGACAGTGTATACAGACGCGGTCTAAGAGCAGCACAGTGAATGACGGACAGAGCGACAGAAACGAGCAGTGAAGGAGCAGTGAAGGAGCAGTGAAGCAACTGCGCCCTGTTGTGTATATATAACTCTCTCTCTCTCTCTCTCTCTCTCTGCTCACTTTCTCCTGCCACCACACCTTGCTCCCTCTCTAATCTTCAGCATTGTTCTTCATCCCTCTGAGCTGTTCACTTCTTCAACACTCCATTGCATTTTGCTCTCTGCCTGCTGCCCTAGTTCATCTTCTTCGCAACAACCTCTGAGCTGCTTGCTGTGAACGATGAAGGTTAAGATCAAAGGTACGAATCACACTTGACGGCCTTCCATTTTCTTGTGACTAACTCGTCTAACAGGCTGGCCTCCGGGCTCTTTTCCCTGCTTCATCGTCATCCTATGCCTACTCACTGGTCTTGTCAATGCTGGTCCTGTCCAGAAGAGTCTCACATCAGTGGTCTCAAGCGTTCCATCCATTATGTCTCCTACCGCAGCATACCCTGTGTCAACCCTCCTTGCCGGATCTACTCTTCAAGACCTGGCCAAGCGTGATGGCGACATCCCACTGGCAAACAATTATGCTCTGGTCTGCGAAGACAAGCCTGGGACGGAGCTCTGTCGGAAGTCACCTTACCTCTATTACTGCAAAGACTCCGGTCGATTGGCAAGATATTCCAGCGGCATGGATGTTCTGTTTTGCTCCAAAAACTGTCAATGCATCAACCTGTCTCCTAAGACATGCATCGACCGCCTTTTTATCAAAGCTCACTGTTACGTCGCAGATGGCATTGCTCGTACTGTCAATGGTACCTCCCTTGGCTCTGTTGAAGACGCTGAGATCCTTCCTGATGGTACCTTGGACTTCTCCCAGCCAGAAATTTCCACCGTCTCGGATGGGCAGCCAGAAGTTTCCACCGTCTCGGATGGCTCACACGCAGTTGCGAAGCGTGACTCTGCAGCTGCGGAACACTCGTACGCGCTGGTTTGCGGAAACAGAGACTGGACATCGATCTGCCAAAAGAGCTCTTACGGATATTACTGCACCTCAAATGGAGCCCTACGCAACACAGGGAAAGAAGTCTCATTTTGTGAGGAAGCCTGTGAATGCGTCGACCTGAATCCAAAACCCAAGTGCATTCTCAGTCCGTATATTGCGGCGGTCTGCTCGGTGAAGGATGAGGTGGCTTACAACGACGAGGGCCAGATTCTTGGTCATATCGCCGATGCCTCGATTTATCCAAATGGCACCATCGATTTCACATCGTCCACAATTGCTTCTAGAGATGTGGATAACGCCGGTGACTGGGTTTTGCTGTGTTATAATCCGCACCACACTCGCACTTGCAACAGCTCGCCTTTTCGCTACGCTTGCAACAAGAACAACTTTACGTCGACGGCCCAAGACCCGGTCTGTGACGAGATCTGCAAATGTTCAGCCAGCAGTTCCATGTACAAATGCATCAGCAGAGAAAATTTCCAGACCCGATGCCATATTGAAGAGGACAAGGTTTACGAGATAAATGGAACACTCATGGGGAACCTTCTTGGTCATCTCGACGATGCGGTTATACAACCAGATTCCACCATCGACTTCTCCGCCGACACTGGCAAGATAGCTGCGACAAAGGACCTCTCTGAAGCTGTGGTACAGCACCAGAGTATCGTTGACATCTCGGCGACACCAGTGAAGCGAGCTGATGAACACAAGGACCATTGGGTCCTATTCTGCGGAAATAGACCACGTACCGTCACCTGTGGTTCGTCGCCAATCAGCTACGGTTGCAATCAGAGCCTTGTCGTGCACCCCCAAAAGGAGGATGACTTTGTCTGCGATCAAAACTGTCATTGCATCAACCAGTGGCCCTACCAGCCATGCACTACCAAATCCAATAACGCTTTCTGCGCAGTCCAAGATGGCATTGTCTTCAACCCGAATGGAACCGTCCTGGGTCTCCTTGCAGAAGCCTACGTTCATCCAAATGGGACTTTGGACTTCTCTCAGCTTCCTGTGAAACGAGAAGTGGCATCACGATCCTCTGAACTTTTCCACATGCATTGTTTGGGATATGATGGGACGGAAGACGATTCTCTGACTGAGTTTTGCACCGACAATGGTTACGTTTGTCGTGCAGGTCTAGATGACGCGCTCGTTCATTTGCAACATGGTTCGCAATATCTGGAGCAATGCTCAAGCCAATGCCATTGTCCAAGACCGTTCAGCCATAGGTCTACGATGCCCATTGACGAACGCTCCGACTTTTCACAATATTCCACAAGTGAGATCGAAGTGATGGAGTCGAACATTACTGCTCCACCAAGTGGTGTGCCAAGTCAATATTCGGATATCTACCAGCTCGACTGCGGCAATCGACGGGATGGACCTGTGTTTTGCTCATCCAGTGATCTGGGTTACTTTTGCCTGAGTAATGGTACAGTGGCGAGATCTTCTACTGAGGATAACGAAGCGGTGACCTGGTGCGACTTTTACTGCAAATGCATTTTCCGCCATCCGGTCCCCTGCGTGAACGAATGGAACATTCCCCTTTGCCAGGAACTGAGCGATGGTACTATCCGTGACGCATCGAACCTCTCGACTGTCATCGGAACCATTAACAGTGCCTGGGTCATGCCGAACGGGTCTTTGTTGCTAGATCGCGGCATGCCTTATGTGGCGGAAAATACCAATGTCACGCAGGCGAAGCCACCAGCCAACTGAGCTAGCTGGCCTTGCACCAAGAACCTGAGCAAAGCATGGATTTCCACATCACTCGTGGAATGTCCGTCAAGACGTTGTTTCAACATCGGGCACAGATTGCATTTTCATCCGACATCAGCTATCGACCCGAGAATATTCGCAAGGCCACTAAAGACATTGACAGCATAAGTGGTCTGGAACTAGGAGCAGGAACGAAGTTGTTGATCAGATGGATTGGCGATTGAAACCGGTGGAGAACAAAACTGACAGCCGGGGGACATGGGAGATGTCGATTGTGTAGTTTGATAGATGATAGATCGGTCTCCAGCGGCGACGACAGAATGAAACTCGTCGAGAATGAGAATGAGATAGAACCGTGCCAAAATACAGTCTCATTGATTTAATATGTATCCAGTCCACCGCGCAACTTGGAGTCGACACAGACACACGGCGGACGGATACATTACTAATTAGTCTGCCATCATGCCGCGGTGCAGAGCGTGAGCGGCATGCCAGCGCCATGGCAGTCAGACTAGCTGATAGAGAGAGCTACGTAGAGGTAATGGTAATGGTAATGGTAATGACCCTCGAAAAGACGGAGGTGGTGCTGATATGCGAGTGAAGACCAGAGGCGCGAAAACCAGCTAAGAGGTAAAGAGGCAGAGGTGAAGAGGTAGAGGTAAAGAGAACCTATGGCTAGTTAAGCAGCTTGTCTGATATGATATGATATACTATGATGGCCTGGCTAATTGCCATTCTCCATCCATCCATCCATCCATCCATCCATTCATTCATTCATTCGTTCATTCATCTATTCATTCTGCTTGGATTGGCTTGGATTTGCTTGGATTTGCTTTGATATGCTTGGATATGCTTGGATTTACTTGGATTTGCTTAGATTGACTTGGCTTGGCTTGGATTTGCTTGAGTTACCAACGGTTGTATACTACATATGTATAATAGCATCCTGAATGACAGGACAAAGACCTGCCTTACGCTGCGCTGCACTGATCCATATACTGCATCTGTCTGTACTGGGATACTGTCCTTAGATACTGTAGGTACTGTAGATACTGTAGATACTGGATTGTACTCCGTGCTTCCGCCCCCCGCCATTCTGGACATGAGCCATGTCAAGTTACTACATGTATCCCTCGAATCTGCGGAAGCAAAAAGGACGACCGAGATAGTACCGGTACTGTCAACACACTCTTATCCGGCCACGGCCACGGCCACGGCGAGGGAGGCAACACGCAAAATACCGAACTCGCCCATGAACGAGCTGAACCAGCGGGGAAAGAATCCGCTGTAGTAGAAGAGCGAAAAGAACAAGAACAAGAACAAAACCCTCACGACTCTGGACTATCTACCAGTCATCATCCTCATCCTTTTCATGCCGTCCGCTCATCGCACTCTGTCGCGCTCGCAGCGCCTCGGCCAGACCACCAGCAAGACTCCCTCCGCTGCTACTGTTGGGCGTGGCCCGGCCGGAATCTGTGCCGCTGTTCGTTCCCAGGCTCATCCCACTGTCTCGCGCCGGCGACACGCCTGGCTTCCTCGCCGCTGCTGGGACGGGTCTCTTGGCCGGCGGGGCAGGCGGTGTAGGTTTCGCTTTCACTCCAACAGGCGGCGTCGCCGTGCCTGCAGGTCTGGCGTGCCCATTGACCACGACTGACGGCGTAGGTACCGCGCGAGGAGCAGCAGCAGGAGGAGGCGGAGGAGGCGGTGGAGCGGTGCGAGTCTGTTCGATTTCTTCTACGTACGCGGATGGGGTCCAGCCTTGCGCATTCGTTTGCACATTTTTGCAGAGCCACCAGCCTATTCATCCGTTAGTTTGGCGCCGCATTGATCGAGCTGTTAAGGGAGATTTCTTGATGACTACGGCACTTACCATTTCCTTCTTTCTGCACTATCTCTATAATTTCGCCAGCTTTGATGGATAGCTCGTTCGCGTTGGGCGAATTGAAGTCGAACTTGACCTTGGCCTGCGGTTTCGTGGGTACGGCTGCCGGGGCAGGCGCCGGTGCTGGCGGAGGCGGTGGAGGAGGCGCTGTGCGGTGCGTCGACGATGCTGATTCATTTCGAGTGTGCAGTGAGCCATTTACGGCATGTGGCACAGCTGCAGGTACGGGACGTGGAGTCTGAACGGCCGGTCTGGCAGCCGGGACAGGTCGTCGTGTGGTTGATTTCGACGGTTGGCCGCCCGGGCCTCCAGGTCGAAGTAACTTGCCGGTCGTGATGGGTCGTGCAATGGCTTTGCCCCGTGGAGTCGGTCGAGACACAGAGGTCGGAGGTTCTCCTGCAGGGACGTGGATCACCCCCGACTTATACAGATCATCTCGAGGGATGGATGGATCCTTTTGGACCTTGACGACTGCTGGCTTGCCGGGCTTCTTATTATATTCGAGGTTGCTGGAGATTCGGAGGTCCATTCCGCCAGGAGCAACGGTCTTGAATTGGAGGAAGAATTCGGTTTTAAACACGCAACTGATCAGAGGATCTGGCTCTGAAGGAGACCCAACTCCCAGTCCGAACCAGTCATCTCGGAGATTTGACGTCGAAATGTATTTGACGGCACCAATGGGGATCGTTCTCTCGGCTTGAATCTGGAGCTGATTGTTTACGAAATGCTGGAGCACGATGTAGACCGCTTTGTTGGTGAGAACCAAAATCCTGGGCATCGGCTTTGAAGATCGGCCGAACTTGGTGACCAGCAGCTCGCATCGAGCCGAGAACGCACAACGCTCTTGAGGATTGAGGTGAATGGAGTCCCGGAGCACTTGACCCGATCCACCTGGCATATTGAGGCCGAGATAGTCACCAAAGAAGCGTCTCGATCCGAGCAAGCTGTATCTTCGGCGCTCTTTCCGGCCAGCCAGTAACTGGTGTCCTCGGTCGCGAAATTCCACCTCCTTGACGCCCACTTTCGATTTCCGCCAGAACCGCTGGATTCTCGTGGCAGCCTCAGCACGGTAACGGAGGTAGTTTCGCCAGGCTCTCTGGATACGAACAGCCATGTTATGCCAATAGCGATCTCGCATGTGTTCCAGCCCAAACAGGGTTTCCGGGGTTTTGATGAACACCTTGGTGGTCCCCATTTGAAATTCTTCTTTGGGGATGCTTGTGTCCTTGAAGATGATCTCCGACGCGGTCCTCACATCGCCCGTGTAGGTGTATTCTCCCGCATAGGAAAGCCGAGGCGACAGCAAGGCAAACCTTTCCACGAACTTGTCGAAGGTCTGACGGTACGCAAACCCTGCTCGTCGAATGCGGACGTTTTCCTGAAGCCCAAGGTACTTGATCTGATGGAGGACGTTATGGTCGTTGTATTCCTTCGGGGACTTGTTTTCGTTAGGCTTGATGGTTCGAATATAGGATGGCTGCGCCCGCATCAGAGTCTCCACAAGCTCGTTGGCCGACTGCCTGATTTTGTCACCGGCAGTGGGAGGGCGACGCTTGTCATCTTGATCTACACGATGCGGGAACAGCTCGTGCAAGAAGCTGTTTGAGCTCTCGCCGACCAAGTTGAGCAGATCTTTCAACAATTGATCCTTGTTCTTGTCCGTCATGCCGGCAACCTGGTAGTTCACGTCACCCGCATAATGCTTGATGATAAACTGGCCTTGCCTGTTCTCAAAATTGGGGTTGCTAGACAAGAAATTCAGACGGCCGACAAAGGTTTGATCAGCAGCTGTCGAGTCGGCATGTGCCGTCGCACAAGCATCGTTAAGAGCGGCAAACACTCCTGGTGGTCGCTTATCTTCGATCAGGGAACAGACCACTTTGTTATCGAAATACTTGATCGGAGTCCACTGAATCTGTTCACGGGCATACTCTTCTTGTTCAGCCTTGAGGGTCAGCTGAATGAAGATCTGTTGCAGCTTTTCGTTGACATAGTTGATGCACAGCTGCTCAAAAGAGTTCTTCTCAAAAATCTCGAAGCCGTAAATGTCGAGAATACCGATCGTGTTCTTCACGACGCCTTGAGTCCTCAAGGAGGCATTTGTACGAGCGACAATCCAGTCGAAGAGATTGAAATAGATGGCCATTGCCAAGGCATCCCGAACGGCGGTCGCTTGCACGGGATTGAGAGGAGACTCGTAGATCGATCCGCGTCGTCCTCCGCCGCGGGAGGTTTCCACGATTCTCACAGTCAGAGCCTTGTGCACATGCGACGGGTCAACCTCCAGCAGATAAGCCAAGAAATCCACCACAGATGAGTCTGCAATGTCAACTCCTCCCTGGTCGTTTTCTCGGAAGGTGATGTTCCCTGTCCACAGGATCGCCGCAAGCATCCGGAAGATGTTGTCCTGCTCAGGCTTCGTCAGACCGATAATCCGCATGGCCTGGAGCGTCTCATTGAAGTCACTCGTGTCATCTATCCCCGGCACGTCGAAACATTTGGACTTGCTCGTGTAAACGTAGGATTGTGGAGGCTGGACCCCAAAGGTTTCTCTATACTCCTTGGGCGCGGCTTTCGTGAATTGGTAGAAAATGTGGAAGTTCCGCTCGTTCGTAATCTGTCCCACCACTCGTGTCTTTTCCAACAGGTAATTCGTGACTTTGGCCCCCACCGGCTCACCACTTTCGTTGAACTCAAGCTCGAGGTACTTTCCGAAACGTGACGAGTTGTTGTTTCGGAGTGTTTTGGCGTTCCCGAAAGACTCGAGCAGAGGGTTGGTGGCGAGCACCATGTCTTTGGTCTTCTGGATCCGAGAGTCGGTGCCACCGGAGACGCTGGCAATGTACTGCATGAGCCGTTTGGCAGCTTCGGTCTTGCCTGCGCCCGATTCTCCTGAAATAATGACACACTGATTTTCCTTGTATGCTTTCATGTTGTAATACGCCGATTCTGCCACCGCAAACACATGCGGAGGGACCTCGAGTCTGTTCCGGCCCCGATAACTGTCCAGCACTTGGTCGGTATAGATACCCAGGTCTCGGAACGGGTTGACGGACACCAGCACATGGCCGATATAGGTGTATATGTCGCCATGTTCAAAGCGCTTCTTGAGGTTTTCATTGATTGCTTCGTTGGAGACCTTGCTTAATAGCGTGAGGTCTGAAACACCCACCTCCTTCTTCTTGGTGATCTCGAATGCGGCCTTTTTGATCTGGGGCTGCCCGGCTTCTCCCTCTCTAGACTTGCCGCCGCCGAAAAGGGAGGACTTCGGAGCGCGAGACGATTTGCCATCGCGGCGTTTTGTTTGACCCTGGAATTAGCCTGTGAGCAGATCTCACAGTGCATTTATCGCGCCGGGACTCACCATCCTAGAGGAGGTAGTTGATTAGGACATGCGCGCAAAGCAAAGTGATCGGCCGGGTGAGGGTGACGTCGGAGGTCAATGGCGTCTCAAGCACGGCGAGAGGAACATGTACGGGAGTACTGGTGTGAGAGAAATGAACAAGGAAGAGTTGCGACCCAACGACTGAATAAATGGTGTGGCCTGGTCACATTCAGATTGCCTGCGGCGGTGATCTGTGGAATTAATGAATGGGGTTCAGGCTCAGTCAGGCCCGAGCCTGTGACATATCAACAGCTTAGCGCTGAGCAGTGGCAGCTGCGGTCCTGGTCCCTCAAAACTGAGCAGCCTAACATCTCCAATAGCTAATAACTGTGGCTGTGAAGCTGGAACACGCAATCACAACCAGCCGACGACGACTTGAACGCGTCCGCTTGTATCATCAAGCAATAATGAATGGCCATAGTGACAGAATATTATTCATCGCCATCTTGGCCCAACGCTCAATCTACTGGATGTACGGAGTACATCACATCCGCTACTATTTATTATTCGGCTGCACTGCAGGGGGTCGCATCGCCAGCGATACCCTATCTCCTATAGTCGGTCCATGAATTTGCTGAAACATCTTGACAGTGAACATGGTATGAAGAGAGATATCGAAGGTTAAATGCTGTCTTCAGTAAGCTACTATAACTCTACCTTGCTACCCGCTCGACAGAGTCTACTTTGATCCTCCTGCCATCCGCTAATAACCCGTCAATACACCTTCATACAATCCACTCATTCCCCCAGAAGTCTATGATGTTGCTTGCTGCCACCGGACCTAGGTATTCAGATATTGTATTCTTTCCCCCGTTCGTTCTCGTGGCTTCTTCCAGCAGGCGAATGGAGGGAAAGAGACTGGTCAGGATATTCGCAGCGTGTGCTGGTAGCGGTTGGACTGGCGCGGTGGTAGTTGCATGAGCAATCAGTGTCGCTGACTGGGGCAATGCCTGTGGTTTTGTCTCGTTCACCTTCGCAAGCTCCTGGACATACCTCTCCAGGGTAGGCAGAACACCTTCGATCGTTGGCGAAATAAGGATTGGGGTAGTGTGGGACTCTAGCAGTCTACCCACAGATCAGAGACTCCGCCTCGATTGCCATAGGGATGGTTTCGTGTACCGTTCTTGCAAGATCGAGAACTGTTGTATGAACCCTACATCTGCCTGCGAAGCGTCCCCAGACTGCACCAGCATGACAACGTAATCATCTTCGCCTTCCCCGGAGACAGGTAAGTGGGATTGTATTCGCTCCTGATTGAAGGTTACGGGGTCCGAAGACCATAGAAGAAGAACGCCGAAGGTGAAAGGAGAGGCTTGTCTTTGGGTCTTGATGGTGAGGTCGCAGACAGAAGGCACATGCTCTGCTTCAAGTATCAGCTCGCCCTGGGTCGCCGGCACACTGGTTACCTTCAGACCAAAACGTTGTTGAGGAGGTTAAGCAAGGGCCGAGACTTTCCCATTCTGGTCGACACCGCAGTGCTCCCGAGAATGCAGCATGAATCATATGGACGTTGGGCGTTGGGTACCTCGAGACAGAATACAAGCTGAACTTGAGCCACGCAGTCAAAAGACCCCTCGCCCCTCGCCCCCCGCCGATGGGGACTTGGCTGACGCCGCCCTGTGGTCACTCCCGGCTTGGGCGACTTTGGTGAGCCAGCACCCACGTCGTGGGGGGCAAAGGGATTGCACACCCCGGTGGGGGCATTCACTCACAGTACGGCATGATGACTCTCCCCGTTTAGGGTCGATGGTGATGCCGCCCTATGCGCACCCCGTCCTGAACTAACGGGATCTAGGATCTATGATCTATATTAATACAGCACCCCTGAAGGCATGCTTTCAGATCTGAAGTGTTAGTATGCAATACGAAGTATTTGGCCAAGGTAGATCTATCTCTGAGCGAGGATAGTTTCGCTCAGTAGGAAAAAGAAAAGGTTGATTTGACTCTCTCGAAACAGCAACGCTCAGCGACTTTCACATCTCTAAAAATATTGAAAAAGGGAAAGAAAAAAGAAGAAGTAGGATACAGTAGTCTACTGGCCTATATGACCTAAGGGACTATACGCTATTCTCCACCCTCCTCACTCTCCTACTGTGTGTGTGAGATGTGAGATACTTATTGCCACTTCAAAAATACTCTATACAGCCCGCCTTAATTGACCTCTATTCTATACCAGTTCACTTGGACTTGTCTTCCAATATCCACCCACATCATCTCAACACCGGCTCCTCTTAGGCTTTGGCTTTGGATTCAGCCTTTTCAGACACGAGGTTGGCTTGATTCAGTAATTCCCAGTCGATGGTTGGGCCGTGGAAGTTTTTGCGACCGTTAACAAACCACAATGCTATAATTATGGCAAACAGTCCGACGAGAATGACGCTCGTATAGTTCATGGCCCCGACCGTGACGGGCAGGGTGGGCGGAAAGCAGATCAAGGTGCCCAAGACAACGATCCAAAGCACCGCAAATATGTTGCATAAATACCCGAAATAGCCCAGGTTAAGATAACGGGCCGGCAGTGATTTGGACCGGCCTTGGAACAGGAGAATGCCCTGTGGTACGGCGTAGGTGATGTTGAGGTAAAGAACGGCCGAGGTGACGATCGAGTTGAAGGCTGTCGTGGATGCCAGGTAGAGGAGGCCGTAGATGGCGGAGAAGAGGAAGGCGGCACAAGTCGTACGGACGGGGAAGTCGAGTCTCGAGTCGATTTTGGAGAAGTAGCCCGAAAAAGGGACCCCGTTCTATAAGGCGGTTTATAGTATGTTAGCTATTCTTCCTCATCCATCCGAGTCTAAGGTGATCTAATTATGATCAGGCTGGAGTGTAAGCTTAACCTACATCGCGAGCAAAGGCCCATGCTAATCGACCGGCCGTCACCCATTGAGAGGGGAGGGCACCTGTTGAATAGACCAAGCGATTAGCGGCGGACGGAGAGGTCGACAACGCTGGGTTTGGTGCTATCAAGCTTACTGATGTAGACAAGCCAAAGCCAAACAATGAGGAAGGTCGTCACATTCTTGTTGCCAATTCTAACCGGCGAGTAATCAGCCTCCAAGTCCCCATCACATGATGCAGAAAGTGCCGGATACTCACGCCTGATAAACAATCTCCATACTTGGGAGCGGAGAGCTGACCACGGCGTCGAGGTCCTTGATGAAAAAGCACAAGGCCAAGAGAAGCGGGAAGGCGGTCATGAACCCGATGGCCATGGTCATACCCATGACCTGTGGCACTCGTCGTCCCGGATGGGTGATCTCCTCACTAATATGTATGGCTGGTGCGCGGTGGGAGGGTTAGCGAAATGATACATAGCTCGAATGGCTCGAACGGAGAAGGGACGGGTATTGATCTAGCCTTACCACCGTCAGTCGCTCCAAATGCGTACATGGCATTGGTGACTCCTAGCATCCAAGCGGTTCCTGAGCCCCATCCACTGGTCCCCAGACCAGATTGTGTGATATATGACCCGGGTTGGGCTTGCTTGTGCATGGCCAGTACGACGATGAAGAAGACCAAGAAGCCGGTGAGGGAGAGGTAGAGGGTGAATTGGACCGTCCAGGAGATTTTCCGCGGAGCTGCAAATAGTGGAATCACTGCAATTGTTTCATTTCAGCTTGGATCAGAAAACCAACCGGGATCACTGTCTCGTCTTACCCGTAATGAAGCTCACGGCCAGGTACATCAGGTAGATTTGCCACTGATTAGCCACGAAGGCAGGGTGCCAGAAGTTGACGAGTCCGGCGAGAGAGACCGCGGCAAGGGAGAGACCAGAGCATCTTCAATGTATGTTTAGTGCCCAGCTTAATCAATATGAGACTGCATTTTGACAATGACATACGTTACAATCCACCAGGCCAGGATGGACATCCACCCGATCACATACGCCGCGAAGCGCTTGGTTTTGGGAGGGGCCAGGATATAGCAAAAGTGATATTGACCTCCACTGGACTGTAGGCAATGCTTGTTAGTACGGTACGACCTTGTGGTACTGGATCTGGATCGGACGGCTCCGACTCACTGGAAATGCAGAACCTAGCTCACTCAGGCCCGTGGTGATGATCCATTGCACAATAAAGGCGACCAAAAGCCCAAAGATAACTGATTGAGGTCCGCCGTAGATCAGATTCTGGCCGAAATTACTCTGTGACTTGGTCAGATTCGAGATTCGTGTCAGCCAGTCGAGGCTGGGCGGGCGGCTTACCAGATATCCAACCCATGAGTTGGTAATGGAGAACCCAAGCCCGAGGGCAGAGATCCAGTTGAACTGACGAGGCATGGCAGCCTCATGGCCGTTGGCCTTCAGGACGGCATCGTCCACGTTGGCCATGTCATCCAAGCCGCCCTCAGCGATACTATGTGGCTTATCGGAGGCTGCGTGCGGCTTGATTGCCATGTCGGCGGTCTTTGACTCGAGAGACATTGTATTGTGTGAATCGAATCGCTTCTCGATGACGGTGACGGTGACAGCCAGATGAGCGTGGTAGTGGTCCTGGCGCCCTACTTATGTCTCGAGCCGGGTCTCCCAGATCCCAGATACCGGCGAACTCAGGGACCTCAACACAACCACCAACGATGTGTGAAGCTCTCATCGCTCGTCCCGCATATCTGGACCACTACCGCTACCACTACCGCTGCCACTACTATTGCCACTTCATCGTGGTGTCTCTCATCTGAGTGAGAGGGCGATATCTTTGACGGTACGATCGTGTAGACCGATTCGTGGGCAGGGGTTGGGACGAGTGGAAGTTGGGATGGTTGCCAATTGCAGAAAGAGATCCAGCTCCAGACAGCGCTTGGGCGGGTCCTTTCTGATTTCCTTACACTGGTTGGGACTTGATCGGAGCTTAGCGTCGACTCCCTCCAGCATGTCATGCCCGATGCACTTGGCCGGGTGAGGTCTATGGCCTGGCGTCCAGTGTCCAATGTCCAGGGGCTGCTTATCATCTGCTGTATCTCCCGGGCCGAGGGGATTTGACTTTATTCCATAACTCATGCTGATGCCGGTAATCACATCTAGAGTAGAAATATGGAGACTCCCGAGCCGGTAGCCTCGTCCTTATGTGGAGTTGGTGGGGTCGAATCATATCGTGTCGAACAAGGTACAGTGGATTGGTGAAAGTGCGGACTATGTCCTCATTAGGAGAAAGACGCCGCCATCTTGCTATCGAGAGAGAGCTCGGTTCTCTTTCTTATCGACTGGACTTGGAGTGATTCTGCCCAGGCTTCATTTCAAGGATCAGGGTAATTGTTCCATAGCCACCTGTCACGGTCAGTTTGAGGCAGAATTATATCAACTTGGCTGACCTCCTTGCAAGTCCGAATTCTCATTGATTACAAGAAGAAAACAAGCTGAAAACACTCCCCTCCAAAATGCCTGGCCTTGTTAAAGAATACAGCTCCGATGTGCAGAAAGTATCAGCAGACACGCCACTGGAAGACGTGCTCTATCTTCTCAAACGGGACGGTGGTGTTTTCATCAAGGGATTGATCCCAGAGGAGGATGTCGACCAGGCGTATGATGAAGTTCGAGATCGTTTGGAGGAGAGTCTGGAGTGGGAAGGGGATTTTTTCCCGAGTAAGTGACTTCAGGCGCTGAGTTGGGTTGGGCCAAGTGGAAGTGTCTGACGAGCGCCTCTAGAGGAGACACAGCGGGCCCCTTCGCTCATCGCCAGGAGTCCAACCTATACTCGGACTCAGCTGATGAATCCTCTATACCAGAAAGTGTGTGACCACTTTCTGACCACACGGAGCTGGTTCTGGTGGGGGGATGAAAGGAAAGAGTCTGTGTCGAAGCCGTACGCCCACTCCTGCACCGCCATGAGAATAGGGCCCGGTGGCAAGGCCCAGCCTCTGCATCGAGACGACTATATCAATCACACCCACCACACTGAGATCGACGCGTGGGATGACGAACGGGACAAGAATCGGGAGACGGCAGTAGGGCTTTTCGTGGCCGGCAGCAAAGTCACCAAGGAGAACGGAGGCACCCAGTTCATTCCTCGCAGCCACCTTTGGTAAGTGGAGCGAGCATCTTGCTAGGAGCCCAACCAAGTTGCTGACTGGGAATCATTGATGCAGGGGCACCGACCGCAAAACACCACCGCGTGTGGATGAGTGTATCTTCGCCGAGATGGACAAAGGCGATGCCTTCATCATGCTCGCCTCGGCTTTCCACGGCGGTGGAAATAACACCACCACAGATGAGAAGCGCATGATGTTTGCCTCGTTTGTCGTGCGCGGCTATCTTCGACAGGAGGAGAATCAGTACTTGGCTGTGCCACAGGATATGGTGAAGCAGTATGAGCGTCCGATTCAGGAGTTCATCGGCTACTCCATGGGCGAGCCTGCTTGCGGATATGTCGAGCAGATGGACCCTTATTACACTCTTTACCCTGAGTTGTCGAAGGATGCCAGACCCAAGGATTTCTAACCGGATCAGGACCAGGTACAGTATGATAATAGATACATACTATGGTACATGGTACATGGTACAATGATGCACGTACATCTGAGAAGACATCTCTAAGCCAGGTATATTAGTATATTACCTGTAACGACCGATCTTCCACTCTGTCGGTATTCGTACTTAGCCACAGGTAAAGGTCGGGGGGAGTGAGCACAGATCCATCAACCGGGTCCCACCTCTAGGATTCAGGATGCACTTTTACTGTACTGGGGGAACTGGGGGGGTGTTTCTTTTCCGACCTCATTATTTTAGCCAAAATTAATCCATGAACATAACCCTAACCCAGATGAGAAGCAATCCCAACTCCCAGCTCCCAACTCCCAACCACCGAGTAGGGAGTACAGGATCCTTGCCCCACTCCTCCACTCCCCCTCGAACGGCAAGCGCAAGTATGATGTGAGATGTAGGGTCTTTATGAAAAACCATCCTAAATGCTTAGATCTCCCATTGACACAGTGTGATGGAACCTCGCTCAATCTACTGAAGCATAAGGACAGCAACGTCCAAGTATACCTATACCATTCCCAGGCGGTTCAGGAATCCAGTCTGCTTCACTTATCTCTCCTTTGACCCTCTCTGATATTGATATTCTTTACAGAGTGACTGCAAGATAGCTACCCCGACGATGCCCTCTACCGATGGGACGAATGGCGTCAGCGGCCAGCAACACATTCTGCCCACCTTGTCGTCGAACTTGGTGGGTAAGACGGCCATTGTGACCGGCTCTTCACGGTACGGACACGGACAATCCGCAACATCCCTCTCCCTCTTGAGCATTGAATACACAAGCTGATCTGATCGAGCACGCTACAGGGGCATTGGTGCTGGGATTGCCCTCGAACTCGGTCGCCGTGGCGCCAACGTCGTGGTCAACTACAGCAGTGAGAAGTCGCAAGGGCCGGCGAGTCAGGTGGTCAAGGCCATTGAAGCCACGAAATTAGGACCCAGAGCGGTCGCGGTGCAAGCAAGCGTTGCAGTCGCTGCAGACCAGCAGAAACTGGTCGAGGCTGCCCTGAAGCTCAGTCCCAGCCAACAAATCGACATGCTGGTGCACAATGCGGGCCACGGAGACGACCGATATCTGGTCGATCTCGACGAAGCGTTCTACAATGAGCAAATGGACATCAACCTGAAAGGTGCTGGTGCCACGAGCCTCCCTCCCTCAAGCATGGCGCTCCCAATATCAGTACCATGTATTGGTATTGCTTGCTAACAGTCTCGTCTCGTCTCGTCTAGCACCGGTCTTTCTCACCCAGGCCGCTCTTCCGCACATTCCTCGAGGGGGCCGAATAGTCATCATATCGTCGGTGTCGGCGCGCATGGGTGTTCCACAGCAGAGCATTTACGCCGCGAGCAAAGCAGGCACTGAGGCATTGGCTCGTGTCTGGGCCTCGGAGCTGGGTCAGTCGCGAGGCATCACCGTCAACTGTGTCAACCCGGGCCCCGTGGCCACCGACATGTATTATGCCAGCTCCCAGGAATTCATCGATGAGTTGCAACCCATGATCAATACCACACCCGCCGAAGCCAGGATCGGGGAGGTGGCAGACATTGTGCCACTCGTCAGGTGAGTTCCAGCCCCCTTCCCACCAATATATCGATAACTTGTGCTTGTGCCTGTGCCTATGCCTGTGGAACGTGCCAATCTGACCTTCACTGCTATACAGTTTCTTGTGCTCGGAAGAAAGTCGATGGGTGACGGGAAGCGTGGTTAGTGCCAGTGGTGGATTGTTGCTTTTCTAACCCTAACCGCGTAGACGGTGGGAGTGGGATAAATAAGATACTACCCAGATACTGTGTGTACCGAGTACAGCATGTGGATCCCGGATGTACAGATGATTCAAGACAGGCTCCCGATACAGTGCTGTGTAACTGATCACTACCTAGGTACAGGTATATACTATACAGGGTAACCAGTCGTAGTGTAGGGCTGTCCTGTCACAATCAGAGCTTATCATGGTATCGTGAGCCTCCCCTCCACATGACGAGAAGGATAGATAAGGCGGACGTCGAGCTTGCCAAAGGGTTTGGGAATAGTGGGCTTTATCTCCACACTCGTCCGCCAAGTCAATCATCACTCATCACTCATCAATCACGCTCTCAGCTTCCAAGTTGTCCAGTTTGATTGCAATACTGTATCCATCTATTACCTATGACCTAGGGCTTGTGTCTATTACCTATTACCTAGGGCCTGGATGATCGAGGATAGCTCGACCTCAGCGCAGCCTCGTCTCGCCCCAGTCCTGACTCTTGACCTGACATGTCCAACAAACTCACAGCAACCCGCTCAGGTGAGCGCCGTCTTCGCCCACTCCCACTCCCACTAATCCACAGGCAAGGCACGATGCACCAATGCTAAAGATGAATACTAATGGCTGCGGGACAGACCCGGCTTGTGGCACATGTCGCAAAAAGTGCCGCAAGTGTGATCGCACTCGGCCAGTGTGTCGGAGGTGCATCACCAAAGGGCTAGAATGTGAAGGCTACCCGCCCAAGTTTCAATTCCACGCGTATACCGCATCCGCATCCGCATCGGGCAAACGAGCGGGAGACTCGCAGGCCTTAGCCCACCAACACCAGGTCCAGCAGGCATCACCATCACGCAAACGAAAGCAGAGGCCGAGGCCGGTTGCTGAAAGTGGACGACCGCCCAACTCCAACTATTCTCCCCCCGACATTCTCTCGCTTCATCAACATCAACAGAGCTCCCCAGAGCCCTTTCGGGAACTCTCCCTTGCACGGTCCCAGTCCCAGTCGCAGTCGCAATCCCCCAGCTCCAGCTCCAGCATTTTCTCGGAACGGTCGACAGTGGTGGACGACATTTTGGCCACTGACCATGCACAGAGACTTCTGGTCCATTGTACGTTACGTATCTGCACCAACCCTGCACGCTTCTTCTAGAAAGTCACAACGCCCTGGGCTGACTCCAGTCGTGCACGCAGTTGACAAGTCCATGTGCCACTTCTTGACCATCACTCCCTCTGGGGTGCGAAATCCCTTTCGTGCTTACATGCTGCCTCTTTCCTATCAGCACCGAGGCCTCCTCCATGCTCTTCTCGGACTGGCCGCGTGCCATCTCGGCTCCTCGGGCATCGACACCAGCCAATTCAACCAAACAAGTGCCCTGGAGCACAAACTGTCGGCCATCCAAGCCTTGAGCGCATTTCTCATCAAGGAGGAAATGTTGGGACTCAATGCGATGGAGGAGGATATCACCCTGGCCATTGTATTACTGCTCGTGTTGCATGATGTAGGGCTCCAACCTCCAGCCTCCAGCCCCCAGCTCCCTTCTGCTCTGGCCACTTTGCCTTCCATCTCGTGTTTTCTTTTGCTGACGCCGACGCCGACGCTGACGGATGATCAGATATGCGAGTCAGGCATGTCATCACATGGGACCCATCTGAACGGCGTGACATTCCTGTGCGCCAGGTTTGTGGAGCAGGCGGCTGAACCACCTTCGCCGTTTCGAATGTTTCTTCTGGCTGCGCTGGCCTGGTGAGCCACCTATCTGATTTGTGCACTTGCTCCTCGCTTGGGGTTGAGGCTGACAGGAAAATAGGTTGGATGTCCTTCGAGGTTTCAGTGGAGCCGAGAAACTGGCATATCCCCCGGAGGTACGACGGTATATTCTAGCCGCCAACGATTTCAGCCTGGAGACGCTGGTGGGATGCCCCGCCGAGATCTTCCATCGAATTGGCCAGGTCTTATCCGCCGGCAAGGACTTTCTCGCGGGATCGCTCTCTGACGCGGAATTCCAAGCCCTCCTCCAGGAATCTGAGCAATCTCTGCGCGATCTGGACTTGGACCAAGAGGCCTACCCCACCAAGGACCCGGAATGGAAGATCCTGGCCGAAGCATATCGACACTCCTGTATCCTGCGCATCCTCCGCTTCCCCGACTCTTTCGGACTGCCCTGCGATGATGACCGAGTGGTGGAATCCGTGGTGGCGATCCTCGATGCTAGTGCAGAAATACCCCGGGGATCAGCCTTCTATAAGCGGTTGCTCTTCCCGCTGTTCCTGGCGGGCGCCGATGCCTCGACCCCGCATCAGAAACACTATGTCCAACTGTGCATCGACGAGATCAAGCAATCGACCGGCTTCCGTCACCAGGCCATGACCGGCCTGCTTGACAAGGTGTGGGAAGAGAGAGCAGCCAAGACCCGAGGCTGGGTGAATGTGCCGTGGATGGAATTCGTAAGCCTGCCCGTCCTGCGCCATTTCATCTCTTAGCACCTCTTAAGATTGCCACCTGTGATACTGACCCGGAACCCTGGCGCTTGCAGACATGCTCCACCTACCTCCAGCGCCAACATGATTTTCTTTTCTTTTGAACATGCCCCTGACGGGACGCCCAGAAGCGAAGGGCTAAGGGTTCATCGGGCCTGGCCTGGTCTGAGAGAGTCGAGTCGAATGTGCCTCCTCGACAACGGGAGATGGAGATTGAATGCCCCTGACGTTGATGAGGTAGAACCAACGAATAATGAATCCCGACATGATACTCCATATTCCGTACAGTGTATACACATCTGTGTGGTAGTAGCAGAAGTAGTGGTGGTGGTGTTCTAGTTAGTAGTGGGAGTTGGGAGTATTGCCGTCTTTGGACTAGTTTTCATGGTCCAACATCGCGGTCGACGTCAAGCGGAATCGGCTAGATTTCTTGTTGCGTGCCGGCACGGCAGATCAGAGATAAGATAACAGAATAACAGACTGCGGATTAGAGAGGTAGAGGCACCAGAGGGACCTACTAACGTCTCTCTAATCGTCCTCTGTTCTCTGGTGGCAGCAATAGTATAGCAGTTCGTCGACCTGGCCTCCAGTCCCCAGTCGTGCTGTGTTGCATACCACTCATTCATATCTAGACGTTTTCATTTCTCATTTCCCAGAACTACGTTACACAGTCCCTACCTCCCGCCTAGCACCACCACCAGCATTGCCACCAGCAACATCACCAGCAGCACCACCATCAGCACCACCATCAGCACCACCACCACCGTCGTGACAGCCACTGCCAATACACTGGGGGCTGAAACAGTAGAAAGAACAAGGAAAGATGGCCGCCACAGAAAAGGACCCCGAGCAATTGCTGCTGGCGAGTAAGCTGAACAATGTCCCGCGCTGCGAACAGTATGACAGGATGGTGTCTGGCATGCTGTGAGCTTGGCCCTTGTCTTGGTTTCTTGTTTTGTTTCAACTTCCAACATCCACATCCAGCATCCAACTATACCAGCCTGTGTCTATCGCTGTCTAGACCTCTCTCTCTCTCTCTCTCTCTCTCTCTCTCTCTCTCCTAACCGTCGTGGGCACAGCTACGACGCCTTCGTCCCCGATCTCGCCAACGCGCGCTTCCGGGCCCGCGTCTGGTGTCACAAATATAACAATGAATTTCCAGCCCTCGGGCCCGATGCCGACTACGACGCGCTATCGAAGCACCGTATGACACAACTGCGCGACATCCTAGGTGCGGTCGAGGGGAACGAGGTCATCATCGAACCGCCATTCTTGGTCGATTATGGCTGCAACATCCGGGTCGGCGACCGCTTCTACGCCAACTTCAACTTGACCATCTTGGACTGTGGGCTCGTCACCATCGGGGATCGCGTCATGTTTGGCCCGAACGTGTCCATCTTCGCCGCCACGCACGAGACAGAGGTGCAGAGTCGCCGAGATAACGTCGAGTTTGCCAAGCCAGTCACCATCGGCGACGATTGCTGGATCGGTGGCCGCGTCATCATCTTGCCGGGCGTCACTATCGGTCAAGGCTGTACCATCGGCGCCGGCGCCGTGGTGACCAGAGATGTTCCAGCCTGGAGTGTCGCCATGGGCTCGCCGGCGCGAGTGGTGAAGACGGTGACGAAGCTGAACTAGACTATGACTACTGCTAGACTACGACTACGACTAGACGACGCCGGAACAGCAGGTCTGGTGTATGAGTTCGGGCCGTATAGTCAGACTGCAAACCAATTCTAAAAAAGAAAAGAACCGAATAAACCAAAGATCATGTCTTTTGAAGCCACGAGTGTCTGTACATTTAATCATTCTACGTTGACTCAAGCCCAAAGCCCAGAGCGTTGATATCCCGCTCCATCGGGATGGCAGGCAACACCTATGATAGGGTCATATGGCTGCTACGGAAATTGTGTCAGCCACATTGGCAGCAATGCAATGTTGGGTTGTTCTGCTGCCATCTTCTCTGGGGTTGCTCGTCTAAATGCTCGTTGATGACCTACTACCCACTACCTAGTACATTTAGGTACCCAGGTCGTGGTGGAGGCGGGAGGTCAATATTGGCAGGAAGCTGGGAGTATGTCCGTTTCAGGCTCGACTTCCAGCCTTATCGCCTCAGCCTGCGAGTCTAGACTCTGGGCTGTAGTTAAGGTACTAATTAAGGTAGGTATATCGATCGCGGTACTGTAAAGAGTACGGAGTACAGTGCATTGCTCCGCTTCACTTGACAAATGGCCGCCTTCGCCCTTGGCTCCGCTGCTTGCACACTCGTCCCGCTCAGCTCTAACATCAGCCTTCTGTTTGAGACCGTCCACGTCAAGGTCGCGCTTCCAGATACTTGATCAGGAAGATGCTGCAACCACCAACCACTGCATATTGTAGCGTGGTGACAAGCCATGCTTGGTAAGGCTCAAAGCACAGTACTCAGCACTTGCGGCAAAACCACCCCTTTGGGCGGGTTGTCGAGGTCTTCCCTGTCTCCAGTGGCTCAAGGAAGTTTGCTCCTTGGCCATAAATCAACTTGCTTTCCTGGGTTACGAGTAGGGGGCCGGTACTTGAGATCATTTGGTTCGATATGGACATGAAATACACACTCTTGTCCATTTGATCATCAATACTAGACCAACCTACGACTCCCTTCCCCCCAATTCAACGCCTCGAAACCCGATCACAACCAGAATGGCCAAATCCATCCAACACCCTCTTAACCCGCTGGATCCAGCCGAGGTTCGAAAAGCATGCCAACTCCTCAAGCAGCACCTTGGCCTGTCAACAGACCAGATCCGGTTCAAGGTGGTCGACCTCGCTGAACCGCCCAAGAGCCTCGTGCTCGTTTACCTCCAGGATCCGTCCGTCGATAAAGGGACCCCGCCAAGGCCGATAGATCGGAAAGCAAGGGTGTACTACCATGCCAGAGGGTCGCAACTCCTGGGAAAGGCCGTCGTCAATATCACAGCCGGCGCGGTGGAGGAAAATGCCGAGCTCGCCGACGTTCAAGGGCCGGTCGACTGGGTTGAATTCGACCTTGTGCAGACGGCTTGCAACTCACACCCAGCAGTGCTGGCCGAGGTGGCCAAGTTGAAGCTTCCACCAGGGTGAGTTGTAGGTTGTAGGCTTGTGCTCCTGAGCCTGAGCCTGAGCACGATCGCCCTCCTTCTGTTCCATTTCCCTTTCTCCTGCCGACGGCATTGCTTACTGCCTACCCGTCCATTCTCCTCTGCCGACTACATTGCCTACCATCTGCTCGTCTATTCTCCTCTGCTGACTACTGACTACTGACTATATTGCCTGCTCTAGAGCCAAAGTCATCAACGATCCCTGGGCGTACGGCACCGACGATGCTGCAGAGAGGCGGCGCCTTTTCCAGTGCTACATGTACATCGTACTGAACGATGACCCCCAGGCCAACCACTACAGCTTACCGGCTCCATTTGCGCCCATTTTTGACGCCCATACCCTGGAACTGGTCGATCTCCAGAGACTACCCCTTGACGACGGCGCCGAAGTTGACCAAGAAACTCAGCCCTGGACTCCAGTCCAGCCGGTGGAATACAGCAAGAACTTACTAGATAAGCAAAGCTTCCGGGCCGACCTCAAACCACTGCAGATTGTGCAACCAGAAGGCCCGTCCTTCAGCATCACCGGGCGCACCGTCCACTGGCAAAAGTGGACGTTCCAACTCGGCTGGACGATCCGCGAAGGACCCGTTCTCCACGATGTACGGTACGACGGCCGACGGCTGTTCTATCGCGTGGCCATGAGCGAGATGACAGTCCCTTACGGCGACCCACGCTCGCCTTACCACCGCAAACAGGCCTTTGACCTGGGCGACTCGGGCTTCGGCCTCACCTCCAACACGCTCACGCTGGGGTGCGACTGCCTGGGCCACATCGCCTACTTCGACGGCATCAACGTCTCCGGGACGGGCGAGCCGATCAGCATGCCCAACGTGGTGTGCATGCACGAGATCGACCAGGGGATTGGATGGAAACACACCAACGTGCGCAACGGCATGTCGTCGGTGGTGCGAGATCGCCAGCTCGTGGTCCAGTGCACCGCCACCGTCGCCAACTACGAGTACATCCTGGGCTTTGTGCTGGACCAGGCCGCCAACCTGCACGTCGAAGTCAAGGCCACGGGCATTGTGTCGACCATGCCGACGAGAGCCAAGTCCTCTCCCTGGGGCACGGTGGTGGCGCCGGGCGTGCTGGCCGCGAACCACCAGCACCTATTCTGTCTGCGCGTCGACCCGAACCTCGACGGCGACGGCGACGGCGACGGTGAGGGTGGCGGTGACGGTGACGGTATGTCAAAAACAGGCTCGGGCAACACCATCGTCTACGACGACTGTATTCCCGTGCGCGACGAGCCCGACCTCGACCCGTTCGGATGTGGCTTTCGCGTCCACACCACGCCCATCACCAAGCCCGGCGGCTATGACCTCGACCTGACCAAGGCGCGCACCTTTCGAATCATCAACCCGTCACGCATCAACCGCGTCTCCAACAAGCCCGTGGGATACAAGCTCCACGCCAGTCCGAGCCAGATGCTGATGATGGGCCCTCACACGTTCAACTACAAACGTGGCATCTTCACCTCCAAGCCGGTCTGGGTCACCAAGTACCGCGACGACGAGCTCTGGGCCGCCGGCGAGTTCACCAACCAGAGTCGTGAGGACACCGGCCTTGCCGTGTGGAGTGCGCGAGATGAGGGAATCGAGAACCAAGACGTCGTGCTATGGCATACTTTTGGTGTTACTCACGTTACCAGGCCAGAGGGTGAATCTCGCTTTCTTTCTTTCTTTCTTCGAATTCCTCCCCCCTCGTTCTTTTATGAGTTAACACCAGTACGGACACTAACACTGACATTTTATCAGATTTCCCCGTCATGCCCCACGAGAAATTCACCGTGTCGCTCAAACCCACCAGTTTCTTCGACTCGAACCCCTCCAACGACGTCCCTCGTTCCGACCAAAGAGAGAACAGATCGACTTTACACGGCGGCGGCGGCATAGAGTCTTGCTGCGTCAGTGGTGCTGGGAAGGATGTGCGGCTATGAAAAGGGAAGGGAAATGAAAAGAAAAGAAAATGAACCCTGAGTGGTACTGGAAAGGAAAGCATACTTACAAAATATAGTGTAAGTATATACCCTATATACGGAGTAACTATATCGAGTCGATGTGGATATGGATGTGGATGTGGATGTAGATCAATTTGTTCAAACTTAGGCACTACAGTAACTTAGGCATTCAGCCTTGCCCTTTGACCAGAAGGCTGGTATAGGTATAGGCATACTATACGGATATAGTCTGGGCTCCCCCCTATACCCCTTTGATAGCGAATAAGGAACCTTTCAACTTTTGATAATAAGATGGCATGACATGATATATCACAGCTGCTAAGAAAATAGAAACTACACTACGAAACAGAGAAAGTACTAGATAGAGAAAGTACTGGTATACTAAATAGAGAAAGTATCCGTGCACTCCGAGCACTAAGTTTATGTGGATGTACTCGAGGACTATAGAGTTAGGTTTATAGAGCGAATATATGAACTAGAACTCTAGACACAGCAGCGTTGCTTTGTCAAAGGTTGAAATGGTCCTTATTCTCTATCAGGGGTCGCAGGGGGAGTCCATGTAGACCAGCCTTCTAGTTAAAGCACGAGGCTGTCAAATAAAGGTTGACATGTTCCATGTCCTCTATCAACGGGTCGCAGGGGGAGCGCATGCTATCTAGTATAGATAGCACCTAAACCAGCCTTCTGGTTGAAGCACAAGGCTGGGAATGCCCAAGTTTGACATGATTGAGCATAAATTTCATTTCATCATATCTGCATGGCTACAGCCTTTACTTCTGCTAAGGTTCCTGCTTCTGCTTCTGCTTCTGCTTCTGGAAGCTCCTAAAGTTGTCGTCACAATCCCAGCTGCCTGTCCGTTGGCCCGAACAAGAGCATATTCATCTCGTCCTCCAGAGGCACCAAAATACGCTCCTCAATGGTCTTCGAAAATGCCTGGTTCGACAAGCTTGCATAGGGGTTCATAAAGCACTGGAGACAATACGATATGGCATTGAGGAACGCAAATGAAAATTCTCCTTTGCCTTTCTTCTCCATCAGCCACCGGCGCGCAGCTTGTAGATATGAGATTTCGGTGGGTTGATTGTTGGGTCCGAGGTCCTCAGGCACGAGAAGTTCCTCGATCGGGCGTAGATAGCAGATCTCGAGGAGCATGATGCCCAGGGCTGCCACTTTTGAGGCGTCGTTGGGTTCACCACTGCTTCGGCGGACGAGCGTGGTCGTTTGCCGGTGCTCCCGGGTTAGATATGGATGCTTGATGTCGACCGCAACTCCAGGATTTGTACCTGTCTACTTGGCCCTGAGGAAAATGATGTCGGCCTTGCTCCAGGTTTCCTGAAGCCAAGGCGTATGGCTCAGCTGGAGCATCGACGATGTAAGTGTGATGGATAGGTTATATTGTTCTTGTCTGTCCAAACCATTGTTCGTGAGAACGTCTTCCAGGCTGGCTCCTCCGTCGACGTATGCAACACTCCGCTGAGCATTATACGCACCTCGGAGGTGTCCCTCGCCGTCGAGACAGAACCCAATGCAGGGATGACATGGGTTCTGGAGGATGGAGCACAGGTCTGTGACTATCTGGAGCTGGGAGGGATTGGGGCAAGGAAGGGGAGCAAGGGTAGTTGTGACGGATGAGCTAGGAGAAGCGGAGATTGTAGTTTGTACAGCAGAGCTGCCGGCAGTCAGTACAACATGACATGATCGAATGGTTGTGGGTCGATTAAGGAGCACGTACCCGCTTTGTTGCCCGGAGGCCGAATACTCCAGGAGTCGAATCTCCACGTCCAGCCATTCTTCGAGGTCGAGGACGATGATTGTAGCAAAGACAGGCCAAAGCAATTTGTATCGCATTTGTACAAAGGTAGCCGATTCCGTTGCCAGCCAGGTCGTCCTCTCTCTCGCTTCTTCGCGAGTCGCTGTTCAAGCAACAATCCGGCTGAATGTGATGAATGGGTCGAACACCATGTCTTGGAAAGAACCTTATAGAGTTTCTTCGCATTCTCGCGCACAATATCGAGAGGCAGAGTGAACATGACCCGGCTGTCTGAGTTGTACAGCTCTTCAGCCGTGGTAATCTTGTCTGCTTTGACTTGGAACTTATCCAGCATCTCGATGTAACGTTGGAGCTCCAGCAGCGATTGTTTGATCTTCTTCTTTTTCATGGTGAACTTCATGCGCTTTGACATTTCGAACTTTTGGAGTTTTCCATCCACCTTTGCTGCCACATGCTGACTGATGATGGCTTCCAGCCCATTCCGATCGAGATTTTCCACACCGTGGACATTGTCCAGCTTCATCGCGATCCCAATCATGATACTTTGAATGTCATCGATCGTTCTCATGTATGACGGATAGGCATTGCCCAACTTCCTTCGCAGTTTATCCTCAATGGCTGAATCCTTGCCAAAACCTGCTCTTTGTGTTGTCAATCATGTCACTCAGCTCTTGATCCGTCGTGATCGGCCGCAGCAGCACCTCGATGGACTGCTCAAAGAGGGTGTGCTGGTTCCGAAGCTCTCGAATGGCGCGGTCGAGTTCCCCCTGGAATCTGACAAAGGCCTTGGTTGGACCGATGATGTCCTCATAATGCTCGAGTGCCGAGAGCACCAGCGGGATGGCGCCGAGCACGAGGCCGGCAACCTCGATGCCGGACATATTAGTGCTGGTCCTCAAAATCGTTGTCGGGAACGATTCTGACCAGAGCAGGCCTGACGAGAGGCTGCACGAAGAAGGTAAGCAGGACGGCTGCCTTTGACTATGATTTGTTGCTGTTTCGTCACATCACATCGAGCCAGCCAAGCGAGGCCAATTAAGCGCCTGCCACTGCAGTGGTGGTGTCAGCCGCATCCCTCCAGGACAACACTTGCACAACATCCCACCAGAGACCATTGTCGAGGGAGTCTCTCGGAACGCACTTCGACACACTCTTCGTGGACCTTGGCAGGAAGGTGCGCTGTGAGAAGAGACTGAGACGTCCTACGATAGTCTTGGGGTGGGTGCCAGAATTAAAGGCGGTTTATCGAACTGCCCCAAGACGCTCTCATCGTCGAGGCCGCCATCACATTCTGCTTGATAAAGTAACCTTCAAACCTGAACTGATGGCAGCAAGTCATGGAGTCCATCACAGCAATCGCGCGAGCCTGTTTCGACAGCTTCGGGCAGCTAACCGCCACCCTGACCAAAGCGAGCGCCGAACATTGCGAGTCCACGCCTCCAGACAAGATCGAACAAGAGTTTGGTAGATTCAAGATCTGGTGTGCAAATCTGGGCGCTCTACAGACCGGCAAGAGTTCGCTTGATTCGAGGCTGCGTGAGTCGGTGGTGATCCGCACCAACGTGCTGAAGCACTTGGCCAGGCTGGATCAGACTCTAGTCAAGAGCAGGGAGGTCACATCCGGCGCACGACTACCCCTCGAGAAGCAACCGCAGCCAGAGGATTCGGGCAGCGAGTCTTCGTCGGAGGAAAGCGAGAGTGACGCTGAGCCACCTCGAGAGCTTGCCCTGCACCTCGCTACAATCAGGGACATTCTGAATGATCTGTATATGCTTTCATTCAGAATCCGGAACAGTTAGACCCGGCCTACTTCAACCTTGAGGATAACGCTCTACCGCGAGGTCGATGACGATACCGGCATCGACAAGTTCGCCGCCTACACCGAGTTTTACAGACGCCATATCCAAGACTCGCTCCTTCAACTCCGCCGAGATGCTGCCAAAGAGATGAAAAAGAAGCCTTCCGATCTTGCTCGGCTCAGGGATACCGATCAGTATCTCATCGACCGGCTCGTCGTTGCGATGAACAAGCGACGCAAAGTCCTCCGATACTGGCAACGGCATGCCAGAAAAATGGCCGAGATGCCAAAGGAGGTCAAACCGGTCATTGAACCCCAGCCGATGCCGAAGGCTCCAGCTGCAAACCTTGAGACACAGAGTATCATAGAGAAGCCCAGCAGGCAGGTCCAATTCCTCATGCCAAGTTCAAGTGTCACTGGAAAGACTATATTTTCGAAGACCGAGGCGACCGCATTCGACAAGAGGCTTGATGAACTGCTGGAGGTCCAATCCGTCATTTCCTATGTTTCAACACCGGATGATGTTCACGGCAACGACGTTGAGCTCCCGGCGCCACCATCTGCGGCGGCTAAGGGTTCTGAGTTCTGGTGTCCCTACTGTGGTATTGTCTGTCCAGCTCGGCATGGCAGGCCCCGTGCCTGGAGAGCTCACATCCTGCAAGACCTTCAGCCGTACATCTGCACATATGACGAATGCAAAGATGGATACCACCTCTATAGTAGCCGCACAACATGGCTTGAGCACGAACGCCTCGGCCACCGGCGAGTCTGGCAGTGCTTCGAGCACGCAGAACCCAAGTTCTGGTCCAAGGCTACACTGCGGCATCATCTGGAATCCGAGCACGGGGGCGACATTACTGAGATGCAGATCCAGAACCTGATCGAAATATCCGAGCTAAGTGTCGAGGACACAAGGACCACTTGCCCCTTCTGTCTGTTGGACGGCCCATTTTCGAGTGGCTTTGAGAATCATATGTCAGTTCATATGCGGAGGTTTGCTACGTTTTCGGTATCTCGGGACATTTCGACACACGACGAGGCCGAGGACGATACAAATGAGAATCATTCAGGCCGAGCACAAGGTGTTGGCTCCCAGGACTTAGGTATATCTGGCTCGCTACACTTTGAGAGCCAGCCTCCCTCTAACACAGCTTCGGATGTCGACAAGCAGGCATTGCAAAGTCCACCATCAGCCATCTGGGAGGAGCAGTCTTTCAGCGAGGACGACCAGAACTCTCCACCAAGTTATGTACGCTATCCAGATCTGAGACATCGACTCTGTCATCAAACATTCAGAACAAGCACATACGAACAATTCAAGAATGCCAATCCCAATCGAGTCCAAGGCACTTGTGAATGGGTGCTGCTTGACCCTAGTTACCATAGCTGGGGTCACAAACCCACATGACGGCTTGCTCTGGATCTCAGCCGATCCTGGATGTGGCAAGTCGGTCCTCGCCAAATCGCTCGTTGATTATGAACTCCGAAGTACTGATGAGCATACCGTATGTTATTTCTTCTTCAAGGATGATAACGAGCAGGACAATGCTGCAAACGCTCTTTGCGCCCTACTTCATCAATTGTTCGTTCGCCGACCCGACCTAATCTGGCATGCCATCCCCGCATGGGAGAGATTTGAGGACCAGCTGCGGAAAGAAGTGTCTGAGCTATGGCGTATATCCCTCGAAGTGGCGACGAGTCACGAACTCCAAGGTCACTACGTGACGTGTGTTCTAGACGCGCTGGATGAATGTCTACCCTCCGACCAGCGTTGGCTCATCAAAAAGTTGGCCGAATTTTCCACTCAGATATCAGCCTCTGCATCAACGACATCAGGCGGCATATTGAAATTCCTCGTTACGAGTCGGCCATACAGTGATATTGAAAATGGGTTCCTACACGTCTCTCGGCTACGAGGCGAGGAAGCGAATTACAGGATAGACCGGGAAGTTGGCGAGTTCATCCGCACCCAAGTGGCGAAACTAGCGAAGGGCTTGAGATTACATCCTCACATGAAGGACCTACTGGAAACTCAAATGGTTGAGATAAGGCATCACACATGTTTATGGCCCTCTTTAACCATCGAGTATATCGCCGAGACTTTCCCGATGTCTTCCACCCGCAGAAATATGGTTCAAGCCCCTTCCTTCAACCGTGGAGGATGCATACGAGAAGATTTTAAAACGAGGTCAACTTCATGGAGAAATGAAAGGCATCACGAAAACAATCTTACAGATTGTGGTGGGAGCACGACGCGCACTCAGCGTCGAAGAGATGGCCGTCATCCTAGGAGTTACCCTAAGCACACAGTTAAAAATGTCGCTAGGAGAAGGACAAATCGACCCTCTTGGACTCGGAGACAGAATTCGTCACTGGTGTGGGCTCTTTGTCTATGTTGAAAAAGACCGTATTTACCTTATCCACCCCACCGCTAAGGAGTTTTTGGTCGGCTATGGTGACTCTGATGGTGACTCTGGGTGGAAATACTGCCTCAACCCGCTGGAGATTGAAAAAATCATGACTCGACTCTGTGTTGATTTGTTGTCGTTTGAAGATGTCAGGTCAACAGCCCAGTCTCTCATCAACAAGCTCAAGCTACAGGATCTGACCTGGGAGAACGCTTCTGAAAGTCTGTTGGCCTATTCAGCGGAGATGTGGTCCAACCATCTGCGAGACTCACACATATCGAAGAGCGATCCATACCTAGATACTATATCTGACCTTTATGATGTCGAAGGTGATCTGTATAATTTATGGTTCCCGATCTATTACGCGCTACATGAAAATATGGCCACTATGCAGAGAAGACCACAGATGACTTCTTTTGACCTAGCAGCACTTCTGGGACATGAACAGATATTAGAACGGATGCTACAGTCGAACAGGTATGAAATCAACGAATTCGACAATACTCGTCGCACAGTATTGATCTGGGCCTGCGAGTATGGCCATGAAAATGTGGTGCGGATACTCCTGGAGGCTGGGGCACCTGTCAATGCTCGACTATTAGACGAGACTGCACTTTATGCAGCATCTAAGGCTGGCCACGGGCCGGTAGTTCAGATGCTGCTGGAGGCGGGAGCAGAGGTCAATGATCGATACACCACTGCACTCCAGGCTGCATGCTATGGTGGCCATACAACCGTGGTGAGGATGCTCCTGGATGCCGGAGCAGAGGTGAATGCTCACGGAGGACAATTTGTTACTGCACTCCATGCAGCAGTCTATAATGGCCACGAGGGGGTGGTGCAAATGCTGATAGATGCCGGGGTAGATGTCAACGCTGTAGAAGCAGGGGTTACTGCATTGGAATGGGCATCCTCTCGTGGCCGTGCAAACATGGTGCGAATGCTGATAGATGCCGGGGCAGATGTCACCGCTGTAGGAGCAGGTGGTTTTACTGTATTGGGAGTGGCATCCTCTCGTGGCCGTGCAAACATGGTGAAGATGCTGAAAGACGCCGGGGCAAATCGCAATACTTGAGGAGAAGATCGGGATCCTCTTGTGGTTGTGGATGAGTCAGATTAGTTGGGGTCAGTGAAGAAGAGACTGAAGGACGAAGGGGCATTTCGCTAGACCCATCGATGTGGTGATGGAATTGAATCTGCGTACATATGAAATGAGAAACGAGAATGCTGGATATTAGCCTCGAGCACCCTCATTACCTCAACTTGCTAGCCTCGTAGCAACACGAGAGACATGGTATGGAGGAACAGAGGCCAGGAACTCGAAACTCGGCCATAACCACAAGTAGAGCATGGCAGAAACTAAACTTGGTGATAACCACAAGTAAGGCGACTGGGTGATCACCACAAGTAGAGCATGTCAGTAGAGTTGGTGACAGATACCTAGTACAGTGAACTAACAAGCATCAATCAACCCGGACACGACGACGACGACGACGACGACGACAATATAAACACAGAAGCATCAATCAGTCCGACGACAACTCAACTAGCGAGCGACATGACCAAATTTCGAAATGGAGGTTCAACCACAGCCATCATATCACATCACATCACATCACATCCGCTGCGAACGCCGTCCAAGATTCGGCATCCTTCACATCTGCTGGGAAGGCCCTCCACCTTTTAGCATCTTTCTCTTCCGCAGAGAACGCCCTCCACCGTTCAGCATCTTTCTCTTCCGCAGAGAACGCCCTCCACCGTTCAGCATCTTTCTCTTCCG